ACGCTGATTCCAAAAAAGCAAACCGCACTTTCGTATCTCTTCGCGTTCGGAAGTTACACTCGAAAAACGCGATATTTTTCTTAAAAGGGTCCCCCTTATGAAATTTTTTCTGAAAAACATGAAAAAAAAAATTTGCAAAAATAATTTTTCCTTACTAATTCGATATTTTTCTCAAAAGGGTCCCCCCTTATGAAATTTTCATTTTCATTTTCAAAATCAAACCGCACTTTCGTATCTCTTCGCGTTCGGAAGTTACACTCGAAAAACGCGATATTTTTCTCAAAAGGGTCCCCCCTTATGAAATTTTTTTTGAAAAACATGAAAAAAAAAATTTGCAAAAATAATTTTTCCTTACTAATTCGACTAAGCTGATTCCAAAAAATCAAACCGCACTTTCGTATCTCTTCGCGTTCGGAAGTTACACTCGAAAATCGCGATATTTTTCTCAAAAGGGTCCCCCCTTATGAAATTTTTTCTGAAAAACATGAAAAAAAAAATTGCAAAAATAATTTTTCCTTACTAATTCGACCACGCTGATTCCAAAAAATCAAACCGCACTTTCGTATCTCTTCGCGTTCGGAAGTTACACTCGAAAAACGCGATATTTTTCTAAAAAGGGTCCCCCCTTATGAAATTTTTTCTGAAAAACCTGAAAAAAAAAATTGCAAAAATAATTTTTCCTTACTAATTCGACCACGCTGATTCCAAAAAATCAAACCGCACTTTCGTATCTCTTCGCGTTCGGAAGTTACACTCGAAAAACGCGATATTTTTCTCAAAAGGGTCCCCCCCTTATGAAATTTTTTCTGAAAAACATGAAAAAAAAAATTTGCAAAAATAATTTTTCCTTACTAATTTGACCACGCTGATTCCAAAAAATCAAACCGCACTTTCGTATCTCTTCGCGTTCGGAAGTTACACTCGAAAAACGCGATATTTTTCTCAAAAGGGTCCCCCCTTATGAAATTTTTTCTGAAAAACATGAAAAAAAAAATTTGCAAAAATAATTTTTCCTTACTAATTTGACCACGCTGATTCCAAAAAATCAAACCGCACTTTCGTATCTCTTCGCGTTCGGAAGTTACACTCGAAAAACGCGATATTTTTCTCAAAAGGGTCCCCCCTTATGAAATTTTTTCTGAAAAACATGAAAAAAAAAATTGCAAAAATAATTTTTCCCTACTAATTCGACCACGCTGATTCCAAAAAATCAAACCGCACTTTCGTATCTCTTCGCGTTCGGAAGTTACACTCGAAAAACGCGATATTTTTCTAAAAAGGGTCCCCCCTTATGAAATTTTTTCTGAAAAACATGAAAAAAAAAATTGCAAAAATTATTTTTCCTTACTAATTCGACCCCGCTGATTCCAAAAAATCAAACCGCACTTTCGTATCTCTTCGCGTTTGGAAGTTACACTCGAAAAACGCGATATTTTTCTCAAAAGGGTCCCCCTTTATGAAATTTTTTCTGAAAAACATGAAAAAAAAAATTGCAAAAATTATTTTTCCGTACTAATTCGACCCCGCTGATTCCAAAAAATCAAACCGCACTTTCGTATCTCTTCGCGTTCGGAAGTTACACTCGAAAAACGCGATATTTTTCTCAAAAGGGTCCCCCCTTATGAAATTTTTTCTGAAAAACATGAAAAAAAAAATTGCAAAAATAATTTTTCCCTACTAATTCGACCACGCTGATTCCAAAAAATCAAACCGCACTTTCGTATCTCTTCGCGTTCGGAAGTTACACTCGAAAAACGCGATATTTTTCTAAAAAGGGTCCCCCCTTATGAAATTTTTTCTGAAAAACATGAAAAAAAAAATTGCAAAAATTATTTTTCCTTACTAATTCGACCCCGCTGATTCCAAAAAATCAAACCGCACTTTCGTATCTCTTCGCGTTCGGAAGTTACACTCGAAAAACGCGATATTTTTCTCAAAAGGGTCCCCCTTTATGAAATTTTTTCTGAAAAACATGAAAAAAAAAATTGCAAAAATTATTTTTCCTTACTAATTCGACCCCGCTGATTCCAAAAAATCAAACCGCACTTTCGTATCTCTTCGCGTTCGGAAGTTACACTCGAAAAACGCGATATTTTTCTCAAAAGGGCCCCCCCTTATGAAATTTTTTCTGAAAAACATGAAAAAAAAAATTGCAAAAATAATTTTTCCTTACTAATTCGACCACGCTGATTCCAAAAAAGCAAACCGCACTTTCGTATCTCTTCGCGTTCGGAAGTTACACTCGAAAAACGCGATATTTTTCTTAAAAGGGTCCCCCTTATGAAATTTTTTCTGAAAAACATGAAAAAAAAAATTTGCAAAAATAATTTTTCCTTACTAATTCGACCAAGCTGATTCCAAAAAATCAAACCGCACTTTCGTATCTCTTCGCGTTCGGAAGTTACACTCGAAAAACGCGATATTTTTCTCAAAAGGGTCCCCCCTTATGAAATTTTTTCTGAAAAACATGAAAAAAAAATTGCAAAAATAATTTTTCCTTACTAATTCGACCACGCTGATTCCAAAAAATCAAACCGCACTTTCGTATCGCGTTCGGAAGTTACACTCGAAAACGCGATATTTTTCTCAAAAGGGTCCCCCCTTATGAAATTTTTTCTGAAAAACATGAAAAAAAAAATTTGCAAAAATAATTTTTCCTTACTAATTCGACCAAGCTGATTCCAAAAAATCAAACCGCACTTTCGTATCTCTTCGCGTTCGAAAGTTACACTCGAAAAACGCGATATTTTTCTCAAAAGGGTCCTACTAATTCGACCACGCTGATTCCAAAAAAGCAAACCGCACTTTCGTATCTCTTCGCGTTCGGAAGTTACACTCGAAAAACGCGATATTTTTCTTAAAAGGGTCCCCCTTATGAAATTTTTTCTGAAAAACATGAAAAAAAAAATTTGCAAAAATAATTTTTCCTTACTAATTCGACCAAGCTGATTCCAAAAAATCAAACCGCACTTTCGTATCTCTTCGCGTTCGGAAGTTACACTCGAAAAACGCGATATTTTTCTCAAAAGGGTCCCCCCTTATGAAATTTTTTCTGAAAAACATGAAAAAAAAATTGCAAAAATAATTTTTCCTTACTAATTCGACCACGCTGATTCCAAAAAATCAAACCGCACTTTCGTATCGCGTTCGGAAGTTACACTCGAAAACGCGATATTTTTCTCAAAAGGGTCCCCCCTTATGAAATTTTTTCTGAAAAACATGAAAAAAAAAATTTGCAAAAATAATTTTTCCTTACTAATTCGACCAAGCTGATTCCAAAAAATCAAACCGCACTTTCGTATCTCTTCGCGTTCGAAAGTTACACTCGAAAAACGCGATATTTTTCTCAAAAGGGTCCCCCCTTATGAAATTTTTTCTGAAAAACATGAAAAAAAAAATTGCAAAAATAATTTTTCCTTGCTAATTCGACCACGCTGATTCCAAAAAATCAAACCGCACTTTCGTATCTCTTCGCGTTCGGAAGTTACACTCGAAAAACGCGATATTTTTCTCAAAAGGGTCCCCCCTTATGAAATTTTTTCTGAAAAACATGAAAAAAAAAATTGCAAAAATAATTTTTCCTTACTAATTCGACCACGCTGATTCCAAAAAATCAAACCACACTTTCGTATCTCTTCGCGTTCGGAAGTTACACTCGAAAAACGCGATATTTTTCTCAAAAGGGTCCCCCCTTATGAAATTTTTTCTGAAAAACATGAAAAAAAAATTTGCAAAAATAATTTTTCCTTACTAATTCGACCACGCTGATTCCATAAAATCAAACCGCACTTTCGTATCTCTTCGCGTTCGGAAGTTACACTCGAAAAACGCGATATTTTTCTCAAAAGGGTCCCCCCTTATGAAATTTTTCCTACTGTGTACAGTACTATAGTAATATATTATAGGTATTATAACAGTCGGAAAATTAATAGTAGAAAAATTACTTTTTATAAATGTTTACGTAACTTTTATACCTAGTAAAAAATTTCGAAGGTAATTTCAAAAAAATACAATTAATTGATTTCAAATTTAATTATTTAGGTATACATACATCAAATTTAAATTGTAAAAAAATATTTAAAATAAACTTTTAAAATTATGAAAATGTACTTTGAAATCTATTAAATATATTTGTTTAAAATTGTTTAAAATTATCAAGCTTAAAGCAATTGTCTTTGGCCTATTTGCAGCAAATTTGTAAATCCCCCTCTGTTGATAATATTGTTATCTGTTTAAAAGGTGTTCAACTAGGTATTTATAATAAATAATTGACACAATTTTGGTTAAAATAAAAAAAATATTTAATCAATCCACTTACCAAACTTTACAAACCTAGATATTTTGAGAAAATAATAGTCACGTATACCTATGTAGGTACGTAATTATTTATCGTAGTTTATAGTATGTTATCTCGTCATAATACTTGTGTATTGCTTACAGTAAACATCAATAGGTTAAAAAATGTTAATAAATTCAAATAGTTATTTCAACAGTGCCAGTGTTTTGTACAAACCCTTTGGAAAAATATGGTGCCCAATATTAAAATGGGACAAACTACATTGCGGGTAAAGCGTAAGTAAATATTCACTTAATTAAAATTTATATTTATCACTTTAGGTACATTTTTCCCGATATGCGCTAAAACCTTGGTAAAATTAATGCATACAAAGGTACTTAACGTGTCACCAAGGTCAGGGAATTTGAAATTTTTATTGAATTTTTACTAGGTATTTTAAGTACAATTTTAATTTTACATTTATTTTTTAATAAAAACTCCTTTAGCCGTTTTAGTACATAAATAACTTTTATAGCTATTTTTTTATTATTTAAAATAATAATAATTTATTTTATCCACTTTTTGAATTAAACAGAGTAGATTCATTTTCTAAATAGTATTGCCCTCTATGTTTGAGAAGCTAAAATATCTACGCCTCGCCCTCTACATTTCAAAACCAAAAACAATACAACCAGATATTTCTCCATGGGATACAACCCGAGAACAAAGATCGTGCAGCACCGATAAGGCAGTTACCGTTACGGTAACCAACGACAAATGTCAAAAAGTGACAGGAAAACGACGAATTGTGTTTATGTGCCAAAAAATGTTCTAACAATAACAGAAAAATGAGCGACAAGAACAGAAATTACACGAACGGAGCGATGGAGAAGATAATCGGGAATATAACCGGGGAAATGCAAAATTCCGACGGCCAATATGTACCACTAGCTTTTACACCTCCACCGACGACGCAAATGAATTGGAATCAACCCCAAAATTCGTATATCAACCATTATAACATAAATGAACCTCCTCGCCCTGCCATGGACCATTATAACGCAAACTTTTACGCTAATCAGAGTTTGTACGAACCTTCTCCATTTCAAGATTTTGAAGCTTACAAGCCGAGTAATCCAGATCTCAATTTACTTGATAGGTTATTTACACCCAGTGTTCAACATATACCTGATAATTTAATGCAGAATCAGCCAGTAGAAACCTCGCATACATTAATTGATAACCTTGTTGGTAATTGGGTTATGCCGAACAATTCAGGTACATATACGCCATTTGGAACTGATACATTTAAACCTAATGTATTTGAAATTCACTATGATAGAGATAATAATAGTAGTAAGAAAAATCATCAATTTTATGAAGATACAAGGATTATCGATGAAGAGAAGCAGTTTCCTTTTGGGAGAGATCCTCGTAAACCTAGAATGGTTGCAGAGGTTAAACCTATGAGACCCAGTTACTCTGATGTTTTAACAAAACCTGTACCTACAACACAAACAAACACTAAACCAGTTAAAAATGACGTTAATAAAGAACAAAAACCCAAAAAGGACAACAAAAAACAAAAATCTGATAAAATACAAAAAAATATTAATCGCAGTAATATAACAATGGAAAATAGGGATTTAAACACCCAAAAACCAGAAAAAATATTTAAAAACACCGCTAAAAACCAGCTACCAAGAAAATGGGCTTCTCTGGACAACATTTCAGAAAAACCTGAGGAAAAAAAGAAGAAATCAGAAATAACTAATAAACCAAATAAAAAAATCAACAAAACTGTGAATGATATTGAGGATAGTGATCAGTCGGATACTCTGAAAACTGAAACTTTCAGTACAAGCAAAAATGGGGTTAAAAAAATTACTAAGCCCATTGGGAGAAATAAGCCCAATGATTCTTTTGGGAGTAACAATGAGAGACCCCCTGGTAAAAGGAATCAGAGGACTAGAAAAAGGGAAACACATGTTCCATTTGGTAAGAAAATGATAATTTTTTTCCAAATGATTTATTGCAATATTTAACTGATTTTTATACAAAATAAATATATAAAACAAAATATGTACAGGTAGGTATAATTGAGCTTAAAATTATAATGTCACATGGATCTTTATTATATGTATTAAAAGTTTTGTTGATTTTACATATTAAATTGATACAGTACAGGAAATAATTTTAATCACTTAAATTTATAAATAATTTATTATTTATATTTTATATAAAATATGCGGCAAATCAATTTTAAGTCTAGTTTAAAAAAATATAAGGTTCAAAGTAATTAATTTAAGACAAAAAGACCTGCCAAAAAAACATGAAATTTAAATATTAAAAGAATACCCAATGGGTATTACCCATACTACCCTACTAAAGTACTCTTTTAAGTATTATACATGTATAATACATATTGGTATCAAATATATCTATACCTACTATTTTATCAAATTTTACCAACAAACTTTTTATATCAGCAATTTAAATAATAAAATGTATTTAATTTAATTAATACGACATAAATTAAACAACTGATTACAACATGCAATAAATATTAATTATAATATTTAAATAAAAAGTAAGATTATTTTAGTAAATTTATGTAAAAACGATTAAAATTAATTTATTACCCAATACCTACATAAAATACATTAATTTAATTTAATTAATTAATTCTCTCTATTTTAGGCGTATTTGGTCAAAAACTGAAGCAATACACCAAAGGTTGGTGGAAATTGATCACCGTTTTCGTTTTATGGCTTTTTAACTTGATCTCGGACATTTGCAGTTTAAGTATACACATCAGCAAAGACCTGTGAGTAAATAAAATAAAAACGCCAACGTTAAAAAAAAAAAAAAATTTTAGCGCTTTCATTACCTGGACATGGCTGCGCGTGCATTGTTCGCTATTCCTGGAAACTACAAATTCCATATTCAAAAACATACGATTGTTCAATTGGATACGGGATAAGTTCAAAGGAAGAAAAAGGGTCGAGGAGGAAGATGAGCAAAGACCTTTTACACCTAAAGGACTGCAGAACAATATAAACATGCCTACAACAGGCGATGAAGCCATGAGAAGACTTTTGGCTTGCAAAGGAAAGGATCCTTACAGCATTTTGGGGGTGGCCCCCGCATGTACTGATGATGACATAAAACGGTAAGTGGGTAATTTTTTAATTGTTTTAATATCCCACCAATAAGGGATCAGTCAAGGCCATTTAATTAGCGCACACGATTTCATTCATAAATAGCGCGAGTGACTACTGTTCTTCCTATACTGTTGTATTGAGAACTATGATGACAGAAATAATAAACCTTTTAAAATAAACTTATTAGGTACTTGCCATATTCTTATTTACAAATCTGCAGAATATACATCAAACTTATTGGACAAATAAACCAGAACTTTGGTAGACAGTATTAAGAATTGAATATCAAGACAAGGTTTATTATAAATTGTTAGAAATTGTCTTTGAAATTTATAAACTGACGTTTTAAAGATATGATTGTCTTAAATAAAAAATAATTAACTAAACATTATTGGACTATGGCTGCTTTTGTTAATTAAAAAGGAGCAATACATAAGAAAACGAAAACTATAAATTTTAGTATTTTTTATTTTGTCGTAATTTTTTTTATATATTTATTTAAGTACAAAATAATCACAATTAAATGGGTCCACTGAACAATTTACATGCTAACATCTCCAAAACGGTTACTGGCAGCGACATTTAGAAAGTATATCTTTTTTAAGTAATAAAGGTAAAAAAGTAATTTTTTTATCAAAAAGGTAAATGGGTCATTATACTTTTTAACCCCATCTACTCTAAAAAATAAATATTTTACATTTTCATATCCATTGTAACTATTATTTAGGCAAACTAAAGGTAATTCTAATGTTACTCTTAGCTGTAAAGTTTCTCTTATTTTTAAAACTTAGCAATAGCAGTGAAGTGTTATACAAAACTTTTGTAACAAAAGAGACATTTGACGAAGGAGTCATTTTTCACAATAAAAAAAGAGATTTTCAAAGTGACACAATAAATGCACATAAAAATTGCATTCATTAAAAAGAAAGAAATTGGTTTACTTTACATAAAAAAGAAAATTAAATACTGCAAATACTTACCGAGTAAATTCCGTGACGAAAGATATAAGGACATGGTCATGCTTAAAAAAATATTCACAGACATTTTATCACATTCTTTATTAGTACTGAGGAGCTATGAAATATATTTAAGTTTTCACTATTGCAATATGATGGGGACATGGGGTTATATAGTGTGATGCTAACTTTCAACCTAAATTAAGACATTAATTTTTGTTATTTTAGGTTATTATTTATGAATCTAGTTCCATATTAGCTGTCTCAATTTATTATTTTTTTAATAACAAATATTTGGGACAAAGGGCAGAGAGCCTTAATAGTATAATGACCCAAATATACTAAGGCGCAAAAAAGATGTGACCATTAAACGTATGCAAGTGTCGCATGTAGAACCTACATTTTTTTTTAAGAAATTATATCTAGGCCTAAAAAATCCATAAAAATAAAATTTTGGGCAAAAACGTCTGTTTTTCCCAAAGTTATTAAATAAAATCGACGTTTAAACGTTGACAACCAGTATTTTGGTTATTAATAAAAATAATAACTTATTATAAACTTTTGTATAAAAATACATTTAGTTATATGGCATTATTTCGGATTCAGGAAACCTTGTATATTGCATGTTAAATAGTTGTTAATTAATAAATAATTTATGGAAAATATGATCTTCATCAAATTTTAAATTGAAAAGAAATCTTTATTTTCGCATAACATTTCGTTAATTTTTTTACCCATTGAAATGTATACTAAATGTATTAAATGTTTATTTATTTATTTATTGGATACCATATGACTGTAGGTTTTATGACTAAATTTAGTCATTAATGTTTCACCTTGTTTTTTTTCTTTTTTTTCGTATTTTGACGTTGCTTATATCATGTATGATCTTATTAGCAATAGCCATATTATTTTATTACTATTAAAAAAATGAGACGCAAACGAATTTACCACCAGCGAATTAAAACGGAAGTTTTTTGAAATAAAAGTCATAATAAACACAATTTGTCGTGGAATTTTCTTACCGAATACCGTGCGAGGATAAATTAAATCCTGAATTTTTTTCTCGCTCATGAATATTTTTAAAAAAATATTCCTCGTCTTCTACTCGAAATAATTTTCAAAATATTTATGAGCTCGTAAAATTTCCGGAAATAATTTATCCTCTTGCGGTATTACTAGTGATAATACACTACGCTTCAAAAAAATCCAACTCTAAAACGCCTTTACCAATCTTTATAAAATTCAACTTATATCTCAGTTTACGTGTTCAAGGGTTTTTCGAGAAAATATCCTTAAAGCCCTTTTATTTAATAATAAAAAATGCTCGAAAAAAACTTTTATTTATAGGGAAATTTATTTTTAAGTAAACCCGTATTTTTTGTTAGTATACCCTGATAATTTTTTACAAATCAAACGAAGAGTAACGAAAATACAGCGCTTCAAAGTCGTCAAAAATGACCACTTTTCAGCAAAATACACTTACAGGCAAAATAATCGATCCACACAAATTTTTGATAATTTTCAATCGCAAATAAATTTTGTATTTGATGTCGGATTTAAAAATCGCTCACATTACAAAAAAATAGACGTACGTTTACAATATACAGGTTTAAATAAAAAGATGTTTTTTTACCATAAGTTTAAGACACTCTGTAGAGTGGCAAAACCGTATATTGTTCTAAATTAAGTTTTAATTATCAAGTCACATCTATTTTTATCAGTTTTGTTTTTGGTTCACCTCGATATATTTATTTTTGTGGAAAATATGTATTTTTTAAAAAACATTGCAATTTCCAATATTTTTTCTGCACAAAGAACTAAGATTTGCTGTGGTCCACCCATAGGCTATGGAGGATGACAGTGACAGTTTTGTTGAATCATCCCATACTTGGACATGTTATATACGGCTTTCAAAAGTAAGTAACAAGAAGTAAAGTACAAAGGGCAACATTAGTCGGAGACATATATATTTTTAAAAGTAAGAAGACACCTCAAAATTAACACATTTATTTACAAAAAAACAATTTGATAGCTTTTGAAAGCCGTATATGACATGTCCAAGTATGGGATAATTCAACAAAACTGTTACTGTCACCCTCCATAGGCTATGGATGTACTGTCCGTTCAGGCTAAGTTGAGCGGTCTAAGGAATGTCACCCAGTTCATCATCTCTATGTTCAGGCACAATTAAATACATGTATTTCGGTAGCCGCTCTGTACGAACAAACGACAAGCCGCGGCACTGATAAATCATCTTCTTATTACCAAAATCTCGCGACGATTCGATATTTAATTTAATCAACGGCCATATGATCCCCACCAAAGCGCTCAACTTAGCCTGAACGGACTGTACCATAGCAACCTTAGTTCATCTACAGAAAAAATATTGGAAATTGCAATGTTAAAAAAAAACCATATTTTCCACAAAAATAAATATATCAAGGTGAACCAAAAACAAAACTGTTAAAAATAGATGTGACTTGATAATTAAAACATAATTTAGAACAATATACGGTTTTGCCACTCTACAGTGTCTTAAACTTATGGTAAAAACACCTTTTTGTTTAAACCTGTATATTATAAACGTACGTCTATTTTTTAGTAACTTTTAAAATGTGAGCGATTCTCCATTAATTTATGTACAATATTCTTTAATAGTTGTTTAAATCCGAACTCAAATAAAAAAGTTATTTGCGATTGAAATTCATCGAAAATTTGTGTGGATCGATTATTTTGCCTGTGAGTGTAATAAAAAAGGGGTCATTTTTACCGACTTTGAAGCGCTGTATCTTCGTTACTGTTCGTTTGATTTGTACAAAATTTTTAGGGTATACTAACGAAAATACGGCATTTAACAGCATATTTTTTATTTACTTAAAAAAATTCCCTTAAAGTGATTTTTCAAACGTTTCTTTAATTATTAAATAAAAGAGCTTTAAAAATATTTTCTCGAAAAACCCTCGAACACGTAAACTGAGATGTAAGTATTTTTATACAAAATTTCATAAAGATTGGTAAAGGTGTTTTACTTATGCGTTAATTTTGACGGGCAGTGTATTTGAAACCCTCTTCAAAGAAAGCACATTTTAGAATACCAAACACATGTTTTTTTTCAGTTACTACAAGAGACAAGCATTTTTAGTCCACCCAGATAAAAATCCATTACCCGGTGCAGAAGAAGCTTTCAAAATCCTAGTTCACGCATTTGATATGATTTGTGAACCTGAAAGAAGGGCGGCCTATGATAGAGGTAAAATACCTTTGTTATAAATGAGGCGTTTCTCGGAAAAACATCATTAGTCCAATATCGTCGAAATTTAGATATTAGCACTAACTGTTTCCTAACCTCCATATATACGTATACAAATAAGTGTTTCTCGTAAAAATGTCATAGGTTCCATAATAATTAAATATGAAATTTAGCTTGTTCTTCTAAAAACATCACAAGTCCACTCCGTTTCGTCTAAGAAAGTCACATGTGCATAACATGTGACGTTTTTGGACACTCTAAAAAAGCTTCTACCTCTTTTACATGACCACAGCAATAGACAATTTTATGATAACTTGATAAAAGACCAAAAGACCATAGCACCTGACAGTCCTGATAACACGGTCGACAACGATGATAAGAGCAGTGGATGCGAATACTGAGTGTGGCCATAATACAGTTTTTAGTTTTTTCATTTATTTTGTTGCTCAGAGTTAATATTTAGTTTGTAGTGTTTGTAGTAAGGAGAATTGTTCGTTTTTTTCTTCTAAAAACCTCACATGTTCATGTATTTTTTATGTTTTATTCATATTCGTTTAAAAAAAAAACATGAGGAATTCTGGACAAAGTATCTTACATTTTTTTACATGTAGTAAATAGGTCAATAAAGTACTTTGGTCAAAAATGGGAATGTCGGAGAGTTTTTTTCATTTTCCCAAATATGTTAATTTTGGACTAATTATGTTTTTCCGAGAAACGCGTCAATTGGATCCTAAAGAAACTGTGTTTAAAATCGTTTCATGGACATCTTATCAATGTCTTAGCTATAATAACTATAGCACATATTTTTTAGGGGTTGTAGAGTCAGCCCAGGTGGTACAAGCGTGGAGCGAGCTAAACGATCTCTTGCAGCAGCTTCAGCAGAAGGTGGAAGCTGCCGCGAACACGATACGGTGCAGCGCGTGCGGCTTCCGGCACAAGCGGATAAAGGTGGAGCGACCCAGCTACGCGGCGCGCAACTGCAACACGTGCAAAATCCACCACGCGGCCCGCGAGGGCGACATCTGGGCGGAGGCGCGCGTCATGGGCTTCCTCTGGCACTACTTCGCGTGCATGGAGGGCAACGTCTACGACATAACGGAGTGGGCCGGGTGCCAGAAGGAGAGCTTGAAGCATCTAAGGCCGGATTCGCACCACGTGCAGTACCGCATCGCGTTGGGGAAGCAGTCGCAGCCGCCCAGGAGGAACAGCGCCTCGCCCAGGACAGACAGGCCGGATCTGGAGAACCTACTTAACACCCTGTACGGGCAGCAAAACGATCTTTCTTCCCAAGGAACACGACGCAGGAATAAGAAAGCGAACAAATGAGTTTCTGGACTTTAGACGACTTTTTTTCGATTTTATTAATCAGTTTATGCTACCATATGTAATTATGCGCTTAATAAATGTTTCCATCAGATCTAGAGATTTTTATTTTGGGTTTTGAGGTGTACAAATTATACCGTACTTTCATTTTACATGTGGGAGAATAATTTTTAAGAGGGAGAGGTCCGAGAGACGGTTTTCGTAATTCAGCAACCTAAATTCTATGGTTCAGCAGTAGACCCTTCACCGGCGTTGGGTGATAGTTTGCCTGGATTATTATTACAAATTACGCATTAATAAGTTAATTTACTTTTAAAAATTATTTAGATACTTAAAATGTAACGTTATCACTTTAACAGTAAATTATTAATTAATAACACCTGTGTTAAATCATTATTTGCTTTGCATTTAACTAAAAGTGTTTTCTTATAAAAAAAGTTATAACAAAAAATTCTCTTTAATAACTAAAAAAAATAATTCTCTTAAAAAAAAATTAAAATAAATAAATCAATTCAAAACTAAAAATCTAACTAAATAAAGTAATTAATTAATAAATTATTATATGAACACAAGCTTTGAATAATTTATTCAAAGCCTATTTTCAAACGTTTTCCCAAATTAAGTCAAACGTTAATTTTAAATAAAACAAATTAATTTATGTTAAAACGCTCGAAATACACACTAGCAAATGCAAAACATAACTGAATCGTCGCCTACGGCAAACCGCTTACAATGCATCTGGGGAGGGGCGTTCATCGAGTGTATATATATTTCAAATGAAAATACGTATGTGGAGAAAACCTCCCAAAGATTTTTAGACCTGACATCCTAAAGTGTTTGTCAACAATACAGTTAAAGCATACTAACTGAACTTAATTTTTAAATAGTTTTTTTTTCAAAAGAGAGGAAGTCAGAAGTCTTACTCGACAAATTTTGTTTGTAAAGTTTCAATTGCACAGCATTTGTGTTTTGCGTTGCAAGTAAAAACTTAAAAACTTTGGTTTAATACTCGATTTCGACTCAACGCTTATATGCTTATTTAGTTACGTTATATTGTGTGTATTTTATCTAAGTGATCATGGTGAATTACTGTGTCAAGCATTAAAGCATCTAAGGCCCGATTCGCACCACGTGCAGTACCGGATCGCGTTGGGGAAGCAGTCGCAGCCGCCCAGGAGGAACAGCGCCTCGCCCAGGACAGACAGGCCGGATCTGGAGAATCTACTTAACACCCTGTACGGGCAGCAAAACGATCTTTCTTCCCAAGGAACACGACGCAGGAATAAGAAAGCGAACAAATGAGTTTCTCGACTTTAGACGACTTTTTTTCGATTTTATTAATCAGTTTATGCTACCATATGTAATTATGCGCTTAATAAATGTTTCCATCAGATCTAGAGATTTTTATTTTGGGTTTTGGGGTGTACAAATTATTATACCGTACTTTCATTTTACATGTGGGAGAATAATGTTTAAGAGTGGGAGAAACCGAGAGACGGTTTTCGTAATTCAGCAACCTAAATTCTATGGTTCAGCAGTAGACCCTTCACCGGCGTTGGGTGATAGTTTGCCCTGGATTATTAATACAAATAACGCATTAATAAGTTAATTTACTTTTAAAAATGATTTAGATACTTAAAATGTAACGTTATCACTTTAACAGCAAATTATTAATTAAAAACCTTTAATTAATAACACCTGTGTTAAATCATTATTTGCTTTGCATTTAACTAAAAGTGTTTTCTTATAAAAAAGTTTTAACAAAAAATTCTCTTTAAAAACTAAAAAAATTAATTCTTTTGAAAACAAATTAAAATAAATAAATCAATTCTCTTAAAACAAAACTAAAAATCTAACGAAATAAAGTAATTAATTAATAAATTATTATTTGAATAATTTATTCAAAGCCTATTTTCAAATGTTTTCCCAAATTAAGTCAAACGTTAATTTCAAATAAAAGAAATTAATTTATGTTAAAACGCTCGAAATAAACACTAGCAAATGCAAAACATAACTGAATCGTCGCCTACGGCAACCCGCTTACAATGCATCTGGGAAGGGGCGTTCATCGAGTGTATATTTCTAATGAAAATACGTATGTTGAGAAAACCTACCAAAGATTCCTTTTTAGACCTGACATCCTAAAGTGTTTGTCAACAATACATTTAAAGCATACTAACTGAACTTAATTTTTAAATAGTTTTTTTTGAAAAGAGAGGAAGTCAGAATTCTGACTTAAGTCTTACTCGACAAATTTTGTTTGTAAAGGTTTAATTGCACAGCATTTGTGTTTTGCGTTGCAAGTAAAAACAAAAACTTTGGTTTAGAAGGTACCGTAAATACGGGTGACTTTGCACCCCGCGGGTGACTTTAACCCATTTATGAAAAATCTTTTCGCGCTCAATAAAATTAACATTTATAATTTGTTGGTCTAAACCTGTCAATTGAGCGATTCTATTGAGTTTATATTACAGGAAAATCAGTGTTTTAAAGAAAGAAATGGGATTTATTACACTTTAAAATTGTATATATCGTATCAGTGCAAAACTCTTAGAAATACACGCGTTACAATTTCTATATTATGCGCAATCCATTGGAATGATGATCCTTGGTTAACTACAGGTCGATTTTTTATTTTTTTTTATTGGTAATCCCTTGCAATAGATATATGTCGCTGCTAACACGTGTCTAATAAAAATATAATATAATATTACATTCATTTTATACTGAAAAAACACTGTGAGACAAAGTAACCCGCAACCAGGGGGTAACTTTGCACACCCAGTTTTTAATGTTTATTTTTGAAACTCAGCCCTATGTAATATTATAACATAGTTATTATGAAAGAGCAACTCAAGACTCAAATTTTGGTATACAAAATTTAATGTTTATGATTGTTAAAACCACAAAAATTTTAAGCTGAAGTTTGAAAGTGAGCCAAAGCCACCCGTGTTTACGGTACTCGATTTCGAGTTTTTATTTCCTATCATTGATTATAATCTTATAAGAAACTTAACGCTTATATGCTTATTTAGTTACGTTATATTGTGTGTATCATGGTGAATTACTGTGTTGTTAATTGTACGTATATTTGTTGGTGCAGAATTAATTAATAATAACTTTTCCTAAAAATATTTATATTTAAGTTTGGACATTTTAAAGAAATCCAACAAAAAATAATAGTTGTACAAACATAACCTTAAAATCAAACATTTTTATATTTAAATCCTCTAAAAAACGCAGACGACTGCTTTTAAAATAGTTAACGACAAAATCCTAGATAAAAGACTCTTTTATCTAGGGCAAAATAAATCTACGAATTCATGCAACATAATATTATATACCGGGTTAGTTTTTTAAAGTGTTACAAGGGGATTTTTGAAATCGATTTAAATTTTTTGTGTGAAATTTTGGTAAACTAACATTTAAACAGATTTTTGACACCTACTCCCTTTTCCTATCTTGAGGGGCGGGGGGTAACTTTGGATTTTTAATAGGGATAATGTACTTTTTTTCTGCCATTTCCATAAATATATTGACGTGAACCAAAAACAAAACTGTTAAGAATAGATGTGACTTAATAATTAAAACTTAATTTAGAACAATATACTGTTTTGCCACTCTACAGAGTGTCTTAAACTTATGGTAAAAAACATCTTTTTGTTTAAACCTGTATATTATAAGCGTACGTATATTTTTTAGTAATTTTAATAATGTACTTTTTTTCTGCCATTTCCATAAATATATTGACGTGAACCAAAAACAAAACTGTTAAGAATAGATGTGACTTAATAATTAAAACTTAATTTAGAACAATATACCGTTTTGACACTCTACAAAGTGTCTTAAACTTATGGTAAAAAACATATTTTTGTTTAAACCTGTATATTATAAGCGTACGTCTATTTTTTAGTAATTTTTAAAATGTGAGCGATTCTCCATTAATTTATGTACAATATTCTTAAATATTCGTTTAAATTCGGCATCAAATAAAAAAGTTATTTGCGATTAAAATTCATCGAAAATTTGTGTGGATCGATTATTTTGCCTGTGAGTGTAGTTTTTAACTTGGAATCGATTTTTTTTTAAAGTAGGGGGTAGATGTCAAAAATATGTTTAAATATGTCTCCACACCTCTCTATTTGTTTACCAAAATTTCACAAAACATGTTTAAACCATTTTTGAAATATCCCCTTCTAAAACTTAAAAAAAATTACCCGGTATAAACATAATATAATACCCGTTTTTATTTTTATACCGTTGAGTGGATCAATCAAAGCTTTTAATAACGCACAGCGCGCTGTTTGAATTTAGACGACTTATTTGTTTCATGATTTTTACTGAATTGAAATGTTTACAATTTTCACCTAAATCATTACGAAAATGTTTATTTATTGTATCTAACGGTTCAATTTATATTTATATTGTATGCAATTTATTTCTCCATTTGGATTTCCACTGTTTACTGGAAAACCGGTAAAAACTCAACCCACGATTTCCTCTAAAAACACAACAAATCGTTCCACGTTTTTTTCTCTCTCAATAATTGTTACATTTTCCGGCGATATTCTCGTTTGCAACATACGAGTTTGACAGCTGAATATTAAAAGTTGCAGTTTGGTTACATGATAACGGCGCTACTAGCAATGCTTCTTCAGCGTATAATCTGAACTTGATTAAAAATGCATTTTTCCCAAAAGGACTTTCTTTAACTTTAAAACAATCAACCTTTCTGCATGGATATGCTACTATTTGTAATTTCCCCCTTAATAAATGTTCCCATCAGAACTGAAGACTTTTTAAAGGCATAAAATAATCTATTTAACAGCATGTATTGCATTGTTACTTAAAGTCACATCCCCCATTGTTTACAAGAAAAAAGTGTCATGATATGTCACCGCAATATAAAATCAACAAAATTTAATATTTATTAAATTAATGGCCATTGGAACAGTAATATTATCGGCCAAAAAACGATGCAATTTACTTTACATAATATCAGCTCTGTGCATAATACAGGCGTTAATTGGTGGCGCCATCACAGGACCTTCGATATACATTTACGTCTCAATAGCCCCAATAGTTTCTGGAGATTCCGCTGAAATAAAATTCGTGTTTGCTACAACTGGTATTTTTGGTACGCACGTTATTTTTGATTGGTTGATTGGAATTTCTGTTGGACGCAGGTGCTTTTCAAATGCAAAAAAGTAAGTTACTTTTTACTTTTAGAAGACACTCTTTTATCAATAATATTTTCAGAAAGAGTACCAGAAATCTTCTCTTAATATGGTGCTGTACAGGTTCTAACACTATCATAAACCTAATAATTATAGCAAGTCTAACGAAAAAATTAAACAAGCAAATTGGCAGATCCATGAAAAATAGCCTACAAAGTTCTATGAGAAACTACTTAAGAGATGAAAGTGTTAAAATGAGCATGGACGAATTGCAATACTATGAGAAATGTTGCGGTATTTACTCATATGAAGATTGGCATGAGTTAAGCTGGTTGAGTAAATATGAAATTGATGTGAACTCTGAAGGATTTAAACGGTAAAATAGCTTACACAAGTTTAAATGATTTTGATCTGGGGAATATAAATTTTCTTACCAAACATCAGTTTGAAACTTTAAGATATCTCTAGCAAATAATACTTTACATTTCCATTACGAAAAATATAATTTTTAGGTACAGGGAGGGTGATGAAAACGTGCACTTACCAATCGTCCCATGGAGCTGCTGTAAACTGGAATTTCCCACTCAGTGTCTCCATGACCCCCTTCAACAAACCATGAATGCCCATTTGTGGAAAAACGAACCAAACATTGTGACCGACTCAATAAACGCTAATGGATGTCTGGATATAGTTTGGAAACCAATTACAAAAATCCTGGCTGTATTCGCGGTGTTGATATCGATATCGACTATCTTGCATGTAGGTGGATAAAGGTGTGGTGATTGTCTCTCATTGTTGTTTTCAGATTATTATTTTTTGTTTGATGAGGATTCTATACACTTCTTGTCGAAATCTTTACTTGCTTCCGGATCAGAAAGGTCTTTCTCCTGGCTGGGTGTTTGGAAGAGGTGATTGTGGATATTTTAGAGGAAAAACTCTCAACGAAATCATGATGGTACTGATACAATTATACTGCAGTTTGAACAAACCATGTTTATAAAATATTTTAGGGAATAGATCAATCAGGCCCTCCAGAGGACAGATCGGAAAAATCAGGCAAAAAGCATTTAATGGCTTTCAGGAGTTTAAAGGCCATTATGAGTAAAAATAAAAAGACAAAAAAAGAACGTCCAGAAGAAGAAAAGCTAATGAATGAATCGACTTCACCGTCATTTTTTAGTGCGACTACCCGAGGCACATTCAATACGTCCGAAAAAAATACTATCCCAGATACAGATGTATTGTTATACTTAAAATAGGATTTTATACAGACCTATACATATACATATACAAGTAAGAATAAATATATTATATTATACAAACTTGTGTGTGATTTTGGATTGATGAATAATAGTCGTGCAAATTTTTGTTTTGTTTTATTGAAGAAACTTATTAGAACTAATATATTTTTAAGACCTATTTATAATACAAAAACAAGTATATAAAATGAAACAATTTCGAAGGGTTGCTATTATTGTAATATCATAAGAACAAAAACGTATTTAATGAAAAAATAATAAATAAAACGATCAAAAAAATATTAGGACACAAGTACTGAACATTTTTTAATACTAATCTATAGATGCTATTTTACACATTTTTGTTTTAAATAATATGGGAGCACAACAGTTAAGGGTGATATTACAATCTATGAGATTAATTATATTAATATGTATAATAAAATTTTCAGCATCTTGTTTCTTAGTTTAACAACGTGCGTAGAAAATCATCTCTTGTCTCATTTTCAACCTAAAGCTGAAAAGAAAACATTTCAAAAGGTTTTATCCTAACAAAAAAGTTTACTTAATATTACTAAACTAAAAAATAGACCACCTCTTTATTTTTACAACAGTAATTTAAAAATGCATTAACGGGTGCAAGATATTTTTATTTAATTTTCATTACATTAATATTATTTTATTATTTTTAATTTAGCTTAGTTATGAAAAGATTTGTATTTTTATGACTTAACAGGGTTTTCAGAATTTTTAAGGTGTTCTAAAAAAATAAATTACATTACATTATTATATTTTTATTCACCACAATTCAATCGGAATTTTTATGATTTTCAGAATATTTCTATAGTTTTTAACCTTTAATTGCTTAAAAAAGAAAAACAAAAATAAAATTAACGGGTTTTGTTTATGAGATGTTGGGACAGCGATTTTAAATTTCAAGTTTAACAATTAAAATAAATTGACGACACGTCAAACGATTTTCACGACGACGCTGTAAGATTTAACGATTTCAAATATTCGGGATCTTGGCCTTTTATTAAAAACTTTTTTTTAAGTTAAAACAGTTATAACGACGATTTTAAATATTCTGCATCTTGGCCTTTGCAAAAACTTAGTATAAAGTTCAAACAAGGTTTTTGATAAGGTAAACATTATTTTTCTCACCAAAATGCTCCAACAGGTTTTGTTTATGAGATATTAAATTTTTTTAAATAGTCTAATTTTAGGAAACCAGAACATATACTATTTAAGTTTAATTTTAAATTTTTTGATCTGGTAAATCAATGTTTTTCACCAAAACACTATGTAACCCGCTTTGTAAATAAAATATTGTGACAAGGGTATTAAAGTGTCGAAAAAAACCAGGACTTGGAAAAATTTTATACAATAATAATTTATAATTTGTATATTAATATACAAATTTTAAAAAAAGTATTAAACATTTAACATAATATTAATTTAAATAAATATACTTTATTACAGAAAAAAAACCTAAATTAAATTGAATTAAATTAAATAAAAGTGCAAAAAGAAGTCCATTGAAAATATCCAAATAAACAAAATAATGAATTAAAGTTAAACTACAGAATTATAATTTTATAAATCGAAGTGTCAAATAAAACGTTAATACAGCACCGAATATGTTCTTTTTGCGAAAAAAAAACCTAAATTAAATTTGAATTTAATTAAATAAAAGTGTAAAAAGAAGTCCATTGAAAATATCCAAATATACAAAATAATGAATTAAAGTTAAATTACAGAATTATAATTTTATAAATCGAAAAAAAAAAAAACGAAAGTTACGTTAATACAGCAACAAATATATTCTTTTTGTGGCCCGGTAGAAAAAAATTAAATCATACTGAATTAAAATAATAGGAATAACATTATATGATTATAATCAGCGTTTTTCTTGATACCAGTGTACATATATTATCCGCAAAAATTTGTAAATTTTCAGAAAAATTGACTTTTGCAAAAGATAAAAAAATGCAAAAGTCAATTTTTCTGAAAATTTCCCAATTTTTTAGCGCCGGCTCAATTTTTCCGGAAATTTTAAAACCCCAATTGTAACTGCATGATTTCCGAAGCATAAAAATAATGTTGTATTTTTTCCGTTGATACGAGGTGTGTTCAGAAAATATCGGGAATTTTCGTTTTTTGAAACAAATATTTATTTATTCGTCCACATTAATGTTGTCGCCTTCAAAATAGTCCCCATTGGATATTATGCACATGTGCCAGCTCTTCTTCCAATACTCGAAACACTTCTAAAACTCGATCTTTGGGATAGCCTTTAGTTCTTTCAGCGATGCGCTTTCAATGTCATCTATGCTTGCAAAACGACGGCCCTTTAAGGTTCTCTTTATTTTTGGGAATAGGAAAAAGTCAGACAGAGGCATGTCTGGCGAATATGGAAGCTGGGGCATCATTACAGTATTCTTTTTGGCCAAAAATTTTGTTCAAAATTTAACAATTTTAGAACAAATTTTGCTGCCACCCAAAACATTCGAAAAAATTTCATGGGATGAGCCAATCGATATACCAACATCATCAGCGACTTCTCTGATGGTTTATAGCCATTTATTCCACTTTTTCCATGTTTTTATCGGTTGTTAATGTGCTTGTGCGTTCGGAGCGTTCGTTATCTTCAACGTCTTCACGGCCATCTTGGAAACTCTATACCACTTGTAAACTCTTGTTTTACTTATAGCAGACTCACTATAGGCCTTTGTTAACATTTCCGGAATTTATTTTATTTTTTTAAGCAAAATTGGATACAAATTCTTTGATCCATTTCTTTTAACGAACGAAAAATCGCCGAGCTCATAAAACACGGCTGCCACAGACAAAGTAAACAATGAAAACAGCTAAAGTTTTTATGATACTTCGGGGGCATGTATACCAACATAATAAAGAAAATTTTATGACAACCGGACCCTCCAAACCCGCGAAATTTAACAGTTCCCGTTATTTTCTGAACACACCTTGTATTTCAGCAACTTTGTAAAAATCATAGAAACTTACCCGCAATTCCTAGGACGGCTTCCGTCGCGGAATATTTGACATCCACGTCACCATCAATAATCAATTTATCGAGCACAGGCTTAACTTGCGGCTGTATGACCGACTGATCCAGCTGCGGCGCTATCCTCTGCAGCGTCTTGGCCACGTTGAAGCGCACGTTGGCGACCTTGTCGTTGGCCATGCCCAGCACGGTGGGCAGCAGCAGGCGCGTCGTGATCTCCCCGCCGCACGCCTCCGCCAGCACGTTCACGCAGAACAGGCACGTCATGCGGTAGAGGTAGTTCTGGTCGCGCGACATGGCCAACACCTTCGGGATGACGGTCTGCTCGGCCCACTCGGCGCCGAACTGGTCGACGAGCTTCCTCAGGTTCAACGTCGCCGCCTCTCGGATGGCGAACACGTGGTCCATCAGCCACGTCATGCACAGCGAGTTGAGCTTCTAATAAATAAATAAATATAAAGTTAATTTTTTTTATCTGGACTGCGGCAACGTTGCAAATTTAGGGGTTTGGTTGGTAAGTACGGAACCAAAATTGGTTGCATTGATTAAAACAAACTAAACTATGGCCAGAGCTGGGCAAACTACTTGAAAAAAGTAGTGGAGTATAACTACTAACTACTTAATTAAAAAAGTAGTTTAACTACCTAGTAGTTAAACTACTTATACAAAAAAGTAGTTAGATTACTAACTACAAGTAGTTAGTAATTTAACTACTTACATATACATATTACAGCTACCAAAATGGCAAAATAACTCAAAGTTATAAAATTTAATAAATCACTTAATATTATTATTATTATTTTATTTTAAAGTATGTGTTAAAAAATAATAAATATGTTTGCTTAGCATTTTAATCCTTTATTAAAAAACAAAATTTTATGTCAATTTTTTTAAATTATTTTTTTTGTATTTTTGCGCACTTTTAAGCGAAACTATAGTGCTATGGGACCCACTTTTTAATCATAGGTAAATCCCGTTTATTAGTTCTAAATTAAGCGGATAAAAATTAATTTTTGTCAGATGAATTTAAACACCAATAAATACAATTATTGTATTTTAAGGACAGAACATATCCAAGGTTTTAAGGATGGAAATTGGCGTAACTTATTCGACAATATACTCTTTTAACCGGCAATTAAAAAACACTCTTTAAACTTAAACTACAGGTTAAGTCAAAATTGCAGGCAATCTTGAGAATTAAGTTAATCGGAGATCAATTAATTAATCTTACGTTTTTACTTACCTCCTTAAAAATATCAATTTCAGACATAATTATTCTTTATTTATTGCACTTATGCACTTTACTTGCCGAAATGTAGGATTTCTCAATAACAGTAGTAAATAAGACAAAATGCGCTAGGCGAAGGGTTTTCAACAAGTTCTTGACAACAACTAATAACCTGTTTCTGCAGGGATACAATCATGCACATGGCATATCTAGGAAATTACTTAAATAACTACCTCAAAAAAAGTTAAATTATGTAAAAGTAGTTAAAATATATTAAAGTAGTTTAACTATACAAAGTAGTTACGACTGAGTAGTTAACTACTTTTTTAACTACTTTTTACGAATATTTTATGAAAACCTAAAATAATCGAGTATAACTACTAGGTAAAAAGAAGTAGTTTAAATTCGATTATTTTTAGAAAAAAAGTAGTTAACTACATTTGTAGTTAACTACTGCCCAGCTCTGACTATGGCTATGTTCCGTAATTTACTGTCAGTACTGTCAGTACTGAAAACGCATTCCGAAATCTACTTTAAGTTACTGAGCTCAGTGGTAAATACTACCCTTTTATAAATGTATGGCAGATTAATTTTACTGAAACAACTGGGGACAGAGAGGTGCTGTGGCTCCAGTAAAACACATAACCAAACTTTTAAACAAAAAATAGCTGTCAAATAAAGTGAAGGGTATACATTACATCATATAATGGTATTTGGTGAATACCTATAGGACTAATTATTTCAATATTTATTGATAAAATATTACTTGAAAGTACAAGCAGCATTGACGAAGGCAGGTCGCCGGGGAGTACGCACACTATACCCAGAATATGAAACTACCTACTAGGTAGTTAAATATGTTATATATTTGTATTCAGAGGACGAATTTAAGAGTAATTTTTGGTATTTGGCGTATTGTTGTGGTGTCAGTGAAATTTTATATTTCCTATTTATCGACGCGGACGACGATAACATTAAATTTTCCTTATTTCTCTGCCATAAACCAAACATATTTCTTATAACTGTTATATTTATTTGTTATTTATGTTCTCTGCTGCGTCGAAAGTAAAGTTTATCAATTGTCAGTAAATCATAAATCATAACCTTGCGTAACCATTGTCACTTTCTGCTGCTACTGAGGCGCGTTCCAATTTTACTATTGCGTCAGTACTGAATAAATTACGGAACGGTCTTTTTTTGCTACTGACAGTAAAATTACTGATAGTAATGGCAGTAAATTACGAAACACAACCTATATTGATATTATAATTATTATAATTAACAAGTAAATCAATAATAAATATTACTGTCAATTTGAAAGTTTCAGAGTATTTAATTGAATCGGTGAGAATAAAAACAGTACAAGTCCAAAAAGTCATTTTTTAAAATCAATTTTGAAGTTTAAAATACATTTTTATGAGAATAAATAAATTATTTTACAGAATATGAACATTATATTTTATAAAATATTCCCGCAAAAATTCATTTAGAACCATAAAACTGATTTTTTTTAAATATTTTTTTGTGAGGAGAAATAAATTATTTTACAGAATATGAACTTTATATTTTATAAAATAGTTAAAATATTCGTACGTCTGACGCAAAAAGTATAATAATATACTATTATTAGTTTCAAGAAATTTTGCATACAGAAGAAAATATAATACAAATATTAAATGAAATTTGGTCCAGAAAATACATTTCTTAATGATTTATAAATTCGTGTAAATCATTTGGTTTAATATGCATCAGCAAGTTACAGTTACACTTTTTAAGGTTTTCTTCATAAGGCATAATTTTAAGGAAACGGTTCATCTGACAGAAAATTTCGTTTTAACCTTTTTTATAGAGCATTCAATTTTCTTCCAAAAATATTTTTGATTCAATTTTGTTAAACTCAATGGTTTGAGAGTTATGAGACAAAAACTTGCTGAGGAAAAAAAAAATAAAATTGCGATGATAGACCTCTTAATATTAATATTATGGACTCAAACTTTCACAATATTTTTTTTTGTCACCCCAAACCATATTTTCGATATACTTTTCAACAAAAAAAAATAGTTGATTTTTTTGGCCCAGTCTAATGCTTAGGAAGATCTTGTAATAGCGTTTCGTTTAAGGTGTTCAAAGTTTGCCTTATTTTTGTGTGCAAATACTAAAAGTTCATAAACATATAAACCAATAGCAGTCAAAAAACTATTGCATCTAAAATATCCTCTACACGAATCAGTATATAAAAATAAGATAACTGTTAAGTTACAATTGTTGACATAATTGTAACTATGACAATTAAGCAAAGGTCAATTTAGTGAAGTGAATATACTGGCCCCTTATGAACATTATACTTTATAAAATATTCCCGCAAAAATTTATTTAGAACAGCGATACTCAAACTGCGGCCCGCGGGCCGCATGCGGCCCGCCAACCTTTTTTTTGCGGCCCAAAGCCTAGCCACAGTATTTTTTAGATAAAAAAATGCCCAAATAATGTAAAACACTTTTTTAAACAGCCTTGTGAGATAATAGTTATTTATGTATTAAGGGCATAATAAGGTTTTTATGGTCCGAGGCGCTATTTCGAGCCCGAGCGCGTTAGCGCGAGGGCTAGAAAAGCGTCGTAGGACCATAAAAACCAGTTATGCCAGCAATACATACAAAACTTTATGCACGATTAATATATTATTATTTTTAATATATTATTGTTTTTAAAGACGTTTACGTCAAAGAATTTTTGTTATAATTGTCATATTATAATGTCAACTGACATCAGTCAGTTTTAAAGTTTAAAGATGAATGAAATTGAGGAAGCAGCTGAAAAGGCGAAAAATTGCGGCCTGCTTCCGGAAAAATCAAAATCTTTATACGAAAAAACTTACTTCGAATATATCAAATGGTGTAACATTGTTGTTTTTAATTTTTGACGTTTCATTATAGCCCGCTGGGTCATAATAACGCCCGCGGGCTATAAAAAGACGTTTACGTCAAAGAATTTTTGTTATAATTGTCATATTATAATGTCATCGTGCATAAATATTTTTTAAATATTTTTTCTGTAATATGACGGGATTTTTATTACTCCGTGAACCGACCAAGTACAGTGTAATCTTTCCAACTTTTACTGTGACGAGTTTGAAACACGGCGTTACACGAGCCCCATTAATACGTTTTTGTAATAAATGGTGGGGATTTAAAGTCGCGGGACGCGATTAGGCAAACACTCCCTTGCCTTAGTATAAAATCACTGGCACTTACAAACCACCGCTGTGAGACAACTTGCTGCATTGGGATTTGACAACGCATGCGTTGAATAAATGTATTGAATTTAAAACAGACTCAAATTTGGAAGCAATTTTTAAACAAAAAAGGATAGAAAGAATTTTAAAAAGTAGTAAAGTGTACCTGTTACCTGATAACTTTGAAACGCTGAAATGAAATATTGGACGCAATCCAAGGAAAGGGAGGTTTTAGTTAAAATATTCCCGCAAAAATTCATTTAGAACCATAAAACTAATTTTTTTATATATTTTGTCAAAATTTTGACATTTGGACTTGTACTGTTCTTAATCTCACCGATTCAATTAAGGTCTTCAGTAGAAGTACAATTTTTTAAATACTAAAAATACTAAATCAAACTGGCATAAGCTACCAACTTAATAAAAAAACACGAGTCCAAATTAAAACTATATTACACATACCTCGTCGAAGAAGTCGCGGCCCAGCTGACCCGCCAGCAGCGGCATGTACTCGATGATTGCGGACCTGACCCTCCATTTTGAATCCTCGGCCAGCTCCACGATCGCGGGCAGCAGCGACTGCGAGAGCTGCTGGATGCCGATCACCTCGTTGACGCAGTCCAAATTGGAGATAATGTTCAACCTGACCTCCGAGCACTCGTCCTTCAACTGCGTCAGGAACAACGGCAGCAAGTGCTCGATAGTGTTGTGTCTACCTAGTGTTGCAAACAAGGAAAAGTTCGGTCAAAAAGTTGCAAAAGTTGTTGGAAAAGTTCGGCACCCCCTATGAAAAGTTGGAAAAGTTATTAGGTGGGAGCCAATGAACAATTAGTTGACTTCTAAGTTAGTTAGAAGTTCTAACCACACCATAAATTTTTTTCGGTAGATAATTTTGTTTTTAGTAAAACGTGCGAAAATCATTGTTTTTTGGAATAACATTCTGTCAAACTTTATCAAAAATGGTGTCTGCTACTAGAACAATTCATCCTGCGTCTATCCCCGGTACTCAAAAAACCGTATTTATATATATACGGTTATTTTATTACCGGGGATAGACGCAGGATGAATTGTTCTAGTAGAAAATGCCGTAAAACAAAAATCGCAAAATTGTTGGTGACGGCGTTTTCATTAAGCACGGCAGATTTATATAAAGATTGTTTTATTATAACGTATTTTAGTTGCTAAAATTTATTCAATAAGAATATGTGGGTCACGTATTTTGAATTATATCCTCATAATAAGATAAATATTTAAAATTGAAAAAAAAAACAAGGAATAAAACTCATTATTAAAAAAATAAACTAAAATGTACCGAAGTGAAAATCGGTAGAAAATAAGGTATTTTTGGTCCGGTCGATAGATAAAATATGATTTTTTTTAACCCAAACCTAGTTTATTTTTGTTGTGATTATGTTGTCTGTTCATTTTTTTTTGTTTGTTATTTTTTTTGTAATTTTGTTACATATGTATAAATACATTAGAAATAAATTATTTTAATACATTGACAAGCATTATTTATGTTTTATACGTTTTCATTACAAAAAACTTTTCCATCTTTTCCAAACTTTTTCGAAAAATAAAACCCAACTTTTCATGAAAAGTTGCAACCCTATGTTTACCTAAAATCGGACTCAAACCCATGATCACGGACGCCAGGGCGCTTTTGACGTGCTGGTTCGGGTCGGCGACCAGCTCCTTGACGCACGGCAGTATGTTGGTCATGATGATGTTCTCTTGGTGCGCCTTGTCGAGGTTCTGGCAGAAGTCCTTCACTTTGTTGGCGGCGGCGGCGCGCACCTCCGCCTCCGTGTCCTTCAGGAGGCTCTGGAAGGCGGGCACCAGGTCGCTGCGCGTTATTTCCGGACCGACGGCTTTCTGGAGCTCGGTGAACTTTTCCGCCACCATGAAGCGGACGCGCCAAGATGTGTCGCCTGAAATAAATCAAACGATGTGAAAATGCCCCAATAATGACATTTCATCAAGTTTCAACTTCGTACGTCTGACAGAAAAAGTTAAAATAATTTTTTCTATGACCACTATGTAAAAGTAACTTTTCATGATGGCATCGTTGCTTAGAAAATGAATCTTTTCATTGGCAAGGCAAAACACGAATGTAAAGTGACATTTCTGTGTGAAAAGTGACAGGTCTGTGTGAAAAGAACCGGAAAGCATCGTTTGACATTCAGCTGTCAAAAAAGTTTTTAGGTTATTTTGTTTTGTATTTAAAAATAATAAAAAATAAAAGGGTCGCAGAAAAAACATTGTGTTATACTTGTGAGAAAAGCTTTCTTCAAGCTCGTGTTAATGCACACTCGGCCTAACGGCGAGCAAACTCGCATGAAAAAGTCGCTTTTCAACACTTGTAAAACAAATAACTATTAACTCATCCGTCACTACACATCTGTTTTTGACGCCTAACGTTATTTTAAGATAATTTATTTTCAAATCTTTTAATATTTTTTTAATAAGATTGTAAAACGGAAATATAACGTTCGTTATGTGAATTATGTTCTACTAAAAAAATAAAAGACAAACAAAAAAATATTAAAACCAGAACTAAAAGGACCTGCTTTTTTAAAACTATACATTTTAATGTACTATGCTCCACACCTCAAAGTCCCACCACGTGACCACGTACGGAACGCAGTCTTTTGAAAATTTGGCATTTAAGGCTCTGTCAAAGTATAGTACACAAAAGAAATAATATTATGTTTAGGCGTTAAAAATGTATAAATCTTTATAACATTACAATAACAATGGATGGTTTAAGAATTTAACAATATAAATACTGCATTTAATGAAATTCTAAAGTGTATGGTGCCAAATAAGTAATATTTTGTGCATTTGGTCCAAATATCTGGTTTTCTCCATAAAATAATTTTAACTAAACAACATTTATAAAAAAAAATCTAGCTTCTCTATTATAGAATAAGAATATCTGTATTAAAGGTAGGTTAATATATTATAACAAAAATATCATCTAATTTTGTAATTTTAAGGTATTTAGGTGTATAATATGGTTTTTAAAAATGTGGTAGTTTTTCTCATCCAGCTTAAAGTGTACCTACATAAAGTTTTGTCAATACAAATAGTTAAAAAGCTTCAACTGAATTTGATCTACATCAAAAAATCATTATAACTTTAAAAATTTTAATAAATCACATGTCATGGGAGTATTAAATATTTTCACATTGCAAGTTTCTCTAAAAATTGTTTGTTTTCTTATAATCTAACTTAAAGTAAGTATGCCGAGAGGTATTCACAAGTTTTGTCGTTAGAAGTATAAAAGCTTCAATTTAATTTGAACCATATTCAACAATTATTTAGTATACCTATATTTATTTATGACCATATTAACAAACTCTTTCAAATAATCCACCTATTTATTTTGGTCAAAATAGATTTTTTCAACCTTAAAATGCAAAATTAGATGATATTTTTTGTTGTAATACATTAACCTACCTTTTATACAGATATTCTTATTTCATAATAGAGAAGTTAGATTTTTTTTAATAAATGCTGTTTAGTTAAAACTATTTTATGGAGAAATGTAGACCCAATGTACAAGAATATCACTTATATTGCACCTTACACTTTGGAATTTCATAAAATGCAGTATTTATATTCCTAAATTCTCAAACCAACCATTGTTATTGTGATACAATAAAGATTTATTAACTTTTAACGCTTAAACATAAGCGGTAACACTATAAATATTATTTCTTTCATTGACTATACTTTGACAGATACATAACCTGAAAACCCTTAAATGCCAAATTTTCAAAAGACTGCGTTCCGTGCGTGGTCACGTGGTGGGACTTTGAGGTGTGGAGAATAGTACATTAAGGCTAGTATATTCTTTTTATATGGTATATTTACCTACCTTTAAATTTGCTAACTGTTAAAGTTACAATTGTTGACATAATTGTAACTATGACAATTAAGCATTAGGTAAATTTAGTAAAGTAAATATACTGACCCTTAATTTCTATTTGTCGCCAAATCAATCCGTTAAACGCAATTAAAAAACTAATGCATGAAAATTAGAACATTTCTTAACGGACGAATTTATTGAAAAACGGACAAACGGATACATGAAAATTAAGCTTAACGCAGAAAGTTAAAATAATTTTAACTCATCCGTCACTACATATCCGTTTTTGACGCTCAACGTTATTTTAAGATAATTTATTTTCAAATCTTTTAATATTTTTTTAATTATCATTGTAAAACCGAATGTTCTACTGTTATATCTTTATTTAATAAGAAAGGAAAAAAGAAAAGACAAACTAAAAATATTAAAAAGAGAATTAAAAGGACCTGCTTTTTCAAAACTATACATTTTAATGTATATTAAGACTGGTATATTCTTTTTATATGGTATAATAATAATAATGTTTATTTATTTCAAGAAATTTTGCATAAAGAAGAAAATATAATACAAATATTAAATGAATTTTGGTCAAGAAAATACATTTCTTAATGATTTAAAAATTCATGTGAATCATATGGTTCAATATGCATCAGCAAGTTATAAACGCCAGTTTTAAACTTTTAAAGGTTTTCTTCATTTTGAATAGTTTTTGGTAGTCTATTGAAACATAAAACCGCCGCAGTCTATGCTTAGGATAGTTGTAGCGTTTCGTTTAAGGTGTTCAAAGTTTGCCTTATTTTTGTGTGCAAATACTAACAGTTCATAAATATATAAACCAATAGCAGTCAAAATACTATTGCATCTAAAATATCCTCTACACGAATCAGTATAGGTACCTTAAATTGCTCAATATTCGAATTACACGCTTTTGTATTACACAAGCATCTGAAACACTACTACTTCTGCCTCAAAAAATAAGATAACTAGTTACAATTGTTGACATAATTGTAACTATGACAATTAAGCATTAGGTAAATTTAGTGAAGTGAATATACTGGCCCTTTTATTTGTTGCCAAATCAATCAGTTAAACGTTATTAAAAAGCGGATGCATGAAAATTTGAACATTTCATGTCGGACAATTTTATTGAAAAACGGACAAATGGATACATGAAAATACACCCCCTTCTACACTGCACTTTTCGCTCTCGCTTGATAAAGTTGCATGCTAAATATTAATAAATAACGCTGTGGCCCGGGTTGTTTGTTGTGAGAATTGTGAGTATTTTGACTGAATTGTAATTTTAATTTATTTATAAACAAACCTAACATTATATTACAGTAGTTACATTGGGAACAAAAAAAAATACAAAACTTGTAATAATAATTATAAAAAATAATAAAGATCTTATACCAAACTTCAGCTTAAAATTTTTGTGGTTTTAACAATCATAAACATAAAATGTTGTATACCAAAATTTGAGTCTTGAGTTGCTCTTTCATAATAACTATGTTATAATATTACATAGGGCTGAGTATCAAAAATAAACATTAAAAACTGGGTGTGCAAAGTTACCCCCTGGTTGCAGGTTACTTTGTCTCACAGTATTTTTTCAGTATAAAATGAATGTAATATTATATTTTATTTTTATTAGACACGTGTTAGCAGCGACATATATCTATTGCAAAGGATTACCAATAAAAAAAATAAAAAATCGACCTGTAGTTAACCAAGGATCATCATTCCAATGGATTGCGCATAATATAGAAATTGTAACGCGCGTATTTCTAAGATTTTGCACTGATACGATATATACAATTTTAAAGTGTAATAAATCCCATTTCTTTCTTTAAAACACTGATTTTCCTGTAATATAAACTCAATAGAATCGCTCAATTGACAGGTTTAGACCAACAAATTATAAATGTTAATTTTATCGAGCGCGAAAAGATTTTTCATAAATGGGTTAAAGTCACCCGCGGGGTGCAAAGTCACCCGTATTTACGGTAATCTTATATTTTTCTTTATAAAAGTTTTTCAGTCCTTTAAAAATAATATTTATTATTTATTTAGGTTTACATATTACTAATAGTAATTTACTATAGTATAGCTAACTAATCAGTTTTTTAACTAATTGACCAAAAAAAAAGAGTTTGAAAATTAACAAAACATGAAAATTGGTAAAATTATTGGGTGTTTTAAATAAAATAATATTGGTTATCAATATCAATAAATTAAATTAATTAATTTAGTTGCTGTCGAATTAAAATTTTTATTTCATTTATTTTTCATTTTCTATAAATTGGTACCCATTTTAGGTTTTTATATGAACATAAAATAATAATAAAAGTTTACTAGATATTAAAAAAATAAAAATAAAATTAAAGAAGTAGTACTTACTTGTGCATTGTCTTAAGGTCGGCATAACTAGTTGCTCGACGTCGTCGTGCTGAAGTAGGGTGGCGATGCTGACGCAGGCCTCGACGGCCAAAAGTCTGACGGAATCCTGCTCGTCCTGGGCGAGATGCACGAACATCGGAATCAGATCGCTCTTCAAGTATTCCAACTCTACCGCTTGCGCCAACTCGCCCAGTTTTGTGGCGGCCGCTCTGCGCACCATCGGCGTGTCATCCTGGCAGAGACCTGCAATGGCGAAAATAATGTACCACGTTTAAAATCTGGGACTTTGTGCGTTTTAAAGGTTATAACATATATTTGAAATATATTTGTAAATTTTCAAAATTTCCAGATTTTTAAATTACCCACAATCCAAACAATTTTAAGGTTAATTTACCAAAACCCACAAATTTAAAATTGACAGTTTGATGAGAGCATTGCATTGATTTTTAGTATGCGCGAAACGAGATAGAACAGACCTTGATATGTGGATTGTGACGTCAATTACGATTTTAAGGAAAATTTATCAGAAAAATCATAAGAAATTTATAAAAAAGAGTCTTGACAACGTTTATTATGTGTTGAAATTATTAAGAATACAAAGAAACATGTTAAAAATAACTGCAAACTTTTTATTTACTTAAAAAATTCCCTATAAGTTTTTTTTCGAGCGTTTTTTTAATATTAAATAAAAGGGCTTTAAAAATATTTTCTCGAAAACACCCTCGAACACGTAAACTGAGATATCAGTTGAAGTATTCTTATACAAAATTTCATAAAGATTGGTAAAGGCGTTTTAGAGTTTTTTGATAACTAAACTCTTTCCAAACTTATTTATGGTTAAAGTTAAAATTATTTGAAACAATATTTTGTGATAAGTTTATGGTTAAAGTTAAAATTATGTGAAACATTTTGTGATTAATTTTTGTTATTAAAAGTTTTAAGTTTTGTTATTAAAAAACCATAGAACTTTTTTGTAAAGCAATGAATTCTTCACAAAAATATGTATGTACTGTGCTCCACACATTACAAGCCCCACCACATGACTTTTATCAAGATTTTTTTCATGTTTTTTTTTTAATCTGGTACCTAAACATTTTGTTCATCAGTTTTATTTATTGCAAAAATGACTTGTAAAGCCCAAAAAACAAAAATATAATTTTATGGCAAAAATGTGTTTTACATCTATACGTCGTTTTGAGGGGTGGTGAATCCAGTGCCATGCTTAGATTTTGTTTAATAAATCGCTAATATGAATTCTTAAAAATTTACTCTTAAAAACTGAGATAGTATGCCTTGTCTTTTGCTTCAAAAATACAGTTTATCAAGATTTTTTTTCATGTTTTTTTTTTAATCTGGTACCTAAATTAAGGTGGAGTATAGAACATTGCCTCTTTACTGAGCTAAACAATTCAGAAATAACTTAAAATATTTTCCCATGTTAATGTAATAAAAAAATGCATTCAGGAACCACTAATTATTAACATTACATAATCAAATTTCAACAGGCGTCTTATTTCCTCTTCCTATAAGTATTAAACATGTGGTACCAGCCTAATAAGGGTGTTAAACAAAAAACCGACAAAATTGGGGGAAAGAACGGTTTTTTCACAGGCCTTTGAAAAATTGGCTTTTTTTGGGTAAAATTGATTTTTTTTGGAAATATAGACATTTTTAAAAAAGTTGTGAACAACATCTTAACATTTTAATTTAAAAAATATATACTTCATTACAGAAAAGAAACAAAATTGAATTGAATTAAATTCATTTAAGAAAATCAGGGTTCGAAAATATCATGATATTTATATAAATATCCGATATATATCCATAATAAATATCCAATATAAATTGAGTGGTATATATTTGCAAACCCTAAGGTTCGCAAATATCATGATATTTATTTAAATATGCGATATATATCAAGTGATATATATCTGCGAACCCTGAAGAAAATAAAAGTAAACGTATATACTGTCTTTTTGCCAAAAAGAAGTCTATTGAAAATATCCAATTACAAAATAATGAATTAAAGTTAAATTAGAATTTTATAAATAAATAAAACAAATAAAACAAAAGTTATGTTAATACAGCAACGAATATGTTCTTATTGCGGCCCGGTAGAAGAAAAATTGTACCGAATTAAAATAATATGAATAATTATTATATTCATCATCATATTATATGATTATAATCAGCGTCGGAAATTTTCAGAAAAAGTGACTTGCATTACTTATTGAATAAAATAAAAAAATGCAAAAGTATCTATATTTTTCCGAAAATTTTACGCCGGCTCAATTTTTCCGGAAATTTTAAAACCCTATAAGCACTAGGGTGGGCCCATTTTATATTTAAATTCTAAAATTTATAAATATTAAATTCTGCATTTAAGAAAAAGTTGTGAAATAGGAAAGTAAACATTTTTTGCAGAATATTTTTTTTGATATCTATATGTTTTGAACTGCCGCAACGCCTCTGAAAATTTAAAAGTAATTTTAAAAAATTTAAAATTATTCATAAGCGGGAAAGTTGTGAAATAGGAAAGTAAACTATTTTCCTTTAATATTTTTTTTTCTTTTTTAATGTTTTGAACTGTATGAAGTCAAACTATAAATTTTAAATTTTGCAATAATTGTAATTATTGGAGAGACGGCGTAAAATGGAGAATAAATATTTTTTAAGTTTTCGTGTTTGACGTAGGACAGTTGACAGTTGGCTTCACTGTTTATATAAATTATAATATTTTGACATCGTCAATTAATAATAATAATAATAATAAATACTTTTTGGGTGTTTGTGAAAAATGGCAGGTAAAACAGAATTATAAATTGAATTAAATTTGTGTTGATGATAAATTCATTTTTATTTTTGTTTTTTTTAATAAATATTTATCATTCAAAACTTTTTTTAACCCTATTTTCTCTCAGATAATTTTTTTCGTATTTAAAACGATACTAAATTACATTAAGATCTTTCAAGGCCTTGCGGCAGTTTAAGAAATTAAAATTAAAAAAAAAACTGGCTTTATAAATGCACAACTTTTCCACCATTGCACAATTTGATATTTGAAAAATATTAAAATCGGCCCACCCTAATAAGCACCCCCTGTATTTTTAAACTTACCTCTGAAAAGGGTCCTCAGATCGTCCTTCTCCCTTGTCGCGGTGACGCGGGCATACGCGACGGAAAACAGACCGCACGCGGAAGTCCTCGAAGTGAACCAGTCCCCGGTGGCCAACCGCTGCACCAGCGGCACGAAGTGGTTCTCCAGGTCGGCCGGGCTGTGCTGCGCCGCCAGCGCCCTCAAGCTCTCGACGGCCTTGTCGCGCACCACGGTCTCCTCGACGGTCGCGAGCGACTCGAGCGGCGGCAGCAGGCAGTAGGCGTAGTCGGGGCCGCCGACCAGCGTCACGAACGTGCCCAGCTGTTCGGCGAGCGCCAGCAGCACCTCGTCCTCGTCGTAGATGGTTTCCGTGAGGAAGGGGATCAACTCTTGCCGGGTGCGTTCGACGCCCAGCGCCAGCGCGATCGTCGACAGCTTTTTGATCGAGTTGAGACGCAGCTGGAATTGCGAGAGGCTATTTTTAGAATGGCGCGAACAAGTTTACGCGACTATCGTCTGTTAGGATAGGAAGTTTGTTTTATATATAAATCAGGGCTCCCACAGCTAAATTACAAATTTTATTTAGGAATTTAGGAGGTTTTTTGGAGAATTTTAGGAGAAATAAAGTATGCAAATGAATTTATGTAATGAAATAAAAACAACTCTACACTGTGCTTAAAAACATAACAAAATTATAAATAAAATTTAATAGTGATATGTTTTGTACAAATAGGTTACAATGACTAGTTTTTAAAAAAATTACTACTTTTGTATATCTGAGGTAGAAATTTTACCACTTTTAATTTTATTTAAAAAAAAGGCGTCGGCTAAAAAAATTGACCCAAACTCAAATGAAAATAATTGAAATGTGGATCTTGTTACTCAAAAAAGTCATAATAGAAAAAATATAAAGTTGCACTATTTTACTATCATTTAAAAGAAAATTAAAAATACTTGTCGAAAACAAACGAAATTTGGCTAAAAATGACAATTTTGTAAAAGTCTAGGATTTTGTTTTGTATATTTTGTGGGTTTTTTTAAGAAAAATGTAGGTTGTAATATAACCTTTTAAAGAGAATTTCATAAACTAGAACCTACAAATATGTACTTTTAAAAAAAGAAATTTTTTAGCACGATAACTACCTTAATTAAAGTTGTCCCACTTATATTTAATTTTTAGGAGTTTTAGGAGATTGATGGCAATTTTAGGAAAATTTTAGGAGTTTTCAAGATTTGAGCCAAATTTTAGGAATTTTATGAGTTTTAGGAGGTGTGGGAGCCCTGATAAATTCAATTTAAAATAAGTTTTAATTTTAATTCTACAGTCCGTGGACAATTTATTAGACTTACAAGTTTTCTTTAATTGTGGGAATTTGTAAAATAGTTACCAAAAATGCATTTTTCAACTACTATCGCTAACAAAAAAACTCATACAGCTTAAAAATCTAGTGTTCCTGATTTTCTATCATTTCGTTGGAGTAATTATGGCTTTTAACATGATACGTCACATTTGAAAGGTCTAAAATTAAATACAAAGTTAGGTTAAAGTTTGAAAAAAAAATAATATTTCGTCATCCCTCTGTTTTTGTCAATTACTGCCCGCAAACGGCAAAGCATTTAAGTCGCCGTCTTGCTTTATCTCGTTCCAAATGGCTTCAATGGCTTGCCAGAGTTCGTCTGCATTGTTTGGTTGAAAATGTTGTTAAAAAAGTCATAATGGATGTGACAAAACTCGATGTCAGCTTGACATTGACGGAAAAAGTTTTATTCACACAGCCACAATATAGCTGTATGAGTTTTTTTTGTTATCGATAGTACAAAAGTGATTTTATTAATAGAAACGCGTTAAACACGTTTAAAATATTATGTTATAAAATTAATATTTTTCACGAAAACAACTTTTTGAATTTAAAACTCATTGTTTCAAAAAACTTTTATTACATGGTAAAAAAAATAAGTTTATCTCCACGCGGTCTATAATTTAAACTTTATTGTTGTCAACATTCGATAAAGAAATACCTTGTTATGGCCTAGGCCGATAAAAATTTTTATGAGGCAAGTAATTAGTTCGATTTTTTCTCGCTAGGGGTATTGTTTTGACAAATTAATCCTTTTCTAAGAAATTAACGTACTAAACTGGTTTAATTTATTTAAAATAAGCACTAATTTGTTTGTTTTACTGTTATAACATTATAATGTTTAATATTTTTCATTAAATTATTGTAAAATTAAATATGAATAATAAAACAAAAAGTGTGGTTAGGACATTGCAATTTGACGTTTCTGTGAATTTCACAGTTGTTTTCTTTTTCTACGATTTAAATTATCTTCAAATTTTAATTTGCTTTAAGTTTTCAGTGAAATTAAATGTTAAATACAGCGTAAACATTCCAAACTACCTATTTTTTTAATAAAAATGCAAACAAATTGAAATTAGATACCTATTTATTAAACAATTAATTGAATTCAATGTAATAGCAAGAGGGTAAGTAAACCATTTTCTTACAAAAATCCATTTCTACTTAAATCATGTAGCTAGGTATTGTCAAACTATTACTGCTTCTAAAAGGAAAAATAATTATTGTACATTTAATGTAATCTTTAGCTAATAAATAAATGAGGTTCTAAAAAAGTGAGGTTAGGCCGCTTTCATGTTAAATTAAATTGACCTATATAAAGTGCTTTGAAGATAAAATGTTGTATGCCATTCGGCCAAGAAGTGTCTTTTTGTGCTTCGCTCAATTGTAGGCCTCCGCTACGCGTCGGCCTTCAAACTTTGAGCTTAGCACAAAAAGCCTTACTTCTTAACCTAATGACATAAATAACTATTTAATTTTAATTCTACAGTCCCTGGACAATTTATTAGACTTACAAGTTTTCTTTAATTGTGGGAATTTGTAAAATAGTTACCAAAAATGCATTTTTCAACTACAAAAGTGATTTTATTACCTAATAGAAACGCGTTAAACACGTTTAAAATATTATGTTATAAAATTAATATTTTTCACGAAAACAACTTTTTGAATTTAAAACTCATTGTTTCAAAAAACTTTTATTACATGGTAAAAAAAATAGGTTTTAATTTTAATTCTAAAGTCCCTGGACAATTTATTAGACTTACAATTTTTCTTTAATTGTGAGAATTTGTAAAATAGTTACCAAAAATGCATTTTTTAACTACAAAAGTGATTTTATTTATAGAAACGCGTTAAACACGTTTAAAATATTATGTTATAAAATTATTATTTTTCACGAAAACAACTTTTTGAATTTAAAACTCATTGTTGCAAAAAACTTTTATTACATGGTAAGATATGTTCCTAGGGCCGTGCGCAGGATTTGCTCCTGGGGGGAGGTTATCAAATTTAAGTTATTTTTCAGCATTTCAAGTCAAATTTCATAAAACATATTTATTTACAGTTTTTTTTATAATTTCGAGTGAAATAATTTGTTATGTTATTTTTCAGTATTTCAAGTAAAAATTGTAGTTTGAAACCCTCCTGGAAAGGGTTGAACTGTAGATGTAAATTGGAAAAAAAGATCCGTTTTTTTTCATATTTTAGTTTTTTTTAAGATTAGTCCCATTGCCTACTTTTTTGTTTCCAGTCCGGTTCATGAACTAAAATTTAGCCACTAAATGACATTTAGTAAATGTGTTAAACAGTATTATATTAATATAAAAACATGATCATACTATTTACACGCTATTTTTGTATTATTTATTGTATATTCTACAGTGTGACCCATTTGTTTGCGACTCACAACTGTAAAATCGATTTTAACCGAATTTGTTTTAAAGTGTATTTCTTGATAAATTGTATTTTTGGAGCAAAAGACGCCATATTTTTACAAAATACAAGGCCTACTATATCAGTTTTTAAGAATACATTTTTAAGAATTCATATTAGCGATTTTTTAAAACAAAATTCAAGCAGGGCACTGGATTCACCACCCCTCAAAACGATCCTATACCAAATTTTATTGAATAATTTAAAAAAAAAATACACAATAATGACTACAAAAATTTATTTTGTCAAGTTATCCATGAAAAAAACATGGAAATAAAATTAAACTAATAGTAACATAGTACTATAATTATAAGTTCAGTTTTATTTCAATGTTTTTTTCATGGATAACTTGACAAAATAAATTTTTGTAGTTATTGTGCATGTTGTTTTTCTATAAATTTTTCAATAAAATTTAGTTTAGGGTTATTTTGAGGGGTGTTGAATCCAGTGCCGTGCTTAGATTTTGTTTAAAAAAATCGCTAAAATGAATTCTTAATTTAATTTTAAAAACTGACATAGTAGGCCTTGTATTTTGTACTAATATGGCGTCTTTTGCTCCAAAAATACAGTTTATCAAGATCTTTTTTTTTCATGTTTTCCTGGTACCTAAACATTTTGTAATCAGTTTTATTTATTGCAAAAATGACTTTTAACGCCCAAAAATAATAATTTTACAACAAAAATATCATTTTATGGCAAAAATGTGTTTTAAATCCATTAATTTAATATGTTTTGACCGACGTTTCAACATTCTTAATTAGACCGGGTGCTTCACATTAGACATCGGTTGATTTTTGAAGTTATTACTCAAGCAATTTAAAGTAGTATCTCCATTTGAAGAGTTACTATAATGTCTTAATATTTGATTTTGTGAGTCATCAGACACATCCACAAATAATTATTTTTTTACAGCACAGATTCCAAGAAAATATTTTTTAAAGTTCTATTTGTTTTCATACGCATTTTTTTTATTTTGTATCTAATGAGCTCGCTCATGAGATTTCTATAAAAAATAAACTAGGTATAATAGTTAATTTCTAAGCTATCAACATGATCCTATTTTGTTTGAAAAAGAATTATTAAAATTATCTATGGGAAATCTGTGGAAAATAACATTTCTGCTTAGGTGTTTTTTCAACATTTTTTCAAAATTCGTTTTTAAAGTCAAGCAACCAAAAAAGATCATGTAGATGGCTTAGAAATTAATTATTAAATATTTTTTATGGAAACCTTAAAAAACTATTTTTAGCACTTTTTAAATAGCCATTTCAAATTTGGGGGCCAACTTAAGAAACACAAAAATATGAAAGTTCTTATTAAGTATTATTAAGTATAAGGGCGGATTTAGCCAGCATTTAATGTAACATAATGTAATGTAAAGTTGGCCAACTTTAAACTTTTTTTAAATTACATGAAAATGAATCTGTTTTGAGATTAAAATCTTTGTATTAAGCTTAAAAGTAAAGATAGTTTTCATTCAGTCAACCACGGTTTAAAAAACACCATGAACTAAATGTTGTATAAATAGCACAATTTTTTGTTCAATTATATTAAATTACGTTATATTACATTAAATGCTGGCTAAATTCACCTTTAATTTGTTAATCAAAATTGGCACTGCTGAATTTGCTATCACAGCCTACTGTTAATTATTTATCAAACTCTTCAAATTGAGATACTACCTTAATTTTACATAAAATAAGCTAAAAAAAACCATATAATTCATCCAATGTATGTAAGATACCCGACGGTGTTTTGATATCTTATGGTAATAAAACTCTAAAATAGTTTCCAATAGTCTAGGACATAATTGAACTTTAATATGTAATAAATGTTTATTATTATTATGTAGATATAAAAACAAATATGTTTTGAAAGTTTCACGTGTTTTATTTACTTATGACAATTGTTTCGTCACACAGTGACTTCTTCAGAATTCTGAAGAAGTCACTGTGTGACGAAACAATTGTCATAAGTAAATAAAACACGTGAAACTTTCAAAACATATTTGTTTTTATATCTACATAATAATAATAGTATGGAGTTTCATCAAGTAAAGGTCGAAACAATCAAATAATAAATGTTTATTGGTTCACTACATTTTCTGAAAAATTGTTATTAAGTTATTAAGCATTTAAATTTAAAAACCTGGAAATGCTGTGTGTCTGATAAGTTGAAATATTATGATGATGTGTTTTTAATTTTTTGACAAATCATTAAATACCTATTTTTTTTTAATAATAAATAATAAATAATTCTTTATTCGTCCCAAAAAACATATAAAGGATAGTTTATAGAGGGACACCTCTATATACACATTATAATTCAGTACATATTTTCATTAACAATTGTCATACACAATTCTTATAGTTACTTAAATACACTATACACATATATATTTACATATACATTTATCACTAATACAGTCATTATTAAATATCACAGATATACTTAAAATAAATAAAGCAAGCTTTAACCTCAACTTAAGTTTTTTTTTTTTTTCTTCAGTCTTTTTTAGTCCTCCCTGTAATATTGAATATAATCATTTATGTTTTTTTTAAATTTGTGACCTTTAAAATTTTTAATGCTGTTAGGCAGCCTATTATATAAATGGACTCCCCTGTAGGAAATCGAGTTCATTCCCATTTGGGAATTTACTTGAGGTAGATTCACCTCTGCATTGGCTCTTGTCGAGTGATCATGAACATCATTTCTATAAGTGAACTTAAAACATGAGTGTCTTTTAGAATTAAGGACTTGATTTATAAACATACTTGTTTGATATTCATTAATACTTTTTATAGATCTAATTCTAAACAAGTTATAGAGGTCAGCTGTTGGATATCTTTTATCTAAAGAATATAAATTTTTTATGGCTTTATTTTGGAGTAATTTAAGTGGCTTAAGAGTACAGTTAGATGCATTTGACCAAATAAGATTCAAGTATTGTAGGTGTGAGTGTATCAAGGAGAAGTAAATCGACCTCAAGTATTTCCGGGGGACAGTATACATTCTCCTAAGCACACCAATCGGACCGGCCACCTTTCCACACACATGACTCACATGATCTTTCCAGGAAAGCCTGTCATCGATTTTTAGGCAAAATATAAACATTTTTCCAATATTTCATAGAAAATATTTTATAAAATCAAGCACAGTAACTCTCTATTTGCTTTAAAATACTATTTACGTCAAAATATATGTATGTGATATTATTAATTTTGAGACAAAATTGCCCTATAACATTTAAGTATGGGTAGTAAATTCTATGAAATATCCACATTGAAAATATAAATTTAATTCAATATTTTTTTTAAGAGAAACATTGCATTTAAAAAACTAATAACATAGCAACATTAAAACCAATTGATGAGGTCAATAAAAGGTTAAACAAAGTTTAAAACAGTGGGATTTACTATACAGGGTATCCAAAAAAGAGAGGCCAAAGGGTAAATGTAAATTCCTCTTAAAATTTAAAGACAATTTTTCCAATAACATTTTTTTTAATTAAAAAATTTTTCATTATTTTATATTTTATTATTTGGGCTTGGACACATTAAGTTGGGTTGGTATTAGGCAGTATTTTATTTGTATATTCATAAAAGAAAATACATTTAAGCAGTGCCTTTGTAATTTTTATCTAAATTATAGCTTTAAAGATTCAAAAATAAAGTACCTACTTAGGTATGTAAACGGCAAAAAATAGTAATTATCACAATTTTTCTATGCGATGTTTAAATATTTAAAAGTTGCGCCAAAACTAAATTAAATTACGAAGATTTAAATCCAACTTCCCTATCAAATATCAATAAATGAAATTGATTCATTTCACGATGTTGTGATTCATATTTAAAAAATCACGCATACGAATACGAGAACCTCATGTGATAATCACACACACAAACAACATTTGTGTTGTTTCTTTTCTATTCGAACAATGCTACAACAATAGCGAAAAGGCAAAAAAAATGCGCCGATTGTAAGATGTAACCGAGTAATGTCAAAAAAAGAACCATGCAAGGAAGTGGTTAAGCCCACACAATGTTTTTTCCATCGACACGATTTAACGCGTGTGCCACCTATAATAATTATGATAATTGGCGTGTTAATTTACCTGTACATCTTCGTTTTTCAATTCGTCTATTAGAACAGCGATGGGATACAAAGAATCATCTCCCGCACTATCACTGGCTGCCATTATCGAGCCGAGTCCGGTGTAATACTCCGATATCGTCGTTTTTATTCGTTTCTTTACCACACAGCTTAATACCTACTGAAACAACAATCCAAGCGTTTTACAATACAACCGCCGCAATCTTCGCTACGATAAACAATCACTTACAAATTTTAAATGCTTTATCAAAAACTTCACTTTTATGACCCGTCGTGTTGATCGCTGATTTGTGACGTTTGGCGGCGCCACCAACTGTTTTATCAGCGCTGCCAACCGCACGGAAAATGGAGGGAAGTTTGAATTTTGCACTAGAATGTGCTTTTCTTTGAATAATGAAAATTTATTGATACAATACATTATTTTGTGAGTAATTTTTACCAAACATGAGGAAAACGTTAAATAAGGCAAAATATAGATAAGAAAAGTTTATTTTTCAAATAAAATACAGACAAGTCAAAGTTACACCTATATCTATTAAAATTAAAATATTTCAGAACATTTTTTTTTTAAATATTTTTACTCTAAACCGTACAATTTTAGAGTTCTATCTAAAGACGTTGAAGCCAAAAATCTGGCGTGTTTGCCAAATCTCACTCCAGTTGCCGCTGCAGTATGATCGTTAAAAACTTTCAATTCTTGCCATTGTTTGCATAAATAAACCCTAAAAAAAACATAATTTACGTTAAAATGTCATACTGTCAGGTTGGTAACATCTGAACATTAATTGTATCAGTGTCACCAACTAGTCGAAAAAAAAACACATTAGCATTTATTTACCTGACGTCAGTTCCGGCAACGGCCAAATAGGTTCCGCTTTGATCGAAACACAAATCTTTGATTTGGTAACCTTCGTCGAGTTGTAGAGTTTTGAAGTTTCTTAATTTACGCAAATCCCATAGTTTAACGCACGCGTCGTCGGCGGCAGTGGCCAAGTAATACCCGTTTTCCGAGAAGGAAATCGTGGTGATTGCTCCGGAATGTCCTATAAAAAAATTGTCAAATTTAAACTCTCCCGATAAAATGTCATCGCTTCTCAAATTAACATTATTTTGATATCACTTTCCTGATACACACGCGTCAAAATTAACGCATAATAAGTAAAAAAATCTAAAACACCTTTACCAATCTTTATGAAATTTTGTATAAAAATGCTTCAACTTATATCTCAGGGTTTTTCGAGAAAATATTTTTAAAGCCCTTTTATTTTAATAATAAAAAAATGTTCGAAAAATAACATTTTAACAAAACAGAGTATAGGACAAGTCAACAATAATTTTACAAAAGTATTAAATAGGTATAAATATTAAATATAAATACGATTGATTATTCCTTATATCATTGATTAAGAAACTCAACGCTTAAATGCTTATATAGTTACGTTAGTGTGTGTATTTTATCTAAGGGATCATGGTGAATTATTGTGTTATTAATTGTAAATAAAATTCAAGAACTAAATCGTTGCATTTTCATGTTTTGCCAAAGGATCCAATTCGGTGAGTACATTTGTTGGTGCGGAATTATCTAATGATAACTTTACCTAATATAATTTATATTTAAGTTTGGACATTTTTAAGAAATTGGTAAAAATAATTTTTGTACAAACATAACCTTAAAATCAACCATTTTTATATTTGAGTTCTCTAAAAAACGCCGACAACCGCATTTTAAACAAAAAATATACATAATATAATGGTATTTTACCGTTGAGTGGAGACTTTCTTAATCAACGCTTTTAATAATGCTAAATGCTGTTTAAATTCAGACGACTTATTTGTTTGACGATTTTTACTGAATTGAAATGTTTACCTTTTTCATGTTAATCACTACTAAAATGTGTATTAATTTTATCTAATAGGTACAATTTATATTTACAGAGACTATATGCAATTTATTTATTCATTCAGATTAACCACAGTCTGTGAGATTAACACTGTTTATTGGAAAACCGGTAAAAACTCAACCCAGGATTTCCTATGGAAATACACCCAACAATACAACAAATCGAGCCACGGTTTTTTCCGATATTTTTTAACATTTTTCGGCTTTATTCTTAAAACACTCGTTTGTAAAATAAGCGTTTGACAGCTGATTATTAAAAGTGCTATTTTTGTTACGATGATAACTAGCGATACTTCTTTAGAGTATACAAGTTTTTTTCGAGCGTTTTTTATTATTAAATAAAAGGAAATTTTCTCAAAAAAACCCATGAACACGTAAACTGAGATTTAAGTTAAAGTGTAACGTACCTACGCCGCTGCCTACCCATGACCACCCACGCCTTTTCTACAAGATTTGGCAGTTGCAATTAGAATACGATACGCATCACATGAGTCGAACGGTCGCTAATCTTAAAACTCAAATATTCCATTTTTTACATTGTTTTCTTAAGTATTTTATGACACGAGTAAATTAATAATAATACCCAAGTGTTTTAGTGCTGAACCTAACATCAATTTAGTTTGTTTTTCCCCTTAATGAAAAGCTTTCTTACAAAAGTATTTTTATCCAAAATTTTCTAAAAATTGGTAAAGGCGTTTTAGAGTTGCATTTTTTTTACTTGTTATGCGTTAATTTTGACACGCAGTGTAAGGAAATTTCATTTCTTATGTATGAATGCATACTAGATTAATGATTTTTTTAATAAATAAATATTTTTTAATTTTTACTTTCACATTTAATTCATAATTTCAGGGCTCCCACGGTTAAATTACAAATTTTATTTAGGAATTTAGTTTTTTTGGAGAATTTTAGGAGAAAAAAGTATGCAAATGAATTTATTTAATTAAATAAAAACAACTCTACACTATACATAAAAAATAAGAAAAAAATAAGTAATTCTTTTTAACAAAAATATAAATAAATATCACTTCTTTTCTACAAATTGGTTATATTTACTAATTTTTTAGCCATATTGCTCGAGTGAGGTAAAATTACTACTTTTGTATATACACAAGTAGAAATTTCACCACACTTTTAATTTTATTTAAAAAAAAGCGTCGATAGATATGGCTAAAAAGTATGCCAAAGTTTAATGTTGTTATATTTATATTTTGAAAAAAAAATTTAACAGTTTAGTTAATAACTAACAATAATTGTAATATTATTTAAAAATCTCATAATAGAAAAAATATAAAGTGCATAATACAGCAAAACATTCTTTAGATTGTTTACTATTTTGATATATAACACGGTACCTATATTTTTGTCGAAAATTAACAAAATATGGCTAAAAATGACAATTTTGTAGAAGTCTAGAAGCTACTACATGGATTTTGTTTTATGGTATATTTTGTTGTTTTTTTAAGAAAAATGTAGGTTGTGATACCTAAATCATTTTAAAAAGAATTTCATAAACTAGAACCCAAAAATATATATTTTTTAAATTACTTTTTAAAAAAATAATTTTTTTAGCACAACTACCTTAATTAAACGCAGTCAAGTTGGCCTACTTATATTTAATTTTTAGGAGTTTTAGGAGATTGATCGCAATTTTAGGAGTTTTTAAGATTTAAGCCAAATTTTAGGAATTTTAGGAGGTGTGGGAGCCCTGTAATTTTTATGATGTATTTTATATTATTTTTGTATGTATTTTTTTTATAGTAATAGCTTTGTTGGCATATCACTTTCAAGCCGAAATTTTTTTAAATTCCAGTTTGTTTGAAAGTGATCTCCAAACAAAGCTTTTACTATATAAAAATAGATCATACAAATATCATAAAATCAATATAACACTATTGTTAACATCACATTGATATTATTATGACATTATAACCGTAAAAAAGCGTTACATTTTACATCGATAATCAATGAGATATCAAATATCACTTAAATGATATTCTATTGATGTTATTTTGACTCTGACCTGTGAAATTGGCGACGTTACTCTGCTCCTTCAAATCCCAAATTTTGACCTGGGAATCCCCGGTCCCGGTGCCGAAGATGAGACCGTCGGGATGCAGCTGCGCGGTGGTCAGCGGCACGTTCGATTGATCGGAAACTTTGGTCAGAAGTCTGCCGGTACGGATGTCGGAAAACGCCCAATGTTGGTCTTCGGAAGTGGACAGAACGTAGTCTCCCGTGGGGTGCAGGGACAGGCCCGTTACGGGACCGTCGTGCGCCCTGAGGAGGAGAGTGGTTTGCGAGGTCGGCACGTTCCAAACTCTGATTGTCGAATCGGGAGAAGCTAAAATGTTCAGCTACCTTATTAGAAGTCCAAAGTACAGACTCTTCGCGTTTATACCTGTAATAACAATATCTTCTTCGGGATGGTAAATGACCTTTGTGACTTTTTTGGTGTGTCCTTTTAAAATTGTGACGACCTGTTCGGTATCTTTGTTGAATACAGTAGCATTTTTGTCGTTTCCTCCTGTTAATACTTTACTGGTATCTGAACTGTGCACATCTAAAGCTAAAATACCAGGAATACTGGCGGAATGAAGACCCTAAAACACAATTTAACACGAAAAATTGAGAAGGGGCGGTAATATGAATCACTTTTTATTTTTGCTACAAAAGTTTACAGAGTTATGACAGTTTAATTGAGATTTTTCAGACGTTACATCCAGCCTAAGGAGGTTCAGGCACGATATTAGTCGCTATGAGAAAATGTTGAAAAAATTCTATGTAAAAGACATTTACAAAGTTTTACATAAGATATGCATTAATTAAATACATCTCCTATACAGCCCATGTCTTTAATTAAGGCATACCTTCTAATGTGACATTGAAAAATTAATGAATTTCAACTTTCAACTTTTGCAAAAATAAACTTAATGTTGACTGTGTCCAACCAAAATTATCAATCTGTCATTTTCGTCTAGAAGATCCGGTAACACAGGATTACGAACACGTGATTATCTAGGGATAATTCGTTTGATTTATTTGGTGACTAACATAATTTCGTTTTTAAAGTTAATTAAAAAACAGAAAATTGTTTTAAGTTATTTTTTTTTTAATAATTAGACAATCCTTTTACTCTCTATTTATTTATTTATTATTAAATTAAAACAAATTAACTTATGATCTTCTTCTTTTTGTTTTCTGCTCTTCGCTTTTAGATTTTCGGTGCATTTAATATAATGAATGTTTTCTGTTGCTTTATTTTTGGTTTCCTTAACTGTTTTTAATAAGGTTTTCTGTAGTGGACTTAATTCGTTAAATAACACTGCATATAGAAATGTCACTGGAACTGTCAAAAGCGAAAAGCGTTACCATAGAAACCAACTATGAACAAGTCGCAATGTTGTCACGTTTAAATTAAATTAATTCACGTTCCTGTGTATAGTACCTTTTGTATTAAAATAAAAAATAATTATAAAATTAGTTTGAAAATTGTTTGTTTTTATATCAAATTACATTTGACAAAGTAAATTTTGTTTATTGCTATTTATAAAAGCAACTCCCCTTACCCCTTTCCACGCAATGTACTTCCCAAACCTCCTTAAGTTCTAAAAACAATAATATCTAGCTTAAGTAGACATTTTTAATACATTTGATGGTCATATTGAGCCTTAAGTTCACATTCATATTACAGTTTTATTAGAGCGCTAAATAGAAAGGTATTCTCATCCGCTATTTTTGATACATTCAACATGTTATTTTTTAAGTTTTTCAATTTTACTTCTAAATATTATAAAAAAGGCACAAAAATAACAATTATGAAAATGCACAAAGAAAGCAGGAAAACAAGTGATGTGAGAAATGTTGCCACATTTTGATACATTTATTTTGATGTTCTGTCCATACATCTAATCCCTTCTCCTATACAGGGTGTCACGGCTCCAGGACGCGGGAAAATTATTTGTTTACACACTTCAAAGTACTAAATTTTTTGGATATTATTATTACTTCTATGATTTATTTTAACAATTATTGTCTTGCGTTTCCGCCTCCTACTCTGCTAGTTGCCACTATTTCCATATATCGATGGTTATTTGACAAAACATCGTAAGCGACAATTTTGTTGAATTACTTTTTATTTTATCAAAGTGTCAGTTACGATAAGCTACACATGTTTACATAATAGTTATTCCAATTTTGGAATCTAATATTGGTCAGTTTGAATATTTTTATTATTGTAAGCGCCTCTTCTTTTTAATTTGTTACCGATTTATAACGTAAGCGCCTATAATATATGTTATGTTCCCGACTAACAATCGTAAGCAACTCCGAGACATGGCGTTTGCGATTTAACATTGTGTCGCTTACGATAATATTGAGCTCCCTCCTTGATCTATCAAGGCGTTATTCCCGCTCTAAACAGTTTGTTCGTGAGTATACCTGCATCGTGGTGATTGCTACCACAATCCACAATGTGGATTGTGATTGCTACCAAGTTTTAAAACAATATTTTATTTGATCAAAAGCTTATAATTCCTTTTTATGATTGCAATATTAATAGTTATCCTAATTATAATTGTTTTTACGTAGTGTGGTTCGTTAAAAGTGGTTTTTTGTAGTAATTGTATGTTGTTGTTGACTCAAATTTATAACGGCCAAAAAATTTCGAAAGACCTGTCATTCAGTTGATTTTAAAATGTAAAACTGCCTTTAGTGACAACTAACCTTACTTTCTGAAAGTTGTCAGTTTGACGTATTTCATTGTTGATTGTGTTGTTTTAAGATTAGATTCTCTGTCTTCTTTTTGAAACTGCTTGTCATCTTGTCAAAAATGTCCCTAAGGGTTGGTTTGCACAGACATTTTTTTAAATGACATAAGTTTGATGTTCGAAAATGGAACTTAAGCGACAAGACTAATTTTACATTTTCCTAAAGATGTTCTTATAAAATATCGTATGCCACAAAATTTAATGAAAATTTTAGATTGGATTCGATCTAACTTAAATATTTAAATTCTACATTAATAAAATAATGCCTCACCAGTTTTCAGATAAATAACTTTAAAAATAAAGCTCCCACACAAAAAAAATCTCTCCTGTAAAATTTAGGTTTTGTCGCTTACGATGTTTTGTCAAATAACCATCGATATATCATATTAAAAATAAGCCTCATGAAGAGATCCTTGCAAATAGTACTACAATTTGAACCTTAACAATTGTTGGTACAATCAGCAATAAATGTATTTTTTAAATAATTTGGGAACCGCAAATTTTTTTCCAATTTTCAAAAGCCTTTTTTAATGAACTTGTAATTTCGCAACTTTTTTCTTATTTAACCGAGCTTGTAGCTTCAAATAAAAGAGATACCCATATCCATATTATATTAAATGGGAAAAATTTAATTTAATTAAGTTTTTGCAATTTAATATAATAAACAACACTTGCCATAACTTTAATTATTATGACTTTTTCCAACCCTGATTATATCTGTAATAACAGTGCCAGAATAGTATATTATTTTACGAGAGATAATGCAGGCTATTATCCAGGAGGATGAGGTTTTAATTCATCCGAGTAAATATTTCGAGTGTAAAACTATGCTTTTTCTACTCCAATTAAGTAATTTTCATTGATAATAAAATTTATTATAACCTCACTTTTCCCCGATTTTAAAGATCATTATAGTCGCCCCTCGTATATATAAACAAATCTGACATCTGTTAACCTTACTTTTTCCCAATTTAAAACCCGATTGGTTCAAATAATGAATATGGAAATCAGCCAATTAGCCAACAGCGTGAATAATGAGTTCATTATTCACGTTGTTAGGCCGGGCGGTTATATTGGTTACATTATTTAGGGAAAAAACCCAAATAATGTCAATAATATGCAATAGGAGTAGAAAAAGTATCAATAATCACCAACGAAAAGTGTAATTGTTTAAACTTTAAAGGAATAAGTGACAACTCAAAGAAACACGTATTTTGCGTTTTCTGTAAATTTCAACGCATTATATTATTTTATTGGGTACTGCAACTGATGAATTCCCTGAATTTTGCGAATTTTCCTGATGGGGTCAAAAAAATTGTGAATTTTTATTTTTTTAAATAATTTTTTAATTTTTTGGATTATCTAACAGTTAATATTAAAAAAAATTTACTTATTAACCTTGTAGGCTAGGAATGAAGTAAATACCAAATCATGACATTTTTTTGTATCATGCTGTCCTGATGAATAAAATATTAAAAAAGATATCTTTATAATTTTCAGTCAATTTTTCATGTTGATAAAATTGTATTATATTTATTTTTTACAAATTTGTTTTTTGGTTTTGAAATGCACAACTGAAAACATTGCTAATTTTTATATTGATGAAGTAATTTTTTTAGAATACCACTGGTGGAATTCAAAATTACACCAAAAACAAAAATTTGTGTTGAAACAACTTTTTTAATTTATTGTATTAACTACAGTCACAAACAAAACTTACAATAAGAGATGCCAATGTCCTGAAACTTCTCAACTGTTCCTGAGTAGTCAACTCTTCTGGAACTGTGCGACCCCTCTTTTTACGCTCCTGTGTCAAAACAGCAGCCTTATCTTGCAATTTTTGTATAACCTCGACACTCATGCCAGCTTGTTCAGTGGGTTGATTGGCAACACCGCCAGCTTCAGCAGCAACAGCCTAAAGTCACACAAAATTAGTAAACATAACCTCAATTTAACCTTAAACTTACAGGTTGAGGGACTGTAGTAATACCAGCTTGTGGTTTCAATGTGGCCAGAGCCTCTCTTGCAGCAGTTACTTCCTTGTTTAACCTTGCAATCACCCTGCAGGCAGCATCGTGTTGATATAAAGCGTGCGATAATTCCTGTCGCGCTGTTTGTAATTGCTGTCGTTGTGTAAAACTGTACAGCATAACTGCATCCCATTCATCCTGCAGTAGTTTTAATGTAGCTGGGATGCTAGTAGCACTTGGTGGCTTTGGTTTTACAATTGGAGGCGCTAAAATTACCGAAATTAATAAAATACTCACAAATTTAAGGATTTTTTACTTTTGATTTCTATTAATTCATCTATAGCGACTTCTTTTCCACTTATAGGGTCCACTCCATTCTCCTGTATGTATTTTTCGATTATTCTTCTCTCGAATATTACTCCGGATGAAGGAGAAACCACTGGATGCTCCGGAACTTCGTTCGAAACTAGAAAAAACGTACAGGCAACGTTTTTTAAACATTGTGAGGTTAAGTTTACACCGGTAAAATGCTAAAGAAACCAGGGTTATTTTTATACTGCTGAATTATAATGAAAGGGTTGTTTTTAGGATGCAAATTGGGCGTGAGTGTAAATTATAGCATAAATAAATTAATAATTAAACTTACTGGCACAACACAACGCCATTTTGCTAACAACCACACAACAACAATTTAAATACCAACTGTGAAAATTAACTGTTGCCAACCTAATTTATTTAATATGGTGTGTGAATTTGAATTTTATGAATTATTCGGAAATTTAAGGAGGTGCTTACGTATTTTTATAGTTTTATTGTACTAAAATATATTATTTTTGGTTAATTTAAGTATTGTTTTTGTATATTTTAAATCTAATTTTTATTTTTGTAGTTTAGGGCACTGTTTTTGTAATATGTCAAAGAAATGTTACTAAAATTGGCGAAGGTTTTGAAATTTTTATGTATAAAATGATTTCAAAGACTGATTGATTCAATGGGAAAAATTATATCTAGGTGAGTAAATAACATAAGTTATAAGTAAAACGATAGAAGTAATTTTTAAAATGTTTATTACAACGTACAAAAGTATAAAAACCTAACAACTACTTATTAATATGGCGCATTTATTTACATATCAACATCGTTTTCGATATCTTCTTCGGCTTCTCTCATTTGGTCGTTTTCAGCATCATTCATCATTTCGTTAGTTGACGCGGTCCATCCGCCAGCTTCGCTCATCATTTCATCGGTGCTTCCGACGATTCTCTCGTTCATTTCGTTTTTCTTCTCGTCTTTTTCATCGGATAGGCTTCCCCATTTGCTGGCGGCAACTTTTTCTTTACTGAGCTTGTCCATTTTCTCGATGGTGTGTTGTTCCTTGTCTACCTGAGTTTCTTCGGTGTCTTTATCCGCATCGGATGCTCTGTACGTTTGAGGTGGGGTGTACTTAGGAGGAGCAGAGTAAGAAGGAGCTGGAGCAGAGTATGCTGGAGCTGGGGCTGAGTATGCTGGAGCTGGAGCTTGTGGCTTGTAGGCTGGAGCTGGAGCAGAGTATGCTGGAGCTGGAGCAGAGTATGCTGGAGCTGGGGCTGAGTATGCTGGAGCTGGAGCTTGTGGCTTGTAGGCTGGAGCTGGAGCAGAGTATGCTGGAGCTGGGGCTGAGTATGCTGGAGCTGGAGCAGAATATGCTGGAGCTGGGGCTGAGTACGCTGGAGCTGGAGCCTTGTATGCTGGAGCTGGGGCATATGCTGGTGCTGGAGCAGAGTAAACTGGGGCTGGAGCTGGGGCCTTGTAGGCTGGTGCAGGTGCTGAGTATGCTGGAGCTGGGGCAGAGTATGCTGGAGCAGGAGCAGAGTAAACTGGAGCTGGGGCTTTGTAGGCTGGAGCTGGGGCAGAGTATGCTTGAGGTGGAGCGCTATATTCTGGAGCTGGAGCGCTGTAGGCTGTAGCTGGGGCAGAGTATGCTTGAGCTGGAGCTTTATATTCTGGAGCTGGAGCACTGTAGGCAGGGGCTGGAGCACTGTAGGCTGGAGCTGGAGCATTGTAGACTGGGGCTGGAGCACTGTAGGCTGGTGCTGGAGCAGAGTAAGCTGGTGCTGGGGCAGAGTATGCTGGAGCTTTGTAGGCTGGAGCTGGGGCAGAGTATGCTGGGGCTGGAGCAGAGTAAGATGGTGCTGGAGCGGAGTAGGAAGGAGGTGGAGCAGAGTATGCTGGGGCTTTGTAGGCTGGAGCTGGAGCAGAGTATGCTGGTGCCGGAGCAGAGTAAGATGGAGCTGGAGCAGAATAAGCTGGTGCTGGGGCAGAATATGCTGGAGCTGGAGCTGGGGCTTTGTAAGCTGGTGCTGGGGCTTTATAAACTGGAGCTGGTGCTGGAGCTTTGTAGGCTGGGGCTGGAGCAGAATAGGCAGGTGCTGGAGCAGAGTAAGCTGGCGCTGGGGCGGAGTACGATGGAGCTTTGTATGGTGGTGGAGTTGGTGCTTTGTATGCTGGAGCTGGTGGAGTGTATGCGGCCGGAGCTACTGGATAGGTTGGTTTGTATGATGGTGGAGCGGCATGGTAGGTGGGTGGATTGTACACTGGTTTGTACGACATTGGGGTTTTGTATGCTGGGCTTGGGTATCCTCCGTAGGCTGGGTACATTGGGTATTTGTTGTAGCTGCTTGGTCCGTATCCGCCGGCAGAACGGTATCCGTGGTATCCGCCCGATGAACCTCCGTATGAAGCGCCGCCGCCATATCCGCCACCGTATCCGCCGCCTCCGTAAGCTTGTTGTCCGCCACCGTATCCTGATAAGTTTGGTTGGCAGGTGATTACGACTCCGTTGTGTCCCTTCTTCTTTTCATAGCTTGCTGTTCTCATGTGAGCTTCCATGCTTTCATCTTCATCCATAATTTCGTTGACTACTGGAATATGTTCGTGATCCATGTGATCTTCTTCGGCCGCGCGGTAGTAGGAAGGACCGTTGTGAGCTGGAGCGTATGGTTTGGAAGGAGCGCTGTAAGTTGGAGCTGGGGCAGAGTAAACCTTTGCTGGTGCCGCGTAAGCTGGAGCGGGATTATGAGCTGGAGCGGCGTATGGAGCTGGAGCTGGAGCAGAATAAGTCTTGGTTGGGGCGGCGTAGGCTGGAGCAGGTGCGGAAGCTGGTGCTGGAGCTGGAGCAGGAGCCTCGTAGGTGGTCGACGGTTGGCACACCTGGTAAGGTTTTTCGGCGCCGCTTGGCCTGATCTCGACGCAGAAAGTGGTTGTGGTTGATTTCTTCTTTCTCAAAAGTTCCGTTGGGGTTTCTTCGGTTTCAGCCTTGTCCAAAGCTTCGATGTTAGTTGAGGCAGTTATCAAATCGGTGGTTGGTTTTTCGGCGACTTCTTCTTGGATTTCTTTCTTCTCCATGTCGACGGCATCTTCGGTTACGATTTCCTTGGCGCATACGGCCGCTACGAAACCGAGCACCAAAAATTTTGTGAAGACTCTCATGTTTGTTGGAGTCCCGTGTTGTGCTGCGTTCGACTAAACTGCTTGAACTGATTTTGTCCACACGCCACATGCTTTTTATACTGGTGTCGGTTGCTAAATTTTGCAATTTTGCCAATCAGCATTTTTAATTTGTGTTTTAATTTAATTGTATGACTTTATTAAAAAAATATAATTTTAACGTTTAATTACAAAAAAATGTCTTTATCTATCTTGAAATATATTTTTCAAAATTTAAATAAAATATTTTATATTTAAGTAGGTAATTTTAATGAACTACAATATTATTTAACTAAATTAAATTATTTTAGTAAATTAAAATTACTTTAATATAAAATATTTTATTTAAATTATTATTACATATAAGTTTTCAATTTAAAGTTAAAGTTTTAAATTCTTGCTTTTAAAATAATATTTTTTTAAATACTGGAAAACCAAACATACAAATTTAACTATTTTGTTTTGTTGGAATTATAGAAAATATATGTATGGGGAATTCCACGCCAAATCGACCACTTACTACCCCACCTAATGTCGAAAAAAAAATCGGAAAAAACTGTTTTTTCCGTTTTTTTCACAGGTCTTGCAAAAATAAGCTTTTTTGCACATTTGAAAAAAAAAGTAGCAATCAACAACTTAACATTATTTTAATTTAAAAAAATATCTAAAAATTGAATTAAATTAAATTAAACGTAAACGTTAAATATACTGTCGGTTGGGTCCATTAAAAATATCCAACTACAAAATATTAAATGATTAATAAAGTTAAATTACAAAATTATAATTTTATAAATCGAAATGTCAAATAAAAGTTATGTTAATACAGCACCGAATATGTTTTTTGCGGTCTGGTAGAATATTCTTACTGAATTAAAATAAAAGGAATAATTATTAGAATCATAATATTATGATTATAATTAGCGTCGGAAATTCACTTTTTTCCGTAAAAATTTGTAATTTCCAGAAAAATTTACTTTTGCACTTTTTCGTATGGCAATAAAAAGGTACTTTGAATACAATTTAAAGGAATAATTATTAGAATCATAATATTATGATTATAATTAGCGTCGGAAATCACTTTTTTTCGTAAAAATTTGTAAATTTCCAGAAAAATTTACTTTTGCACTTTTTAGTATGGCAATAAAGAAGGTACTTTGAATAAAATTTAAAGAATGAAAAGCTAAATTTTTTTTAAAATTTGCCCATTTTTCCGTTTTCTTTCCGAAAAAAAAACCTTACCGCTTTTGATTAAACCAAAAAAAGTTACGATTTTTTTTTAATTTTTTTTAATTAACTTGCATTTATTTATTTGGTAATTACAATAAATAATTATTTTTTGGCCTTTAAATAATTTACATATTTTATACTCATTTGAATTCAAAAAATTTCGGACAAAAAGACATCTGTAATCCTTATCATTAATAAGGTTAGATTATAAATTAAGTGTAAAATATCATATAACAAAGGACTTAAAATATAGGTATTTAAATTGATTTCATTATGGAAATTAAAACGTTTATTACCGGCATTAATCGCAGAATAAATCAAAGTTTTTTTTATAAAAACTGAAAATTTTTATAGAATCGCAATTTTCTTTTCTATTTTTTTTAAAGTACATTTAAAATGTCGAATTTACACGATTTTTAAAAAAGTTATGGGTATTAGAAAAAAAAGATTTTTTTAAAACTTTTTTTTGGTTGGATAAAAAATAAGAAACAATTCTGAGAATCATTTTTAGTGGCGTAGAAAAATATAAAAAAACAGCCAACTCAAAAGGGGTCAGGTTCAAAAGTGGTCAATTTGGCGTGGAACGACCCATATACATTAGGTACATTATTATATTTTATATAGGACTAAAACAATTTTCTAATGCCTTAAAAAAAATAAGTTATCGTTTGACGTTGTTTTAAGGACACCCTGTAGTTAAATTATTTATGTTTTTCTAAAAACTCCATTTTAAAATTATGATTTTACCTACATGAGGATTTTATTTTTAAACACAAGCACTTCTCCAATTTGATTCTTAAATTTTAAAAACACATTTCAATAGGAAATTTCTAGTATGAATATTGGCAATGGCCTTAATCTTTAAAACATTAAAAGTATTTTTAAAAATAAATTATTATTATTATTGTCATTAAATACCATTTTTTTTCATATTTGTTATATTATATGACAAACGTATTCAAGGGCAAAAATATTTTCTAATTCATATAAAAAAATATTTTAATTCACTAAAATTGCCCTTAATAAGCACATTTTTTATGCCAACGTCCGTAGCATTAAATTAAATCGGAATGTCAGTATTGCAATATTGTTTTTATAATCAAATAATAAATAAATTCGCTTGTGCATCAATAATGAAATGCTAATAAACTTTTTATACTTTATTTAAAAAAATAATACATAAATTAATACAAAAAATAAATATAAAACAATTTTACTTAAATCTATAAACTTAAAGGGATTTTAGAACACCTTCTAAAACATCAGATCCAATCATTTTATTTTTGTCCTTGGTTTTATCCAATTTTTCTTTTGGAGCAATTGTTTGGATATTTTTAGTTTCTTTTTCGTCAATTTTCTCAGTTGTTGTTTCTTTATTTGTTGTCGTTTCTTCAGCAATTACGACTTTTTCATTTTTGGTATCTTCATGTATTTGTGTTACCTCATCCATTACAGGTTTTTCTTGTTGAACATTAGTTTCTTCCAATACTTGTTTATTTTCTACAGTTTCTACTTTTTCAGTCGTTGTTAGAGCTTCGCCAGTTAAATGATCTACTAGTAGTCTGTCATTGTTGGCCGAATCTTTTTCGAGTTTTGGAGAAACTGTTTCAACTTTAGTTGCTGGTTCATTTTCATTACTTAGCTTAGCTTCTGCGACTTCTTCATCTAATTTTATTTCTTCTGCATGTTTTGGAAAATTTGTCTCCACTTCTTCTATTTCGATGTCATCTCTGCTATCTATTACGAGGGTTTCGTCTTTGTTTTCTGTTTCTTTAATTGTTTTTTCACTTGTTACTTCTTTTTCACTTTTGGCTTTTTCCTTTACTATATCGTTTGGAGGAGCTGCAACTACCAATGTGGGTACGGCTAGTTTTTTAACTTCGGATGGATTCGAATGTGCGTGCAATTGAGCTTCCAATGGTAATTCGGTGAACGAAACGAAGGTACTTCCGTCTTCTGGCAAATAAATGTCCTTCATTTTTTCCACTGTCGCTTGATGTTTGGGCAGCTCATCGACTTTCCACAGGTGCTTCAAGGAATCGTCTTCATCGTCCTTGGAATCTTTTGGGGTTTTCGTTGCTTGATTTTTGGGCAGCTCATCGACTTTCCACAGGTGCTTCAAAGAATCCTCTTCCTCGTCCTTGGAGTGGTTTGGGATTTTCGTGATGATTTCTCCGATGCTGCCAGCTCTCTGTCTTAACTCTATGGGTTCCAAAAGAGTTGGGTGGTCGGCCAAGATGCAGGTGCCATCTTCCGGATAGCACACGTATGCGTACACTGTGATGAGAAAACTGGAGAACAGGCAATGAGCCAATAGCTTAAACATGGTGAATTTAATTCTACTGTGGGATGACCGTGATGGTTTTATACTTATAGGTGCTTTTGCTTTTGTTTTGAGCAAGGTTACAGATTTGTTGATAAGTTTATAATAAGGCGAGGACAAAAGTGTTGATTATTTTGGTTTGTTATGTAAACTTGATTAAAAAAACTATTAACTATTTAAAATTTGTGTACAACCGAGTCTTTTTTGAGCAATTAATAGTTTTTGATTTTGTTTTAGATTAAATTGCATGCGACAGTCAAAAGGAATTTTAAATGATAAAGAATTATCGGCAGTTAGAAGCGTTATAACCGCTTTGCAAGCGAGTAAGTAAGTATTACTTACAATATCAATGTTTTAAATCTAAATTATCTTAAAAATTATAACAAATTTTCAAAAAATATTCAGGAGAGTTGATATATAAACATTTATAAAAATAACACATAGATAATCCCGGCGCATTCGCCATTTTTCGAAATATATTTTATATATAATTATTGATTTTTTTTTTGTAAATATGATTACTTTTTGACTTTTCCAAAATCCTTTAAAAACCTTTAGTTTTATTCATGTATACATTTTAGCCTATCAAAACATTATGGTAAAAATAAATTATTTTTATAAAATTTTACTATTATACAGAATGTTACATTTTAATTGCAGACATTATTAAATTATTGAGTAAAATTAAAATAAAAATTAATTATTTTTAAAACTTTATGAACAACGAAAGGATTGGAAAGATATTTATAATAATGTTCTAAAAAGCAGATTTTTTAAAATAAGTACCTAATTTTACAAAATAAAAAAAATGGAAATGTTATTAAAATTTTATTTTTATAATATTTTGTATAAATTAATGGTTTTTTAAAATTTTGTTAGTGCGATAAGCCCTGTATTTTTAATGAACAATAATAATCATAATTATTTATAAAATTACCATTTATAATTTTTCAAATACTTATTTTACAGTAATTTAAAATTATGTACTTATTTTCTTGGTATTTTTATTTTAAATTAATTAAATATTCACCAAAGGGTATTTCCACGAATCTTTACCCCACCTTTACAAAAAATCAGATGTGTTATTTAACTAAATAACAACTATATCTGAAGTCAAATAGTTTAATTGCGACGTAATTTATAACCTTAAAATATTCGTACATTGTGATGCTAAGAAGCAAACATTAAGAATAAACACGGAAGAGTTTCAATACTCGATAAAAAGTTCAAATGTCGCACCCGTTACATTTTGAGAAAATTTTAGAAAATAAAGTACCGTAAACACGGGTGGCTTTAGCTCACTTTCAAACTTAAGCTTAAAATTTTTGTGGTTTTAACAATCATATTAAATTTTGTATACCAAAATTTGAGTTTTGAGTTGCTCTTTCATAATAACTATGTTACAATATTACATAGGGCTGAGTTTCAAAAATAAAAATTAAAAACTGGGTGGGCAAAGTTACCCCTTGGTTGCGGGTTACTTTGTCTCACAGAGTATTTTCCGTATAAAATGAATTCAATATTATATTTTATTTTTATTAGACACGTGTTAGCAGCGACATATATCTATTGCAAGGGATTACCGATAAAAAAAAATAAAAAATCGACCTGTAGTTAACCAAGGATCATCATTCCAAAGGATTGCGCATAATATAGAAATTGTAACGCGTGTTTCTAAGAGTTTTGCACTGATGCGATATATGCAATTTTAAAGTGTAATAAATCCCATTTATTTCTTTAAACCACTGATTTTCCTGTAATATAAACTCAATAGAATCGCTCAATTGACAGGTTTAGACCAACAAATTATAAATGTTAATTTTATCGAGCGCAAAAATATTTTTCATAAATGGGTTAAAGTCACCCGCGGGGTGCAAAGTCACCCGTGTTTACGGTACACAATATTTGTGCATTTAAAATACGTGCTTGTTTAAGGTTACTATTCAAGTTTTACACAAAAAATTATTACTATATGCTTTCATCCAAAAAGGTCGCGCCCGTTACGCTATATAAGGTTTTCTATACAAGTTTTTATTGACATTTTGTTTTTAATTTTTTATACTATTTTTTATATTAACGTATCTTGATATATATGAACTAACACTTTATTATAATGAAAAAACGCAGTTTTAGGTCGCACCCGTTACAATGGAAATACCCCAAAGTAAAATTTAAAAAAAAACAAACCTGATTTTTTTTTCCGATACGAAAAAAATTAAACTTGTTTTTTTTTATTTCAAAATTAAATGGATAATTTTGGAATTGATTAATGATTTTTTGAAATCTAGAAATATTTTAGTAAATTGTTTTTGTAGTCAGAAAATAGCCTGTCATTGTAAAGGTTACTGATTACGAATTTGGGACTTTTGTTTTGTTTTTTTAATCCCAATAGGTTCGTACGAGTTCTTGATTATACTGTCAAAATTTGAGGATGGAATAATATAACACGCAGAGTAGGCACGTTCTTAATGGATTTTTAAAATTTTGACTGTATAATAAAGAACATTTTCGAATTTAAAATAAAAATCGAAAAAAATGTATTTGTTTATAAAATTTGCATACCTATATTTTTTTTCAATATTTAGAACGATCTAATCTTGAACAAAGTTAGATTTTCCTAGTTTCAAAAAATCATATCTCCAAATTTTTTAGTAGTAAAATCACAAAATAATTTGACATATTTTTGAAAATATGTTGTCAGGAAATATACACAGAATGAAAATGTTTTGAGAAAAGATCTGGAGAATTATTCTCAATTTATAATATTCTGTCTTATCGTGTATAATGTAAGTAGAATATTTCCTCTATAATAATGTGATCAAGTCAAATTTTTTTCAAATCGGAATATAAATTGGAACAAGTATTTTTACACAAAGTATATTACATTTTACCTTACCTTTATAGATATTTCCCAGTAATTTTCTGGTTGTTTTAATTTTCAATTAATCTAATATTCACACCCTGAGGGTACTCTTAAAGAAAGCAAAACCTAAAACTACAGTGAATAATAATGAGAGATAATGCGCATAATCTCGAGTGTAATACTATACTTTATCTTCTCCAATAAGTAGATAATTAAATTATGTTCTGTCAAATGGTTAAACTTACTTTTAACCTATTTTAAAGGTTATTATAGTCACCCAATTTAAAACCCAATTGGTTCAAATCACAGTGAATATTGAAATCGGCCAATCACTGATGCCTAACAACGTGAATAATGAGTTCATTATTCACGTTTTTAGGCAGGGAATTGATAATGTTTATCATTATTTAGGAAAAAAACTTAATATTATTTAATAGGTAAGGTAACCAACTTACTAAAATAAAAAACCAGGACACAATATGCCCCACCTCGCCCTTCCAAAAAATAAACATAATTTATTTTATTCAATGTTTATTATTTGAAAAAGAGATGTGCTAATAACGTCAATAATAAATAAATTATCCTGAAGGTACTCCCAAAAATTCAGTTTTTTAAATTAATTATAATTAATTATAATAAAAGTGGTCGGGGCTCAGGTTAATAATTATTAACCTGAGCCCCGACCACTTTTATCAAAAAAATTAGAACAAATCCTAAAAAAGTGGCAAAAACTCAAAAAAATTTTCAAACGAGGTTTTTTCTTACTTTTTTACTTTCCTGAAGGTACTCCTAAAAATTCAGATTTTTATATTTTTTTTTAACCTGACCACTTTAAACAAAAAAATTTGAACAAATCCTAGGATTAGCTAAAAAAAGTGGGAAGAACTCATAACTTAAAAAAAAATTCACACAAGGTTTTTTCTTACTTTTTTACTATCCTGAGGGTACTCTCAAAAATTCAGATTTGTAAATTAATTTTTAACCTAAGCCCTGACCAGTTTTAATAAAAAAAATTAGAACAAATTCTAAAAAATGAGAAAAAAATAAACGTGGTTTTTTCTTACTTTTTTACTAGCCTGAAGGTACAAGAATTCAGATTTGTAAATTAATTTTTAACCTGAGCCCCGATCACTTTAAAAAAAAATAATAGAACAAATCCTAAAAAGGTGAGAAAAAGTCATAATTTTTTTTTCAAACGAGGTTTTTTCTTACTTTTTGCTATCATTAAGGTACCTACTTAAATTAATTTTTAAACTAAGCCCCGACCACTTAGAACAAGTAGAAAAACATATAATTAAAAAAAAATTATACATTTTTTCTTACTTTTTACTATTTATTTTAAAGGTATTCCCAAAAATTCCGTTTAATAAAATTAATGTTTAACCTGACGTTTTAAAAAAATAATCGAACAGTGAGAAAAAGTCATAACTTTTTATATATTTTTTTTCAAACGATGTTTTTTATTACTTATTTACTCTTCTAAATGTACTTCCAAAGTTTAAGATTTTTAAACTAATTTTTAACCTAAGCCCCGACAACTTAAATAAAATGCTAATAACGTCAATAATAAAAAAAATAGTATAAACCAGGGCCAAATCTGCAAAACCAAGACAAAACCAGTACACAATTAAAACCAGGACACATTAGCAAAAACCAGAACCTGTCCTATTTTTAAACCATGGAATTTTTTGAATATTAAAAATTTCCTCAAGCTTTTTTTGTACAACTAATAAAATATTTTAAATGTATTCTTTATATCCTTATTTTATTTATATAACTTTTTATTTATAATTTTTGTCTAACCTAACCCATCAGTTAAATTATTTTTTCTACTCCCACCTTTAAAACGCCCTTTATAGGGATTTGGATTAGAGCGGATTATAATTATTTTTTTCTCCTATTATGGTGCATGTTTCCATGACACTAAGTGACCTTTTAAATACACGTTGACATGTGGCTTTATGGCTTTAGTAACGGGCTGAAGTTAGCAACAGGTTTTTAGTCACGGGCTGAAGTTAGTTTTAAGTTAGTTGACAGTTGTCAAATGTCATACAATCGATAAAATAAATTGCCTTTCTTGTAAAATAATACTAAATGTAAAAATTATTTTATTATCTCAATACAAAAATACAAAAGTAGATATTAAATAGTTTCTCAACGCCAATATTTGAAAAGTTTGTATGATCATTGTACTGACCTTTTAATTTCGCCGGCAGTAAACTATAACTTAAATTCGGGCACGGACTCCACTGTAAAGTGCTCATAAAACATATTCTTTACTTTCACTGTGAAAAACTGTCAATTTTCAAGAAATACACTGAAAGAAATTTGTTGCTAAAAGTAAATACAAATTTATACTAAAAATTTTATACTAGTGCTTTACACATTTATACTACTGTTTATTATGAATGTATGGTAAATTTTGTAATACATTTATTGTAAAGAAGATATGTTAGATCTAAATAAAAATAAACTTACCCTTACTATAAAATGTAAACTATAAGTGAATTACAGCAAAAAAATATTGCTAGAAACACCATTTATATTGCTAGGGCAGCAATAGGCTGCTAAACAAACGAATATATTTGTTTTAGCAATGTATGTGGTAGTCTATATATGAAACATAAAATATATTTGCCCTAATTATTTTTTTATTTAACTTTAGTATATATTTCTTTCAGTGTACATTTCGATTTATAACCTTTTTAATTGTGTTTATAAAATATAAAAATTTGACATTTGACGGTGACACACAGATTCCCTTATTGTTTCATAGATGGCGCTCTATAAAAAAATTTGATTTAAATCATTTTAAGATAATAATAAGTATTTGTCGTAGAAAAAGTATAGTATGCACCTCGTTTATAAACTTTTCCTATACACTCATTAATTTAATTCGTGTATAAAATGGGGTTTATCAAACTTGATACATAATATACTATTATCACCCTCTTAAATTCATGGGTATCGTGTTCTTCAATTTTGTATTCATTACAGGTAGGAACTAAAACTTGATTGATTTTTCTGAAAATATATGTTTAAATTGGTTACAAAAATGGCTAGTGCCCCAGTTCATCTTTTTAACCCCCCATTTTTCATAAACAAAACCTCTTTCAGACGTTGAGGAGATAGGTCACGGATGGCTTTTTCGGCCGGGTCCTGCGTTGCATCATCAGATCGTCAACGAGATGGTGCATTATTTGCAACGCGGCAACGGGCGACCTGTCAGTCAGATGCTGCAAGATGGGTTTAGAGTGGAAGCCGCGCAGGCTCTGGTCATTTTTCTAAACAGGAAGACGCAGTGCCTGTTGCCAGATTACATACAGGCTCTTGCGTTAGGTAGGTAAGGGTTTTAGAAAATGTTTGTTGGTGAGAAAACTACATCAATACAAACAGAATCACCACAAAAGGAATTTGCAGGCCGATCGGCACCGCTTTGCCATATACACACTACTACACTTTTGCGCATCAAACGGTTGAAAATTTCGAAAAACTACACTCAAAGGCAAAATAATCGATCCACACAAATTTTCGATGAATTTCAATCGCAAATAACTTTCGGATTTGATTTCGGATTTAAACAAATATTAATATTATAGATAAATTAATGGAGAATCGCTCACATTTTAAAAAATTACTAAAAAATAGATGTACGTTTATAATATACCGGTTTAAACAAAAATAAGTTTTTTACCATAAGTTTAAGACACTCTGTAGAGTGGCAAAACCGTATATTGTTCTAAATTAAGTTTTAATTATCAACTCACATCTATTTTTAACAGTTTTGTTTTTGGTTCACCTTGATATATGTTTTTTTTGTGGAAAATATGGATAATTAAAAAAAAACATTGCAATTTCCAATATTTTTTCTGTACGAAGAACTAAGGTTGCTATGGTCATCCCATACATATACAGCTTTTAAAACTATCAAATTGTTTTTTGTAAATTAATGTGTTAATTTTGAGGTGTCTTCTTACTTTTAAAAATGTATATGTCTCCGACTGATGTTCACTTTGTTACTTCTTATGACGTTTAAAACACTTGCCACCGTCCATCCTGAATTAAAACAATGGCTCTGGCAACAACAGTCGGAGACATATCCATTTTTTAAAGTAAGAAGACACCCCAAAATTTAAACATTAATTTGCAAAAAAAAATTTGAAAGCCTTGTATGACATGTCCAAGTATGGGATGATTCAACAAAACTGTCACTGTCATCCTCCATAGCCTATGGATGGACCATAGCAACCTTAGTTCTTTGTACAGAAAAAATATTGGAAACTGCAATGTTTTTGAAAAAATCCATATTTTCCAAAAAAATAATTATATCGCAGTGAACCAAAAACAAAACTTTTAAGAATAGATGTGACTTGATAATTAAAACTTAATTTAGAACAATATACAGTTTAGCCACTCTACAGAGTGTCTTAAACTTATGGTAAAAAACTTATTTTTGTTTAAAGCTGTATATTATAAACGTACATCTATTTTTTAGTAATTTTTTAAAATGTGAGCGATTCTCCATTAATGTATTTACAATATTTTTTAATATTTGTTTAAATCCGATATCAAATAAAAAAGTTATTTGCGATTGAAATTCATCGAAAATTTGTGTGGATCGATTATTTTGTCTGTGAGTGTATTTTTATACCATTATAAGAATCAAGCTCTTTAATGAGTTTATTTTTATTTTATTTTAAAAAATAATAATTTGCTTCATTACAAAGAATAATTAAATACCTACAAAAATCAAAGGCTCTCAAATCTTACTTTTACAGTAAGGAATAACATTTATGCATAATATAATTGTATGTTCTTAAGAACGAGTTTCAATAAGAGTACAAGGCAGTGGCGGCTGGTGGATTTTAAGTATAGCAATATCTCAGTTATTAGACATGGGAATAGGTTTTATTGACATTAAATAAACAAGTTCGGCGCAAACAGAATTTAAATTGAAGTTTGCGAAAAAAAGTTAGTTTTTCCTGTCGCCTACCCTGCCTCCAGGCCCCCCTATTTGAGATAATTCAAATTAAAGTGGTGCAATTTATTATCTACTATAATTTATCGACAAATTTAAAATTTTATTCAAATGTTTTCTGAGTTATACTTAGGTAAATCAAATACTGTAATGAATAATGTCTCAATGTATAAATTTAATCAGAGGTAAAGTAATGTAATTATTTATTTATTTGTGAATAGTCTATTTATTTACCTGTAATTTATAAGAATCTGAGAGGATGAACCGTATGAATTGTACAAGTTTCTGGTTTAAATAAAGAATGACTTAAAAAAAAAATTTAAATATTTAATTTTGAAAATGCAGGGTGTCTCGAAATTAAGGGGCCCAACAGTGCAATCTGCATAGGAAAAAAACACTAATTTGTGTATACGGCCCCCTGAAGAGAGTCCTAAGAGGATCTTTTTTTTCTTAAACATAAATTTTATTTCTAAAAATTTATTTACTTTTATACAGGGTGTCCTAGAACTCGCTTATAGCAATGGAGATGACAAAAATTTCTCGGTAATATCGAATGAGAGCAAAAAAGCTAGGAGACGTTATGCTATTTTTCCACTTATTTTTTAAAATTTCAAAAAATTTTGATCTGCTTAGCTAAAAATAATGTGTGATTTAATATTTGTAAATCCAAAAACGTTACATTAATATTCCAAAAATGTCCATAAGGCGATGTACTTTTTCTGCCATTGAGGCATTTGGCATAAGTTCGTTTTGACCTTTTTACTTTAGAATCTGATATTATTTTTGGCATAGTTATCGTTTTATATCGGTATTATAATTAACAGGTAAATTATCAATAATAAATATTATTGTCAATTTGTACAGTATTTAATTAAGGTCTTCAGCAAAAGTACCATTTTTTAAATAATAAAAAATAAAAAAAATGAACTGTATGTGTTTTGCAAAACTTTCGGCACGTTTCCCCGTTTTCTCTGTGGCGCGAGATCTGGGACACCCTGTATATTTGAAATATATTTAAAAAATGGCATATTAACCCTCATTTTTCATAAACCCTAACCTCTTTTAGACTGTATAATAAATTATGGCGAATGCACCAGGCTTTATCATGATATCAGTATCCTGGCGCATTCGCCATATTTGGCAAAATGTATATATTTAAAAGTTGTATTTTTAAAGCGTAAAACAAATCAGTATTTTCCAAGAAAAATATTTATTATTTTGAGTAAATCTAATCTAAAGCTGGATATTTTGAAATTTTTGTATGCGTAGAAACCTGTCTCGGATTTATATAATATGCTAGCTAGGCAGCGGCAAATTTTCGTAGGCAGCAAATTTCCTATCTATGTTCTATTTTTCAATAAATTTTCTAAATTTATTATAAGTAATTTTTCTACGGTAATTATTAACCCATTTTTAAATAAAAATAAACGTTTGCATAGAATTTTTTTTTTAATTCAAGCAAATTCAATGAATTGATTCCAAATTTAATTATTTAAACAACATAGAATTTAAATCGAAAAAATGCTTAAAATAAAACTCCATTTCATAATTTTAATTTTGTTCGTTTCAAATTTGCCTCTGGTAGAAAACAATCATTTAATTTTCTTAATTACTTAAAGCTGTTACCTATGTTAAATGTTGAAAATTGGTTTTTATTTATTTTTAACAGTTCCTTCCTAGAAACTAATGTTTTGTAACTAGAAAAAAATATTGTTTAAAAAATTAAAAACCGATTTGCACCATTTACTATGATATCGAAGGTTAAAGTTTAAAATACATCAACAATTTTTTCCCTAAATTTCACAATTGTTGGTATTTTTTACTTCATCATCTAAATTATTAGTTTACAGTCTAAAAACAATTTTAAAAAAATCCGATGACGTAACCCTGCCTAAATGATATTTTTTTTATTTTATTTTTGACATCAGAAAAACTTGCTTATTGATAGAACGCTCTACAAAAAAGGGTTAATTTTTTAAAAAATATTTTTAGACTGCAAATAATTTAGAATAATTTTTTAATGGAAATTATTTTTGTTTTTATCTAGTTTTAAATTTTAAAAAGTTTCATTCTGTATTGTTTATTATACATAAACTATAGTTTTTTTCTTTTCCAATCATTTTTTTATGATTTCTTTTAGTTCTATAAAAGTTAATTTTAAATTATTTAGATGCCCCAGCGTCCGTACTACCTGAAATGGTGGCCACTGACGTTCTTGGACTAATAAAGCAAGATTTACCCACCAAAAGACTAGAACTTATATTACTTCTTTTACGACTTTTGGACACCGTCATAAAATACTCCCCCGCAGACGAGCTACGTGGTAGCACCCTCCCCCTGAGCATGCTCCCTTTATTTTTCAACATAACGGTAAAAAACCTTTTTCGACTAAATATTTTTTTCAGATTTTTTTTCGTAGAATTCTCACATATCAGATTGGAGACGGATAGTCACAATTTTTGTGGAACTTATTCGACAAGGTCAAAATGAAGCAAACCCGAATAATACTTATTCATCTGGGGAGTCTTCTTACACAAATGTAAGTTATAATTTAAATTATAAGTTTTTTGCCTTTTTTGATTAAAACTTAATAAAGTAAAACTATTTAAAATTATTTTATAAAATTATTGCATTGCATTAAAAATGCTGTGTAAACAAAATGTTAGTGTTAATGTTTTAATATTTTGCTTAGCATTTTTAAAACAATGACCCATAAATGTAGGTTAACCAAATACCTTCAAAAATCACATTTTTATTGTTAACAATTTAAATTAAAATTTGTTTATAAAAAAATTGTTCGTATTATTAGTTTAGAATATAAAACTTTTTGAAGTTTGGCGAAAAAATAAAACCCTACTGCATTTGTCAACTTTATAACAAGTAAAAACATTTTTTCTAAATGAAAAATTTAACAAAACCACTAATGAAATTTTTTGTATTTATTTTCAGATGTCAAGAGAAACAGTTCATATGAGCATATAGAAATAAAAATATAATAATAAATTATTTTGTGTTTTGTATTTTTGGTGTCATCAAATAAATTAATTGCAATTATACAGTTTTCTTTATAAGTTCTTAGTAAACAATTTATAAAAAATATAAAGTGTTCCACAGATCGGGTTGCCAATAGGAAAAACTTTCTTATTATGCGTTTTTCAAAAAAATTCTTTATAAAAACGTATGCTTGTTTAAAAAATTAAATTCCTATAAAAAAATTTAATCAAATGATCTCTGAAATTAAGAAAACATGAAAATCTTCAAGAAAAAGTGCCTTTATTTATTATTTTATAGGAAACATTATTTTATAGAAAAAAGCTTTAATGTAAATTTTCCACGACTTTCTCTTGTAAATTTTTTCTATAAAATAATAAATAAAGCTCGAAGCCTTTTAATGTTTTCTTAATTTCTAAACACCCTGTACATTTGATTAAATTTTTTCATGGGAATCCCATTAGATTAATATAATTTTTTAAACAAGCAGGAGTTTTTATGAAGAGTGTATTTTTTTCTTAAAACGCTTACTAAAAAAATCCTATTGGAAAACCACTCTTTTTTATGGGCTTGTGAAATAAATACATAAATAAAATTAAATGTTAAAATAAAAAACATTTTTGAGTATAGACTTTAATTTGAATTGTCTCTTGGTGCATTTTTATGTTTTCCAAATTTCTAAACACACATTCATTTTTTATGGGAATCCAATTTTTAATTAAATTAAAAAATCAAAGATGTATAAACATGTAAGTTATAAAAAAAACATAAAAACAAGAACCAAAGAATTTAATTTTATCATCAATGACGCGCGAAAAAAAGTTCGGTTAGGTTGAAGACTACAGGATCAGGAAAAAAATCACCCGGTATAATATTAAAAATCAAAATACTCTATATCACAATCCACACAATGTGTGGATTGTGCTCTATATAGTATATTTCTTTTAGATATAAATACCTACATGCCAAATTTAAGTATTTATTTATTATATTGTAGAAGATATTCAAGAAAATTAAAAAAATATTACACCCTGTATCTCAAAAAGGAGTAATATTTGGATATAGGTTTATAGAAATAGAAATTATTTTGTATTTTTTTGGTCTCATCAAATAAATAAAATTGCAATTACTTATATAGTTTTCTTTATAAAATCTTAGTAAACAATTTATAAAAAATATATAGTGTTTCCCAGATCTGGTTCCCAATAGGAAAAACTTTTGTATTATTCTTATAAAAAAATTTGAATTAAATGTTCCTTTTCATGTTTTCTTAATTTAATAAATACCCTGTACGTTTGATTAAATTTTTTATGGGAATTCCCATTAGATTATATATTTTTTTAAATAAACAGGAGTTTTTATGAAGAGTGACTTTTTTCTTAAAATGCCTGATAAAAAAATTCCTATTGGCAACCCACTCTTTTTTGTGGGCCTGTAAAATAAAGAAATAAAATTAAATGTTAAAATAAAAACTTTTATTTTGAATATATACTTTAATTTAAATTGTCAACGACTTTCTATTATAAAATACCTATATTCTTATAAGTTTTAAGTACCCCGTAGATTCAATTCAATATTTTATGGGAATCTAATTTTTTAACAATCAGGAGTTTTAATAAAGCATTTCTGATCACATCATTTATTAAACAAGCGGGATTACTTATAATGAATGCATTTTTTTTTCTTGAAAGCGCATCATTTTTATTTATTTATTTGTATCAAAAAGTTCACACTTTAGAAAAAAATCCAGACGTGAAGGGGCTAAACCGAGTTCAGATTCAGTTTTATAAAACCGCTAAATATAAATATTATGACTTGTGAGCATGTGTTATCAAAAATATTCTTTTATAAGGCTATACATTAAATAAAAGAAGCACGCAATATTTGGCCCTAAATTAAAAAAATCAAAGAAAGTATAAACATGCAAGATATAAAAAAACTTAAAAAAATGAACCAAAGAATTTAGCTTTATTATCAATGACACGCGAAAAAAAGTTCGGTTAGGTTGAAGACTACTGTAACAGGATCAGGAAAAAAATCACCCGGTTTAATATTAAAAATAAAAATACTTTATATGATATATTTATTTAAGATATAAATACATGCCCAATTTAAGTAATTTATTTTTTGTATTTAAGATGATTATCAAGAAAATGTAAAAAAATATTACACCCTGTATCACAAAAATGAGTAATATTTGGACATAGGTTTATAGAAACTTTTTTTTAGATAAAATAACTATCTACATTTGCCAAACTTCTGCTACTAAAACCTGGAAATAAAAATGCATTTAAAATCCTCAATCCTTATAACCTATTTGTTATAAGGGCTTTTTAAATAAAAAAACTATATTTTTTCTAGAAAATGAGTATTTTATTATCAGTATTTCAAGTACTAACAAATTAATTTATTAAACAGACAATAATAACATTATTCTTAAATTCAAAGTAATACATAAAACAAAAAACAGATATTTTCAACATTTTTAATCAAACTTTTTTTAAACACATCCAGGGTGGCAATTTTTTTGCTTTTTTGGGAGCAAGACTTTGTGAGAAATCTTGTGTTTGCGATAAAACTTGTGTATGAGATTCTTGAGAATTTAGATTTCTATTGCTATCAATGTTTTCCTCATTCTCATTCATATTTTCCAAATCATTCAAAATATTGCCGAACTCATCATCGATTTTTAATTTTTTCTGGGGATTTTCATCAGAATCATATTTACATTCTGAAGATTTACTTTTTTCCTGAGTATTTTCGCCATCTGAATAAATATCTGTGGCATCTGAATCCCAATCTTCTTGCTGGGAAGTTGAAGGTAATTCATCTTTTTCAGTCTTTAAATTTGGAGCTTTAGTGTCCAAATTACTACAAATTTCTTCATAACTTAAATCCTCAAATTCGGTATAAGGAAAATCCAAATTCTTTAAGTGATCTCGTATTTTAGCGTATGCCATTACAATTTTAATTTCTTCAAAAGTTATATTTGGTGGACAAGCTTCTTTTATAGTTGTGAGTGTTTCGTAGCCTATAAAAATATTTTGATTTTACATTATATAATAAAATGTTTTTGTTTTTACCTTTGGCTTTAATAGTTTTTAAAATAACATCCCTCACAACAGGGATAACATTTAAAGCTTCCATTTTAATTTCATACCCCATTTTCATGGCTTCACTTAAATGGTTTATTATAGTTCCTTCCTTTAGGTTTCTGAAATATTAAACATTAAAATTAAAATCGTTTACTTTTACAATCAGACATTAATAAACAATAAATAATATAAGAAGTTCATTAAAATTAACAGAACTAACAAAAAAATACCTTTCTGCTGCAATTTCGCTTAAACTTTTACCAGCTTTAAACAAATTATAGCTAGTCTCCATAGTAGCACCTAATTTTTTTTCTATAATTGGATGTCTTTCCAAAATATTAAAAATTGAATCTTCAGATTTTTTTTCTTCCATGCCCTGATTTAAGCCCAAATAAAATAGTACCACTTTTAAAAATGCTCTTCCAAAAGTTTCGATTTTGTTTTCGGAAAAACCGCCAACTAAAACGGTTGAGGAACATGGTTAAATACATTTTTTAGCCAATCAGTGTTGCACATATTTTGCATTAAAACATGTTACATTTATTTAACTATTAAATGATTTAACATATAAACGCCTTAGTTTTTATACAAAAAAAACTTACTTTTGCTCGTTATATGTATAATCGTTATATATTTAAAAAATTTGGAACACAAAATAAATGTCAAACTATATTTGAAGTTGTCAAACTTTTCTTTATTTGTACTTGACACATTTGATTATGTTGGTAGTAAATTCAGATTTTTTGAGAAGGCAATTTTTATATTTTGATGCATGGAGCCTACCTGGGAGTACGAAATCAATAGGGCGAATTTACAAAACCTGCCTATTAAATCGCACAAATAACGTTTTCTTTTTTCAGCACTAGCGGCGCTGATTTCCATTCTGTACTGTCGTCTGCTATTTTGGTACAAACGAAACAGAACACCAGCGCCCCCTTATTTTGGGAAGCATTTGTATACATGGAGTTTGTACTCCTTGTGTAGGCTCCATGATTTTGAAGTTTCATTGACGGTGCAGATAAAGTACGGTTTTGTATTTAAGCCTGATTTATAGATTGCCTTTCTTGAAGAAAGTTTCTTCCTTCCTTCCTCCCGTAGAAGATGAACAATATAATCCCGTACGGAAATCTATAAACGGCACTACGGTTTTCGTATTGTTCATCTTTTACGGGAGGAAGGAAGACAATATATAAATCAGGCTTTAGAGTTTGACAGCGTTACTATAGCATTAATATTTATTAATATATTAATAAAAACAAACTAAAATATAACAAAATACAGAATATTAAAAATTCTAGAATGTCAAAAACGCAACGTAGAATGTTAAAGCGCTACAATGTTTTGAAATCTTCACAACAAATTTTAGAACGATAAAATATTGTCAAAATTACTGCCAAGAACACAACTAATAATGTCAAAACACACTATATTACAAAAAAAATTAGAACGTCAAAACCATAAAAATGCGAAAATTAGTTAATAAAATCCAAAACAAAGAATATTAAACACATTCCAGAACGTCAAACAAAAAAATTAGAACGTCAAACCACAAAAATGTCAAAAACAAATTTTAGAATATCAAATCCGTAAACTTATATATTAAAAAATTTCAAAACACACAATTTAAAATGTTTTAAAATCTTAAAACCCAATTTTAGTACGTCATAATAATGTCAAAATGACTTTAAGAATATTAAGAAACGCATTCCAGAACATTAAAAATTTAAAACGTCAAAACCATAAAAATGCTAAATTTAAAACAAAAAATGATAAAAACATATTAAAAAGACAAAAATAACATTTATAACGTCAAAATTACTTTTAAAAATGTCAAAAACACAACTCCTTAAAACATTCTTGAAATCAAGCACGTCAAAAACAAAATTTAAAACGTCAAAACCATAAAAATGTCAAACATAAATTTTATAATGTAAAAAAATATTAAAAACACAATTTACAATGTTTTAAAATCTTCAAACAAATTTTAGAAGGTCATAAATTATATATTCAAAATTACTGCCAAGACTTTAAGAGTGAAAAAAAACACCAGGAATGTTAGAGCAAATTCCAAAACATTAAAAATTAAACTTTATAAATTTAGAATGTTTAAACGATAAAAATGATAAAATTGGATACCTAATTTCCAAAACCAAGAATAATAAAAACATTCATAAAGATAAACATACAATTTAGAACGTCAAACCCATAAATATAAAAATTATAAATTTGATATTCATTAATGTTTGTAACGTTCTTTTTAACATTTTTTGTTTTATATGTTAGTAATAAATTGTTAAAAACATATAAAACAAAGAATTTTAAAAACATTCTACCTAGAACGTCAAACAAAAAATTTAAAACGTAAAACCATAAACTTATCAAAAACAAATTTTAGAATGTCAAAACCGCAAATTTTAGCCATTAAGCCACTAAAAATAAAAAACTTAGTTTTATAAACGTCATTTAATACACGAGATACTTTATCTACGACAAACGCAAAGTAGGTTATGTTTTTTTTCCAGAATTTTTCAATTTTATTTGATATCTAACAACTGTCAAGCGGTTTTAACCTCACTTTTATCCAAAATGACATCTGTCAACACAAGTGTAATGTAGAAGTAAATAAAATTACTTAATATAATTCAAACAGAGAATGTTAAAAAACATTGTCAAATAGAATGTAATAACCTTATATTAGCAAAATGCTTAAAAATGTAAATACCACAAAATACACTAAAGAATGTCAATAAAAAATTAGGTAGTTAAAACAATATTGTAAAAAATATTTAAATATGTTGAGAAACCAATAAAGATATTTTTTGCCAAATAATCTTTTTAGCACTTACCATTTTTTAGTTGTTCCAAATTTCTAGGCTTATTTTTTGCCATTGCCATTAGTACAGCATTAGAGGCAATACTGTAAGGCATGCAGTCCAGCTGCGTTGCCAGTTCGGATCTTTTATTCATTAAAAGTCTGTACAATTTTGAATCTTCGCCATCTAAATCATCAATTGTTTTATCTGCGTCTTTTTTCATTGAAGATGATTCAGCCTTATTTGAGATTTCGGAATTTTGTTTGTTTAATAAGTTGTTTAGTCTTGTATCTGCACCGAATGTTGATGATCTGAAAAATGTTTCATTCAAAAAAGTTTTAATTTATAGTAATAGTAAACACTTACAGTGAGGCGTTAGTTTTCTTTTTTAACATAGGAATTACTTCACTTGTGGGTTCGAATTTTAGGCACGCATTATCATATTCAAGTTTTTGTAGGAACATTCTACCCAATTCACTGAGGTGATATGTATAGAATGTTCCATATTGAGTTTTTTTGTCAGCTTTATCCAAGTATTTCTCCTTTATCAGAATATTTGCTAAAAAATGTTCAATGATTATAATAATACCTACACAACATTAAAATGTTTTATTAAGAAAACAGGAAAACTTTTCCCGTGCAGTGTGCGAAAAAAAATCGACATACAGACTGCTTTCCACCAAGCTTCACTTTTGTGTTTGCCCCATCCGTGTTGCGGGTGTTCCTGGTACTTTTTGAACAGTTTCGCGTTCTTGGAACCGCGCAGAAAATATAGGTAGTTCGTAATACCGAAATTTCCGTCCATTATTTCGACGGTTTTCAGGAAAATTTTCCCGTCCTCTGTGAAATCGTAGAAGCCCTTGTCGTCTACGCCTTCGTAATTTTCGTCTGGACAGGTTTTTCTAAAAAAAATCGTTATTATATCGCATTGTTAACATTATTTTTTAATTATCTTACTTTCTTGTACAATTATCACAGCACAAAGTATAATATGGCACCTTTACTGAACTTCCTTCAAAATGCGTCAAAATGAACTCTCTTCTACATCCTGTAGTAATCAAATATTCTTTCATTATGTCCAGCAAATTTTTACGCAAGTTTTTGCTTCCATGTCCTTTCTCAGCCAAAAAGCTAAAAAAAATTAAACATGATTTAAAAATATTTGGAAATATTTAAATGAGTATGGGGCGCCGTTTTATTTTTTATTCAGTAATTGTTTTTATGTGTCAATCTTAAAGTTATATTTTCAATTACATAAAAGATATCACATAAGAATTCTGCGAATTAATATCATAGCAGATATTTTAAAATTAGATGTAATTTTTTATGGCAAACTGATATTTTTAATTTAGTGAATTTAAAATATCTGTTTCTTATATTTGTGTTTTTTTTACTAAACACTTATTTTGAATTCGCTAAATTAAAAATATCATAGAAGATATTTTTAATTCATATTGAAAGTTTGGACTCCCCTGGTATTCCAAACTAATTCTGTCAAAAAATATGTCTTTAACAAAAAATACAAATATAAGAAACATATATTTTAAATTCACTAAATATAAAATATCATAGGAGAATTTTTTAATGATATTTTTAATTCTCAGATTAAACATGTTCATGTGATATTTTTTATTTATACATATATTTTAAAAATTAGATCTATTTTTTTTCCATACCGATATTTTTTGTATATTTAATTTAAAATATTTACGTGTTCGAATGTTTTTCGAAAAAATATTTTTAAAGCTCTTTTATTTAATAATTAAAAAAAAGTTTGAAAAATAACTTTAAGGGAATTTTTTAAATAAAAAATATGCTGTTAAAGACCGTGTTTTCGTTAGTATACCCTGAAAATTTTGTACAAATCAAACGAACAGTAACGAAGATACAGCGCTTCAAAGTCGGTAAAAATGACCCCTTTTTTATTCGTTTAATTGTATAATCCATTTTAGCAGTGGGATTAATATTGTAAATAAAATTAAATTAGGCACTTCCACGCTGTAAATTTTTTTATTTTAATAACCGACCGGTTTCGCTTTACGGCATCTTCAGGTTTTCTACAAGAATGGTATAAAGATATATGATAATATAGAGATTTATCTCTATATTATCATATATCTTTATTAGACTGGGCCAAAAAAATCAACTCTTTTTTTTTAAAGTATATCGAAAATATAGTTTGGGGTGACAAAAAAAATTATTTTGAAAGTTTGAGTCCATAATATTAATATTAAGAGGTCTATCATCGCATTTTTTTTTTCCTCAGCAAGTTTTTGTCTCAGAACTCCCAAACCATTAAGTTTAACAAAATTGACTTGAAAATATTTTTTTAAGAAAATTAAATGCTCTACAAAAAAGGTTTAAGTGAAATTTTCCGCCAGATGAACCGTTTCCTTAAAATCATGCCTTAAAAATTTTTAAATTGGAATTTTGTAATTCATGTAAAAATCAGTACCCATAAAAATCCGACAAATATTCTTATGGAAAATCAAATGCTTTACAAAAAAAACCTCTCAACATTTTTGGCTAAATTCACTCTTTCAAAAGTTATTCAAGGTTAAATTTGAAATGAAATGAATTTAGCCAAAAATGATAAAAGACTTTTTTTGTAGAGCATTTAATTTCCCAAACCGGTCGGTTTTTAAATAACAAAATTTACAACAGGGAAGTGCCTAATTTAATTTTATTTACCCTTTTTTATTATTTTGCTGAAAAGTGCTCATTTTTGACGACTTTGAAGCGCTGTATTTTCGTTACTGTTCGTTTGATTTGTACAAAATTTTCAGGGTATACTAACAAAAATACGGTCTTTCACAACATTTTTTATTTACTTAAAAATAAATTTCCCTATAAAAGCTTTTTTCGAGCATTTTTATTACTAAATAAAAGGGCTTTAAGGATATTTACTCGAAAAACCCTTGAACACGAAAACTGAGATATAAGTTGAAGTATTTTTATACAAAATTTTATAAAAATTGGTAAAGGCGTTTTAGAGATGGATTTTTTTTACTTGTTATGCGTTAATTTTGACCCGCAGTGTATTTTACATGTACATTGTAGATCCCAGTGATTGTGCCGCCATCTAGCGACATAATTAGTTTGGAATACTAGGGGTGTCTAAACTTTCAATCTGATATAAAAATATCATAATTAATAAAAAATACTTGCTTATTTTAAAAAATAAAAATGAATTAAAAATAACTTCTATATTTTTAATTTCTTCTATGATTTTTTAATTAAGCGAATTAAAAATATATATTTAAATATAAGAAACAGATATTTTAAATTCAGTTCTATTTTTTATCTAATTGAAAATATCACTTTAGTGTTAACACAAGAATAATACCTGAAAAAAATAAAACTGCGCTCCATAAATGAGTATTCTACCCTGCTGTAATAAAGGATAAAAGTCAACTTGTATTGTTTTTAATATTTTATCTTAATTAATATTCTCATCCATAATTTCCAATTGAAGGAGACAAAAAAACTCACTTGTGCTTGACAAAATCGGCGTTACTGTAGAAGCAAACGCACTTGGACGGTAGACCGTCCCTTCCCGCACGTCCCACCTCCTGGTAGTAGGCCTCGATGCTGCCCGAAGTGCCGTAATGCACCACATTTCGCACGTCCGGCTTGTCGATGCCCATTCCGAACGCTATGGTGGCCACTATGCAGTCCACTTTGTCTTTCAGGAAGTTCGCGTGCGTTTCTTTGCGCTCTTTTAGGGGCAGACCGGCGTGATAGGGAAGGCAGTTCACGCCATGAGCTTAAAAAAATTTATTTTTGTTCGTTTTATACGTTTTTCTAGAAACTCGTTTATTAAACACTCGCTCCGCAAGCTTCGCTTGTACCAGGGTCATTTTCAAGAAACACCCGCTTTCAGAAAAATGAAGATCACATTTTTTTTTGCTTAAATTGACTTTTGGTTGGATTTTTATAAATGTTTAGATTTTTGTTTACTTACATTTAAGACAGGCAGTGCCCTTTTTAATTTTTTTTTACGTTTTTTTTTTAGAAAAATGTGTTTAGCTAGCTTAATATCTTAATATCTCTACTGTGTTACCAATTTGAAATCCAAAATTTAATTCAATAAAAAAAGTTGTTATAAAAATAATTTGAAATAAAATGTACTTAGTTCACAAACTTTTGACTCCAATTTTATGTTTTATTAAAAATTGTATGCATTTTTTAAATATTTATGTTAGTCAAGTTACTTTTTAAAAGACACCATTCCGATTCTTTGTTAAAAAAACAATACCATTAATATTTTCTTTTAGTCACTGTATTAGTGACTTAAACTCTAATTTATAAACAGGTATTACCAAGTGATAGTAAAATCATTTTAAGGATTTTTTTTAACAAAAACTAAAAAAAATAACGAAATAGACATTGGTATCACAACGGACTGGGGTACACAAAGGACGTGGTACGATTTTAGAGTAATGCATAAACAAAATCCCTTGTAGTGGTGCTCACTTGCAGAATAACAACTTAGATTTCTAAATTATAGACACCCTTTTTCTTTGACTATAAGCTGGTGTCTTTTAGTACTTTTATATTGCGTGGAATTTTCCCTTGGATGTAATCTATATATAGACTCATGATATATCATGAGTTGCAATCACAAATAATTTTAAATTGGTTTATCATAAACTACTTTTAATAAAAGCGACGGTAAATATCCACTTTGTTGACGAAAAATTCTATTGCATTACCCTAAATTCCATTGCGTTACCATAAGGTAACGTAATGGACTCGGTAACGCAGTGGACAAAGTTTTGTGTAACCATATTTAAAAAATAATAATAAAACATTACAGTTATTAATTACTCTCAATGAGCTTTAGTGCCCTAAAATAAACATAAACATGAAAAATAGTATTTTTTCTTACGTATTTTTATTATTTTTTTGAGTAACTTAGCGGACAAACAATTATTACATTCGCGTTACCCGCACCTGTTTCAACCGATATCTTCTTCCTGATTGAATAAATAAATTCAGCTGGGTAATGTGTACGCCCGAACATCATTTGTTAATCATGTGAGTGCCAAAAAAGTTGCCATATATATGTTTTTTTTTAAATATTCTATCGGTAACGCGACGGACGTAACGCAACGGAAAAAATGTCTGGGACATGAGTCAAATTTAAAAAAAGTAGATTAAAATTAATTAATTTATATATAAATTGTTTACTTTATTAACTAAGGATGTTATGGATTGCTATAAAGCAACACAAAGTTCTGGTTATTCAATATTTAAAAAAAAACATGTATGTAAGTTTTATAAAACGCTAACGGGACATGCGAAAATGTGTGTTTCCCAAGTTTCAAAATTAAAAAAAAATTATTCTGAAATAACTAAACAAACATTTTCTGAAAGAGTTTACCAAGGGCTTGTTAGGCTTTCACTTGGTTTTTAAATCAATAAGATCCGATAATTTTTAACAAAGTTATTGGAATTCAAACTTACGCACAGCAAAAGGCGAGTATTTTTTGAAAACGACCCACCAAATTAAAAATTGTTACTAAAATGCCGTTTATAAAACTTGCATGATATACTAATTTAGAAAAATAATATTTTCCTAAATTATTACTGATTAATACATAGGTATTATGTCGGAAACAATTAGGGCAGAAACAATTCTATAAAGTTGTTTTACTCTTACAAAATTGTGTAAACAAAATTATTTTGTATACAAAATAAAAATTGGTATTCAATTAATACTATTAATTAATTAAAACGATATCACCTTTTTTTTATTACTTACATTGTAAAACATTTGCTATTTCTTCAGTGTCCTTCCTGGTAATGCAATAAAGTATGGTGGACCCAGTAAACTTCCAACCATTATCAGTAATTTCCATAACATATTTCCTTATATCTTGAAAAACACCCAATGAACTTTTCATATAGACAGCAAAATACAAATTTGACCTATCAAACCCTGAACAGGACAGCAAAGGATTCCTTGAGGAAAAAAAATGTTTTTAAGAAATATTTTTGTTTGATACAGACAGTATGTAATTATATGTATCTTTACATTACTATAAATAACAATTATAATTATACCTATATTTAGTAAAATAGTCAAAAATGCATTTATAAACTATAAAACTGATTTTATGAATAGAATCCCGCTTTTTGGCCACAAGTGATGGTAAAAAAAATTCCTAAAATACTTATAGGTATAAGTATAAATATTATGTTATAAAATTAATAACTTTTACAAAAACAACTGTTTGGGCTTTAAAACTCATTTTTAAAATAAGACCTAAATTATTATGAAAAATATTATTATTATTACCCATTACCCATTAGTCTAGTTTAAACTATTTATTCTTTAAATTAGGTATCAGTCAAATTTTAAAACTTAATAAAACTAACATTCTTGACCGTTTTACCCTAGATAAACACAGTTAGAACCACTCTTGAAATTCTCATTTAATAAATAAATAACTTAATTAAGGTTCAATGATTTTATAAGATTATTTCAGACTTTAAAATAAACTTTTCTACCCTATAGGTTAACACTTTATAAGACAGACAATTGAAATTCTTATTTAACAAATATACACTTACTTTAGGTTCAATGATTTTATAATATCATTCCGGACTTTATTGGTGGCAGTGGCTGTTACAGCCAATATAGGAACATCTGGCAACATTTTTTTCAAACAACCCAACTCCCTATACTTGACTCTAAAATCATGCCCCCAAGAACTGACGCAATGAGCTTCATCTATGGCAATTAACACAATGTTTAAGTTCTGCTTTATTCGCTTAATTAAATCACTGCCATAATCCCCTGTTACAAACTCAGGTGTGCAGTAAATTATAGAGTATTTATTCTCAAATATATCATCAACAGTTTTAGCTTGTTTAGTATTGGCAGAACCCAACATACAAGCTGATATATTTGTTACTTTTAATGATAAAACCTGATCTTCCATTAGAGAAATTAATGGTGAAACAACAATGGCAATTCCTTTTAAAAACACAGGAGGAAATTGATAACACAACGATTTCCCATAACCTGTTGCCATAATCGAGCAATTATCTCTTTTTTCGTTGATAATAGAGCTTATTATTGACCACTGCATTGGTCTGAACTCCTTGTGGCCAAATTGTTTGCTAAGACAAAATAAGTGCTCTTTTTGGGGGGCATTTTCATCTGAAATATTATATTAATAGTAGAATTAATGTTTTACTATAAATATTACACACCGTTGATGACATTCTGAGTTCTCTCCACAAATGTATCCTCAGAGGTCTACAAACATTTCTTTAAGTCTTTTTACTTATTTTGTAATAAAAACTTACCGATTCATCGAATGGGTCATCAAAATCTGAATCAAAACCAGAGAAATCCATTGTTTCCATGTTTAATTACAATATTTATATACTTATATATTTATATGAAGAAAACGAAATGATGTCAAAACAAATTTGATTTTTAACCGCGTTTTTGACAACTGTCATTTCCAATTTATGTTCGGTGGTTCGAATTCTCATTGGTTAAATAATGTCAGAAAATGCAGGACCGGCTTAAAAATTAAAATGTTTGGAAATATGTAAATTTAATACATTTTTCTACAAATGAAAGCTCAGGTAAAGTACTGGTAAAATAGGTCAAAAATAAGGTCCTTGTGAGGACTTTGATTAAGGAAATATTTCTTTATATTAACAATTCTTGATTTTTGTATGATAAATAAAACAATTATTGTGTTTTTTATATTTGTGCATATTTAGGTTATATTAAAACAAAAAAAGTAACATGTAGTTGTTGGCTATAAATAAATTAAGAAAATAATTTACAACAAATAATTCATTATTAAAATACTTTTTTGTTAAGTAGAAACAAATTAAATTAAATTTAGTAAAATACTTTAAATCTTAATACAGTTAAAGAAAAATTGAATTTTGTTCTAAAAACATTAATTTAGGTGAGGTTCTGTGGATTTAACTTTGTAAAGCGTCCGTCTGGAGTTTTGGGGCTTCCTTGGAGGCTACACCACCCAAAAGTTTTTTGATTTCGGCAATTGCGCGTCCAGGATTCAATCCCTATGAAAAATATGCATGTCAAAATTGTTATTTTTACGTTATATTTTTGACGTTTACTGTCAACTTGACATTCTCGATTTTAGGTTAGATTTGTGACAGTTCTGTCAAAAATATAACCCAAAATGGTAATTTTTGACACTGTTTTTTTACAATCATACCTTGGGGCAAGTTCTGGTACAATTCATGATGGTGTGGCAACGATAGGCAGAGAAAGGGTCCCTCATTTTGTCCAACCTTTTAGAGGTAGATTCATCTCTTGAATCGATAATCCATCTATAGGCCTTTAAAATATAAAATTAAATTAAGTGGGAAAATTGGAAATTTATTTGTAGTCAATATTTAGGAAACAAATCCAAAAATTATAAATACAAAGAAAATATAAATTTACATATTTTCTTATGAAATTTTGCATTTCAATGATCCAAGTTTTTGTATGAAGCTTTTTTATTACCTGCATAAGAACAGCAGGTCCCAAATACTTGTCACCATTCCACCAATAACTCGGACAAGATGTAGAACAACAAGCACACAGAATACATTCATACAAACCATCCAACTTGGCTCTATCATCAATGCTTTGAAGAAGTTGCTGCCTTTCCCCAGTTTTTTTTGGAGTATCATCCCTGCAATTTGTTATTTTATAGGGAGTCCCTATTAGGGACATTACTTTTATTATGCTGCTGTTACATACTTTCTTTGTAGCCAGGGCTCAATAGATTTGTATTGGTTGTAGAAGTTGTTCATGTCAGGTACTAAATCTTTAACAACATACATATGAGGTAGAGGGTAGATTTTGGTTGACTTGCTGGAACCAGCATCAATTTTGCTAAAAAAGATTGTTTTAGGTTACATTTTAAATATCAAGCAACTTTTTGACAGTTCTCAACCTTTGACAGCTGTCAACTTTTGACAGTCCTCAACCTTTGACAACTGACAGTTCTTAAAACTTAACCTAAATTAAAAACTGTCAAAAGGAACGTCAATAATCCAACCCAAGAGTTTTTAATTTAATACCTGATGCAGGCAAGAGTGTTCACACCTCCGATGTTCATAGCACAGGATCCGCAAATACCCTCCCTGCAGGACCTACGGAAAGTCAAAGTGGGATCAATTTCGTTTTTGATCTTGATCAAAGCATCCAAGACCATAGGGCCACAAGAGCTCAAGTCCACGTTGTATTCCTGCATGTACGGCTTCTTGTCAGGTTCTTCAGGGTTAAAACGGTAGATGGAAAACGTTTTTGTGGGGCCATTTGAAACGCTGGCTACGTGAAAATTCCTCACCTACAAAAACATTTCAATTATTATGTAATATTTATATTTTTGTTTTGATTACCTGGCCAAACGTTCCTTTGCACACTTTTAGAAGCTGGATTTTACCAGACATGTTGAAGGATGTAAAAGGAGTTATTAAACAGCAAAAACTATAATAATACCTTTGTTTCAAGGGTAGTTATGTTTCCGAACTCTCTATTTTCGACACCTACCGTATACTTTTATACCGACGCAAAATATGTGACGTCACACGAAGATTAAATTTAATTTAATTATGATTTAAATAAGCTTTTAATGAGGTGATTTTCTAAATTTCATATTTATTATTAAATATACATTGATTTGTCTAAATCCTAATAAAATAAGGGATATTTCAGTGTAAACACACCTTTACATAATTTTGACAGACCTATAACCTACAAAAGTGACATTTTTAAATTTTCCTAATTTTCGCATTTTATGTTATCATGTCGACACTAGAGTTAGTTCAAACTCTAAAAAAAGACAACGGCCGTGTTTGGAACGTAAGCTGGCACCCTAAAGGCGAGTCTTTTGCTTCCTGTAGTGAAGATAAGTCTATTAGAATTTGGGCTAAAGATGGCTCAAAGTACACAAATAAAGTAGTTTTAACCGATGGCCATAAACGTACGATAAGAGAGGTTGCATGGTCGCCTTGTGGTGATTTTCTTGCGTCAGCTAGTTTTGACGCTACCACTTGTGTATGGGATAAAAAGAATGGAGAGTTCACTTGCAATGTAACACTCGAGGGGCATGAAAATGAAGTTAAATCAGTTGCATATTCAAGTAATGGTTTACATTTGGCCACATGTAGTAGGGATAAATCTGTTTGGGTTTGGGAGGTAGCCGGTGAAGATGAATATGACTGTGTTGCTGTGTTAAACAGCCATACGCAAGATGTGAAAAAAATTGTCTGGCATCCTTCTAAAGAGATATTAGCATCTGCTTCATATGACAACACTGTGAAGTTATTTAAGGACGATGTAGCTTTAGGTGAATGGGTAAACTCCAATACCTTACATGGTCATGAATCCACCGTGTGGAGTATAGATTTTGATGCTACAGGGGAAAGAATAGCTTCTGTTAGTGATGATAAAACCCTTAAAATCTGGAAGGAATACCCTCCGGGTAATCCAGAAGGTATCCCCACCGAAGATAAGGAATCAGCATGGAAATGTGTTTGCACAATCTCTGGACATCACATGAGGACTATTTATGATGTAACATGGTGCCCTCTAACAGGCCTTATCGCAACTGCATGTGGTGATGATGCCATAAGAATTTTCAAAGAGGAAAATGGATGTGATCCCAACGCCCCCACATTTAATTTAGTCGCCACAGTTGAAAGGGCACACAGTCAAGACGTAAACTGTGTCTCATGGAACCCAAAAACACCTGGTTTACTATTATCATGTAGTGATGATGCAGAAATCAAAGTTTGGAAGTTTAAGGAATAAAAAGACTTATATTTTGTTTTGTATATAGATTAAAGGCTTTTAAAATAAACATTGAGACTTTTGACCTCTTTTCAAATTATTTTCTCCTATAGGTATTTGCTTTATTTAATAATATTTAAATTTAAAAAAATAACCCAACAATAGGTATAAATAAGTTACATCGGCAACAATGCAATCACCATTTTTGAGCCTATAGAAATTTCTCCGGCGAAAACTGTCAAAAAACTTTTGACGGACGTCAAAATACAAAACACCGCATTTTGAATTAAGAACAACAAAAACCGTAAAAACATGTCGACACCAGGAAATAAAAACCCCTATGTGACTGGAGGGATAAACAAAAACTTATTAACACCCTGCAGACCCTTGGGGTTGTCGAGAAAACGTAAAACACCAGCGAGCGGTGTAAAAACACCCTTATTGAATTCTCCAGCTTTGATTTCTACACCAAAAGCGGAAAATTCGTATACAGAAAATGGAACACCTTTGGTTTCCACTAGGAATAAAGTTAATAATGTTACTGATAGTGGTAGTAAAGCTAAGAAGAAGAAAATATCCAAACGGCTTGCTATGGATGTTGAGAATAATGAAGATGATGTAAATAAAGGTGTGGAGCAGAAAATAGATCCTGAAAGTGATGATGATTTGCCCTTGGTTAAAGCAAAAACTAAAAAGGAAGATATGAGTAAAAACCATGTTAAAACAACAATAGAAACAACCAAAGAAATTAAACCTTATGATAAAAACAAAAAAGATCCTGCCAAAGCAATAGAAACAAAACAAACTGATGACATACCCTTGGTTAAAGCAAAACCTAAGAAGAAGCCTGTTAAAACAATAGAAACAACTAAAGAAATAAAACCCAAGGTAGATAAAACTAAAATTTATAATGAAAACAAAATAGATATTTTAAAACTGAAAGAAACAAATGAAGAAATGCAACAAAAAGAAGTTATAAAGCCAACTTGTCATAATAAAACAAGTAATATTGTGCAAGAAATTCAAAATAAGTATGATAGTGATGATTTGCCATTAAAAATCAAAATAAAATTAGACAATGATGTTAATAAAATAAAAATTATTAAAAATGAAAATATTCAAAAAATGGACACAGAATCTAGTAGTGATGATATTCCTATAAATATTAAAAGAAAAATTAAAAAAGACATTGAAAAAGCATGTGTAAATAGTGATAGTGACAATGATGTTAATAAAATAAAAATTATTAAAAATGAAAATATTCAAAAAATGGACACAGAAACTAGTAGTGATGATATTCCTATATTTATTAAAAGAAAAATTAAAAAAGACATTGAAAAAGCATGTGTAAATAGTGATAGTGACAATGAATCTTTACTAAGTATAAAAAAACAAGAAAAAAACGTTATAAATAGTGATTTAAGCCCAAAAACAGTTAATAAACATAAACCAAAGCCAAAAAAATACATAAGTAGTGATAGTGAAGATGATTTTCAAGTAAACTCAAAATCAACACAAAAAACATACTCAAGAATTAAAGTAAAAGCTGATATTCATCAAGAAAGTAAAACTAAGTTTAAAAAAGTTGACTCTGTTGAGTCAGATATTCAAAAATTACAAGAAATTGAGAAAAATATGACTTGTAAAGTTCATTTGGAATTGTTAAGTGGTAGCCATATTAAAAGTTTGTTACCTGTAGGGCAAGATAATGTAATAACATCAACTCAAGTTGATTCTGATAAAGTACAAAGTTTTGATAAAGTTATTAACAAACATAAACCACTAATAATTTTGCAAAAAAATTACAATGAAGACGATGATTTTGCTTGTAGCCCCAATGACGATAAATTCGATAAAGGCGACACCTTAAAAAAAATAAAATACCTAGAATTAAGTAACAAAGGCAAAAAAGAAAAGTTGGCCAAACTAAAGCAAGCCGAAGTCTACAAAAATTTGCATAATGTTGGGGAATTGGAAAATTTAACAAAAATTTGGACAAATGGTTGTAAGTTGGCGCTGGAAGATTTACTAAAACAATTGCAAGCACATGGCCCCATGGATATGCCGATGTTATTGAGAAAGTTAAATATACCTGAAAAAATATCCAACAAGTTTAAATTTTCATCTGAAAGTAATTGATTTGGTTTTAATAAAGTTTATGAATGTTTTATTTAAAAGTTGCTTTTTATGCATAAAAAATATTTTTTTGAAATACCTACCTATACCTAATGAAATACCTAAGTGTTAAATTATTATTACCAAATTTTAACTTCTTTGAAAAAATTGTTATTTTTTTATAGGTAGGTAAATATCCTTTTATATAAATAATACCACATGATATTTTTAGAGTTACAAGATTTTTTATATTATAAGTAGGTATTTATATAAATATATATCTATAAACGTATGTACCTATATTACCTATCTTATTTAAATAATTTCAAAACATTAAAATAACAAAAATATCTAGGTATAATATAAAATTTAAAAAAACTCCAGTAATATTAGGGTGTGCAATTTTCGAATATCCTGTTTATTTAATTGTAACAAAATATACAATGCTGCCTTTGTGCACACATACTTCCATAGTGCTTTTTTCTGATTTTAAAGCCCGGTCCTGTGCTGAAGATGTCAATAAATGCAGGTAAAAACTGGGTCAAATTTAGATTTTCCAGGTCGCAGCATGGCTTTAAGTTAAAATGATTACATAAGTTATTTAACTGAATTTACTGTTACTTTTACCAATAAGATGTGATGTGAATTAATATTTTCAAGGCCTACGTAGTTGCCAAGCGTATAATTGGGTGCTAAAAATACCACACCTTTGGCGGGTATTTTGATAGTTTCTGTTAATCAATAAATAAAATATCGTGAATTTTGCAGAAATATTCGTTTAATATTCAATTTAGGTGTTTCCTTTACAGCTTTGAATGTCTTGAATTGTGGGGATACATCGTGAATATGCAAAACACGTGATTCACTCAACCACGTGCAAATTTGGCGTGTCTGGTCACCAGACTCTGGTGTTTAGAGTAGAAAAGGATAAAATATGCGGTTCTCGTTAAATTAACCTCTGAATGCCGGCTACTAGAAAAGGCGGCTCCCCAATAGAAATAGCGTACCCGCATATGCCTAGTTTTTGTGTAAATTTTACGAGCAACAAGTGATTGTATTTAAGGTGAACTTTTTTGTTCTGCAGTGCAATTTATGGTTATTTGACAGTCAAATTTTGGGGTGAGTAGGCGTTGGATTGTTGAAAATAGGCCTTTATGGAAATTTATGAACTTCTCAAGGCATTCTTTAATTCATTAGACCATTTAAGGCCCAAGAAAATAGTATTATTTCTATGATAAAAGTTTAATTCCAATGTATTTTATTTTTAATTAAAACCAAGAAGTCTGTATAGCCAAGAGAGTTCTTGTTTTTTTAAGGGTGTGCTTGTCAAATAGGAAATATCGACTGTTAGCTTTTAACAACAATTTTTGTTAAATATAATAATGAACATATTAGTATTTGGCTAAATTTGGCAACAACAAAACTTATTGCATTTTTAAAATATTTTGTAACATGAAACACTTGTTTATATGTTTACTACCTACTTGATAAACCCTTATAGAGGTGTGTAGTTCGCGAACGAACTAGTTCAAAAGATCGAATTTCGTAACTGAACTAAAAGATTCAATCACCAAAACTAAAAAAAGCGAATCAATTCGAACTAAACTAAAAATCCGTAGATATATTTCATTATATCCGTATTTACTAATGGATTTTTTTTCACGCAAATTCGTTCCTAAAATAGGCAACCAAATCAACCACTTAATGGTCTTGGCAACAGCGCTGCAGCGTACCATTTTGACCAGCAGCAAGTGCAATTCCAAGAACACTTCTTTGATGCAAATCCATGATGCAAATCAATCAATCAATCTCAATATAGTTCACTTGAACTACTAGAGAAGTGTAGTTCGCGAACGAAACTACGTAAATCCGATTATAAATCAGTGAACTAAACGAACTAGTCTTTTGTACTATTCACTTTAATAAACGAGATCGAAAGATCGAAATCAGGAAAGTGAACTAAACTTCCCACCTCTAAACCCTTATTTGGCACAGGGTCGTATTCGTGATATTTTTAAATAAGGTAGGTACCTACCTATTTACATTTTAATTAAAAAATTATATTTTTATACATTTTAAACAATTTATTTTAACTTTTTTCCAACTTGGTATGCCAACAATTTGTTATGCTGGCTTCCTGTAAAATACGTGCATTAACCAATTCCTTTTTCTATGCAATTTATTATTATTATTTTATTTTTTTATTTTGTACCTTATCAAAAGCCTTGTTTGTAGGCACCTACTTAAATAAGTTAAATGTTTTTTATTTAGTCTTTAATTAAAGCTTAAGCTAGTAATTATTTTTTTAAAATATTTTTGTAGTAATATTATACTTATATAATAATTATTATACTTATATAATTATTATTAGGGCGTCGATAACTTAAGGGGGTAACAAAAACAGAAGATAACTTTGCAAAACTCCTTATTGTGTTTGCTTTTGGGAAAGGACAGGGGCGTGCTGGCTATATCAGACCGGCCCGGGAAATTTAGAAAAATCGGCCAACTACACACGAAAAATGGGGGGTGAACAAAACCAAGTTAAAAAATTTCAAACATTTATTAATAATTAATAACATAAAGTATAAATTAAATTCTTGAAAAACAAACAGGCAACAAACACAACCAGACAATATTTTACACAATGCTAAAACATTGCACTTAAAATAAAAACTAATACAAATTATCATTGCTCAGGAAACTTATAAACAATATACAATCTCGAAAAAAGAAACAAAGCTGACAGGCTGGCATGCATGGTATGTGTAAAATAATTATGATATTTATACATAACTCAACTAAAAAAGTTTTTAATTGACCACGTGCTGCGGCATGCTGCCTACATAGCCCTCCGGCACACCGGCCCACTTAGCCCTCCGGACCACCGGCCCACCGGGATTTCTCCCGGCGGCCCAGCACGCCCCTGGGAAAGGATTATTATAAGGCACCAAAACTAATTGTTTAATGTATATTCTAATACTCATGCCTAAGTTGCCTATCTTGAGGGGGGTTGCTTACAAATCTACCATATTTGTATTTTATTAAGTATAAATTCATATAAAAAAATTATTATATTAATACCAACCTACACAATGTTTTAAATTTTAAAATGTAGGTATTTATATACCTTATATAATAACAATCTGTGGCAAAGGAACAGTCTCGGCCAAACAAAACTTCAGGTACAGGATGTTCCCCTATAATGTCGCCCACCTTTAATTTTTTTTATTTAGAGTGTTCTAAAAAATTTAAAAGTGTGATTATGTAGTAAAATACTTTTTTCTTCGTATAAAGAAAATTGGAAAATTGATCAGTATACAGGGAAAAACAAAAATTTTTTTTTTTCAATGGATCACCCTAGGTTTAGGTATATTCATATGGTTTGTTATATGAATTATGCTCAGAATTTTACAAGGAATCGAAAAATAAATTCATTTATAGGGTGATCCATTGAAAAAAAAATAAACTTTTTGTTTTCCCTGTATACTGATCAATTTTCCATTTTTTTTATATGTGGAAAAAAAGAATTTTTCAGTACCTACATAACCACACTTTTAAATTTTTTGGGACACTTAAAATAAAAAAGTTAAAGGGGGGCGACATTATAGGGGATCACCCTGTACATAAGTATACATACAATGTATAATATAATAATTTACTGTTAAAAGTGACTCATTTTTAAAAGTAATATACTCATATTATTTAATTCATTAAAATAAAATAGTTTATCTTCAATCACTCTATGTCTTAGGCAATAGGTTATTTATGGCCTAGGCCAATCAAAAAAAAATAAAATAAAATAAAGGGGGGCGACATTATAGGGGATCACCCTGTACATAAGTATACATACAATGTATAATATAATAATTTACTGTTAAAAGTGACTCATTTTTAAAAGTAATATACTCATATTATTTAATTCATTAAAATAAAATAGTTTATCTTCAATCACTCTATGTCTTAGGCAATAGGTTATTTATGGCCTAGGCCAATCAAAAAAAAATCTGCCAGATCTACCTAACCTCACTTTCCACTTTTATTAATTGTAGGTACGTTTTATGTTTCGTTAAAAAAATAAAATTGTGCCTTAAAAATAAAATGTATGTCATTTGGCCAAGAGGAGTCTTTTTGTTCTTCGCTCAATTGTAGGCCTCCGCTACGGCCATGAAGCCTACACATGGAGTAGGTACGAACTCCATACATTGTTTATAAATGATTTTCCAAAATAAGGGGGCGATGGTATTCTGTTTGTTGTTTGGTTTGTACCGAAACAGCGGACGTCAGTACAAAATGTAAATCATTGGTGACAAAAGAACACGTACTCCTTGTGTAGGCTTCATGGCTACGGCTTTCAAACTTTGAGCTCAGCACAAAAAAGACTCGCTTCTTGGCCTTATGAGTTATTGGTAATGTCATTAATGTAATGACAAATAACTACTAATAAATTAAATATAAATTTAAATTTAGAATACCAAATTTTGAAAATTTTGTGAATACCTATTTAAATTTTCAAAGGCATTGAATTGAGAAAACTAAGAAATGATTGCATACAAATTTATAATGATTTCTTTCTTATTTTTTGTATCTTCTAAAAATTAGGGTGATATTTTCAGGAAACCCTGTAGGTATACTTTTAATTAAATAGGTAACTTTCCACATTCCAAAACCTTTTCATCATCATAGGTACTTTACTTAAATGATTATTAAAATTAAGTATTATTATTTAGGTATTAAGATAAACTAAAAAAACTATTATGCGTAAGTACCTATCCTTGGACCAATGTATGAACTTGTCTACATTTTTTGACTAAAATTAATGAAATAAATTTTATTTTAATAATATACATAAAACAAAAAAAAAACAACCCGACACATTTTAAGACTAGGAAAAATAACAGGAAGTAATATTGTATTGATATGGGTATTAATGCATTAAAAAAGTTCCAGTAACTACATGTTATCTTTAAAATTCTGTTATGTAAAAATAACATGCTAATTATAATATTATCCTTATCACTTGCGCCGTGTGAAATAAAAATTAAGAGTTTTACTATTAAAATAAACCACAAGTAAATAGTGACTATTATTATATTTAATAGGTAGCTAAATTACGTTTAAATTTATAAGTTTTTCTGGGAATAATTTAAGTTAATTTAAATTACAACAAATTTATCCGAAAAGTAGTTTTTAAATTATTTATATTTTAAACCAAGTTTTACACGCATTTGGGTGACAGGGGATGATTTTAGGTATAAAAAAAAATTACCAAGTAGGTAGGTAGTTAATAGTTCCAAGTCACTCTAATTAATTTTCCTATACCCAATTTTTTCGTTTAACTCCATTTCGCTTCATATGAACTATATAGGTTTGTTTTTAAATAGTTTTATATGAAAATCTATTTTTAACCCATATCATAAACTTAAAAATAAATGCTTAGCAAAATATTGTTAGTTATTTTTAAAATGTTTACAATATATACATATATTTACAAATTATTATTTGCAATGCCTACTTAAATATAATTATTAGGTACCTATTTAGGCAGGTTTATAAACAATATTATGCAATTTAAAAATGTTTAAGTAGTATATACTACTATATGGTACTAATATGTTTATTTACTATACACTTTCAGTCAATTAGCCATAATTTATAATGGCTTAATATAGTAAACTATTGCTTCCTCCTAGGTATACAATATTTATTTTTAAAATTATAATATGTACCATATTTTTTTCAGTATTATTAATAAAAAGGCGTAAGAGACATCCAAATAAAAATGAGTACAGAAACAAGTATAGCACCTGGGCCTTTGAGCCATTACAGAAAACAGGCCAAATTTTGCTGGAAAAAAATGAAACATTTTATTGAAGATCCAGAACTATTACAAATAAAGGTTTGTCTACTTTAAATTGCTTACATGTTGTAAAATAAATATTTTAATTAAATTAGTAAATTAAACATTGTATTACAATTAAATGTATACATATGTAATGATTTGAGTACATGAAAAAAACATTAATTTCTATAATTAGTAATTAATATAACTTAATTACAGATGACAGTGTGGCAAACCCTAGAAAAAGATCCCGTTTTCAAAAGACCTGTAGAACTATTAAGCACAGAAGAAATGAAAAGAAGAACTGCCATACAGTTAAATAAATATTGCCAGTACAATTTTTTGGCACCGGAAACTGCCAATTTCCCATACAAAAGAAAGGTAAGTGGTGCCTTTATAAAATATTTACGAAATTAAGAACAATGTTTTACTTTATTTAAAGCATTTTGTACATATTTTCTTTTTATACAACATTCTGTATGCATTATTTCCTTTGTTATGTTTTAAATTATGAGTTTTTAGTTTTCAAGAGGTTTGGGTAATTTTAAACAGTTTGAAGAACGTTTTAAGGAGTGTTTTGCATTTTTTTATTTATAAAAATTTTGATGGTTTTAAAACATTTCTTAAATGACCTACATAGTTTTAAGGTCCTTTTTAGACACTTGTTGGGTATTTTAGAGAGGTCTAATACAGTTTTGTCATTTTATACAGCTTGTGTAATTTTTATAATATATATATATAATATATATTATATATATATATATTTTTATATTATAGGTACCTAGTTTAAGGACATTTTTTAATAGTTTTGGCCTATTCTAAACTATTCTTGTGATTGTAAATATTTTAAAGGATAAACGATATTTTAGAATCTTTTTTGGACGGTTTTAAGAAAATATTTTTTAGCCTTAAGTTAAATTTTAGACCTTACAATTTCACATTTTTTACGTTTTAAACAAAACTCAAGTTTTTACAAATATTAATTAAATATGGAAGAATACTTAAAAGGTATTACCCAAGCAACAATTTAAGTATTTGTTACATATAGGGGACTATTGAAGAAACTTAAAAGTGTTTTGCGACAGTCGCCGATCTCTTTATATTAGGTACTCTTTCATTACTAAGTTACGACTAAAGTGGGGAACAATTATTGAGTTCCAAAAAGGTAACAAATATGTCACTAACTATAAACCCTGCTACTATTTGGAACGTAGCTGCTACGTTACTAGAACGTTTCAATTTCGTTGCTTGAGCGTTATAATTACTTTTATTTATGTTTTTACTTCTATATTAACTGTCTTTGTCAAACTTATATTGGATTATACTATCCCTCCTTTTTTAAATTAAACCACTACGGACTTGGCTTTTCAATGTCGTCGTTTATTAAATTGTACTGGTAGTTTATAGCTTCCAGAATAACAATATAATTTTTAATTGGGCAGGTAAATTTATAAACCCTTTAAATTTTACTGTTGAACTTATGAATTTAGTTTTTGTAAAATAAATGCGCTTCATCAAAATTTAAGTATAAACAAATTATTTATTTAAAAATGTATTGCCAACAAAATTACTGTTTATTAAAAGTAAAAAATGGCCGATAAGAAGCATTTTCATTTGAAGTAGTTTTCGCTACTTTAAAGTTTTTATCCACCTTAATTTACTTTACGGTAGTTTTGGTTAGTACCATAAACGTTCCAAATACTAAAATAATAACTTTTAAGTTATTAACTTCGTAGTTTTTAACTCATGTTCCAGTTTCGAGATTTTAACTTGCAAAGGGACTACAAAGTAAAAATAATTATAATGTAATATTTAGGTAGAAACCGAAAGTAATTGCTACAAATTAAATTTACTTGAAAGTTTTTTTTACTTAAAACACCTTTTTTAAATTTGCAAAGTCTTCTTGGGGGCAACCCAGTTTTACTTAAATGTTTATTACTTCATAGTAACCATTTAAGGAAAGAATGAAGTTTCTGTTACAGTAGTAAGTAGCTGTTTAGTATACTTAACTAATTTAAAGTTATCACCACTTTGGCAATGGTTTTTGGAACCAAAAATGCTATTCCTAAAAAAAATGTTTTTAACTTTTTCTAGTTTTTAGTGAAATTTTTAAATTTGCAGTTTTTGCATAAAAATTGTCAATTTTTGGTCAAACGTGACGACAATGTCAATTCATATGTCCAAATAAACCCCAATAAATAGAAAATATCTTACACCAACAATTTTTTCCCCAAACCTTGGTTCTCTGGGTCATTTTACAACTATAGACAGCTTTGGGACATTTTTAGACAGTTCTAGGATAGATTATTATTTTAGTGGTTTTGGTGTTTTTTTATCATATTAAATGCATAGATAATAAATCATGAAATGCCTTTATTTTAGACCAGGTTTATGATGACAGTAAACGAAGCTTTAGCAGTAACATACCCCGATGTTTCAGTGAAGCACGCCATTGGCATCGGTTTATTCAAAAATACGCTAACCACCTTGGGCACAGAAAGGCATAAGCACATATTGGATGCAGCGTGGAATAATAAAGTACGCATAAATTATACATTGCCATAAATTTTATAGTAACTTCTGTAAAGGTTTTAGCTTGTTTAGCCCTAACAGAAGTATCGCATGGTAGCAATACCAAGCAAATGCGCACAAGTGCGACTTTCGACAAGGAAAGGCAAGAGTTTGTGATAAACACGCCAGATTTTGAGTCGGCGAAATGTTGGGTAGGGAATTTGGGAAAAAGTTGCACAATGGCAATATTGTTTGCACAACTTCATACAAATGGACAATGCCACGGATTACATGCTTTTATAGTTCCAATAAGAGATCCGAAGACTTTAATACCATACCCTGGGATTACTGTAGGAGATATGGGGGAAAAAATTGGCTTGCATGGTATAGATAATGGGTAAGTGCTTTTTTTGTTTTTTTTATATTATATTCTGACTTAATGATGATACTTTCCAACACACCATTAATTATAATGCTATTAACAATAAACACAGTTTTTATTTTTTTGTCATATTCAAGATATTAATTTGCATATTTAAAAATAAACTTTATATTGTGTTTAAATTCGTATAATGATGCAATAAAATAATATTAACTACAGTGTAATCTACATAAAGAAATTTCCTAAAAAATGATTCATACACATTTTTATTTATCGCATTTTTGTTATTAAAGTATCAATGACACTATTACTTTTTTAGATGTGATATAACGATCGCAATTTTTAGATAATAGTTATTTATGTATCAATTGATATAAAATGACTAATGCCGAGGTGCATATTAAATTCTATCCGAAATCACCTTTAATAATACTAATAATTAATATTGATGATTAAATCAAATGTCATTTGAATGTAGGAAGTGTCTACGTATACTATTTGTTACGACGGTTATTATATATTTGCCCGCCGCGGCGATTTTTTAGTCTAATTAATAAAATTAACTTATTATTTTTATTAAACAACATTTTATGAAAGGGTCCAATCTACCTCCGCGACGGTGTTTTTTTGTAAATATTATTTAGTTGCTGCTGAGGAGCAGTAGACACATCTTAAAATGTATAATTGGTTGCATACAATACTCGTATTAAATCGGCAGTAAAGTTCTCTATGAGTTCTACTTTACTGCCGATTGTTGACTACTTTACTGTCTGTTAGTTTTCCATGTTTTGTCTCTTAATACTAGAGACATCTTTAGGGATTAAACTGAATCCTAATCTTTTAAAACTCAAGATTCGGTTGCAGTTAAAGATAATAAAAGGAGAAAAACTCATATTATAAAAATAATTATAACAAAATAAAATCGAATTTTTCAGACCCATCCGGAAATTCACAAAATTATAAAGTCAAAACTGAAATTGTATGTAATATTGTAATATTTTTTTTTAATTTGACCTCAAACTAACCAACAAACTCAATATTTACGGACATTTTTGATCTTTTGAACGGTATTACAAAAACAACTATGAATCATTATAACAATAACATACTTAGGTAGGCACCTCTCAATTAAAATTTTGCAATCAAAAAGCACTTAACTTTAAAATTTAATTTCTAACAAGACTTGGTGTTTCCTATTTACTTATTTTTGACATTGTCAGTGTCAAAAATGTAATAATTGATATTTACAAGTTCATTTTTCCTATATGACAACTCACTTAATTTTATATTTTTAAATAGGTCCTTACCTGATCCAATTTTATTTAGGTATTTATTTAATAACTTATTAATGTTAAATGCAATGTAAATTAATCATTTTTGATAAGCCTTCAATTAAATTGGTATGGGACTTTCTCAATTTTACATTGTGTATAGTACTTACCTATAGTATAGTCTAGACTTATTTATTATGATTGCTAATTTTATTTAATTGAGTATAGTGCGTCAACATCGCGGTTATTGGCATCATGAGTAGTTTTTTATTAATAATAAATTTTTAAATAAATTAAAAGTTTATTATATTTTTAATTTGTGCTTTTCTGCTTAATAAACATTTGCAATTTATGTAATTTATGAGTTTTTTAAGAGCGTTTTGGTTTTCCACAAAATAACCTTTGTCCAGTATAATTTGACTTGTGATTTAACGACTTATTTGTGTTTTAAAGAATTAAATTATTTTTTGTAATGACATTATTATCAGGCCCGTTCCTGCCCAAGTAACATTTTTAGTTTTATTATGGTCTTCAAGAACGCTTTAAAACAAAATTTTGTTTTAAAGCGTTCTTGAAGACCATAATAAAACTAAAAATGTTACTTGGGTGGGGTGTCTGGCGCCTACGTGCAGCATTCGTTGGTGCGCCCCTTTTATATTTAAATATAATACATTAAATATTTTAATATATGTTTTGCGACAAACTGGCAATATGTAATTGAAAATGTAAAAAAACCGCTTTAATTAAGTATAAAAAATATTTATTGAATTACCAAACAAACAAAATCACAAAAAATATTCAGTGATAAAAATACTCGTCAAAAAGCTTAATATTGGTCTTCCACTAAAAAATTCGCCATTTTTTCATGGATCAATATTATCTTGTTTTTTTTTTAAATATCAGCTTCACGAAAAAAATTTTCAAAATGGAGTTATCTGTTTGATTTAAACCTATCCTTTATTTAAATTTTCGACATAAATTTTTGCCATAAAACGATTTTTTTAAGTTATTATATCGCTAGCATCAAAATACTTATCCGATATCAAAAGTATGTAAAAGAAAGTTTTAGAGGGCTCAAATACCTACCCAGCTATACTCAAAAACGTCAAAACACAAAATTGAAAAAAAAAACATTTGAAAATTCATATTTCAAAAACGAGTGTGATTTTCGTGTTTAGTGGGTCAAAATACATGGGAAAATTATAATGGGATATGGTGGGCAGAATTTTTTTTTCAATTTTGTTAGTTTTTGTTAGTGTTATTAGTCGCTGCTTTTTCGCTATAGCAATTAGACTAATAGAATTAGTCATTTTTGACTAATTCCTGTTTTCAAGAGTATACTCTTTAAAGTAGAATTAGTCAAAAATTACTAATTTAATTAGTCTAATTGCCATAGTGAAAGAGCAGCGACTAATAACAGCTTATAAGCTCGTTACTGCAACTATCAAACAAATACTAAAAATATTATGACCATTTTTATCCTTTTATTTTGATACTCATATAAAAAAAAAATAAGACGCCAATATCAAAGCGGCAAAAGGCGCTTTATAGGGGCCGGCGCAAAAAAAGGCGGTAACCTTTATCCTATGTATGTTTAAGTATTATATGCAAAAAAATTTATCGTTACAAAGTACTGATTGACTTTTTGATTTTGCGCCCCCAAAATGTTGCGCCTGCATGCGTGCACGCACTGCACGCTCGCCAGGAACGGGCCTGATTATTATATAAAATGTCAGCAGCCTTATACTATTATTTTTTTTAAGTTTTACTTAAATATTTGTAATTATTTAAATTTAAACAAATATTTACTGTTCATTTGAATTTTCTGTTTTCTTCTACATTTTTAATATTCCCTGATTATTTGCTATAACAATTTGTTATAAACAAATAAGGTAAATCAACGAGTATTTTTTCCGATTTTTTATAAATCGAAGTTTGCAAATAAGATCATTTCCCTACATAAAAATATTATCTTTTTCAATCATTTTTTTTAGAAATTTGTCAAAAAATGGTTTTTTTGATTTTCTAAAAAGTTTGATTGAAATAGACGACACATTTATACAGGGTTTCCCAGAACTCGCGACACAGATATTGTATAGGAAAATGATCCTAACTAATTTTTGTCAAAAATCGAGACACGATGTTAATATTTGTTATTATACGATGTTATTATTTGCGAACGCGATTTTTTTATAAATTACTTTAGAATTTTTTTCACAAACACTTTTTTTAGTTTCATATTGTTCAATAACTACCGAATACCCCGAGAAAACCTCCTGAACAAAACAGCCGACGTTACCCCTGAAGGGGACTACGAAAGCAGTTTTTCCGACCCGGGCAGGATCCTGGGTGCGGCCCTGGAAAATTTGTCCACGGGTCGCGTGGGAATCATGCAGGAATCCTCGAATAATCTCATATGTGCGGTAACGATAGCTTTACGGTACGCGGCGATAAGAAAACAGTTTGCTCCTAATGGAGATGGAAGTTTGAATAAAAATGAATTGCCTTTGATTGAGTACCAATTACATGTAAGTATAGAAAAAAATATAAATGACATTCTTCTTTTGATAAGTTATAAAAACATTAAAATGAAACATATTAGCTTAAACGTTAGGTACATAATATGTAACAAAAATGAAAATTGGGCTTTAAACAATACCTACATGTTGTGTTTAATTTTATTTATCTACTCCTATTGCATAATTTTGTTTTTTTTGTGAATATTGATAAACATTACAAATGCCCTGCCTAAGAACGGGAATAATGAACTTATTATTCACGTTGCTAGGCATCAGTGATTGGCCGATTAAATATTCACTGTGATTTGAACCAATCGGGTTTTAAATTGGAAGAAGGCGACTGTAATAACATTTAAAATTAGTAAAAAGTAAGGTTAACTATTTGATAGATGTCAGATTTTATTTATTTAATTTTGAAAATCATTTAATTATCTACTTATTCAAGTAGGTAAAGTACCTATATAGTTTTACCCTCGAGATTATGCGCATTATTCACTCGGGTGATTTGAGTCTCTTGTCTGGCGACTCAAAAATAAAATTACATTTTTTTTAGCAATGGAGGCTGTTTCCACATTTATCAGCTGCAACAGTATTAAGGATTTTTGTTAATTGTTTTACTGAAGATTATTTATCAGTGGTTGAGCAAACCACTTCCTCAGATAAAATACAAGATTTGGTAAGATTTTTTTTAGTATAAACGTATTTGTAAAATAATGAGTAAATGTAATTTTACTACAAACAAGTGTTTATCCATATTATTACATTTGGCATTTTGATTTTTTTATCCATGGTTTTCCCAAAATGGCACATATGGGGAGGTATTTTTTATACAAAAATTACAACAAATTTTTGCGTCATAAAGTTTTCGAATTGAAGTTTAAAAAATTCGGCAACGCGTTGTGCAACGTTGCACAACGTTTTGTTCTTACTATTCTATTACTATTCTAAATAAAACACGTCTTAGAATGATTGTTATGAAAACATAAAACAAGTCACCGGTTTCTATCCTTGTTACAAAATCTATAGGTCAACACATTAATATATTTTTTTAGTTCCTCATTAATTCTCTTAAATTTTATGATTTTAAATAATTTTAAATAATTGAGGTCATCTATCTGTCAGTTTAACGGTAATTTTGTCTTATTTTCTGAAAATAATGCCATATATGTATGTATTTTTGTTTATAAAGGTCTTTATTTAGAATAAAAATAAACATATGTTTATTTTTATTCTAAATAAAGACCTTTACCTATATAGGTAGGTACAGTTCATTTTTTTCTGGACTCGTGTTTTTTTGTTAGGTTGGTGGCTTATGCCAGTTTGACTGCCATTATTTTTAGTATTTAAAAATGGTACTTCTGCTAAAGGATTTAATTAAATACTTTGACACTGTTAAATTGACAATAATATTTATTATTAATAATTTACTTGTCAATTATAAATACAAAGATAATTATGCCAAAAATAATAGCAACGAATTCGAATATAAAAGCCCTTTTGAGGGCAAAACTTCATTTGATGAAATTATGCCAAATGCCACAATGGAAGAAAAAGTACATCGCCGAAGATTATTATCCGCTAGGAATACTTTCTCTTCTGGGCCGTAAAGCAACCTATATTTAACTACTTTTTTTATATGATTTTACCCATCCAAGCACCACCAAAGCCAAATTAATTGCATTTTTAACTATGAATTTTGACAACTCAACTTGAAACCTGCACAATGTAACCTACAATAATTTATACATAACCACAATTAGATTTATAACTAGCTTAGTTTGTTTTAATCAATGCGACCAACTTGACAACTGTATTTACCAACCAAAACCCTAAATTTGCAACGTTGCCGCAGTCCAGATAAAAGAAATGAACTTTAAGTATATTGTATTATTTTTAGAAAATAAGACTAAGTTAGCGTTAAACTGACAGATAGATAACCTTAAGTATTTGTATGTCAAGGTGGGACTTTTGAATGTGTAGCATAGTATATTCACTATCTTTTTACCATATAGGTACATATTTTTTAATTTAAAATATTTGTGTTCAATCAGAATTTTAATAGCATTTAGGTAGATACTGTTCCTAAAATATCAGGAAAATAATTATAATATTATTAAAATGAACAGGAAAATAAAAATTTAACATATTTTATCTTGGGAACGCTAAAAGCAGTTGAAATCCCGACTGGATACAATTTTTTTGACATTCTCTCACTTCTCAGAGCGACATGGTATCAGAAATCCACTCCCTGGTATCAAGCGCCAAACCTCTTATAACCTGGTCGTGCAGAGACGCGGTCCAAGAATGTCGCGAAGCATGCGGGGGGCACGGATTTTTAAAAGCCTCACGTTTAGGGGACATTCGTAGTATAAACGACCCATGCGTTACATACGAAGGGGACAACAATGTGTTGGTACAACAGAGCAGTAATTGGCTGCTGAGGCAATGGCAGAGTTTAAAGCAGGACAACATTTTGTCCACCCCACTTGGAAGTTGCGATTTTTTGAAGAATCACGAAAGAATCAATAAGAAGTTTGGTTTTACTAGTCCAACACAGCTGTTGTCTGTTGAAGGTAGGTGTTCCTCAAGGCACCATTCATGGGTGAAACTCACCAAGTACTTGTTTCAGCAATATCACAACTATACGAATACCTCATCATCCATTTGATAAAGGAAACGGAGGCAAAACAGCTAGAAGTACTATCAAAAACCAAGTGCAAGTTCACCGCAAGATGCGAAACTCAAGTCTACCACGCCGCAGTTTTATCCAGGGCTTACATCGAATACAACGCTCTAAAATACTTCTGGAAACACATCTCCAAATCGCATCAATCGCTAAGAGAGACACTGAACAATTTAGGTTTTCTCTATGGTTTGAATTGTTTGGAGAAGCATTTACTGTATTTCTATCAAGGAGGATATGCTACGGGGCCGGAGTTGGCCACATTTGTCAGAGAAAATATTTTGAGTTTGTGCGCAAAATTAAAACCCGACGCTTTGGGAGTTGTTGATGCCTTAGCTCCACCAGACTTTGTGGTGGATTCGGTTTTAGGAAAATCCGACGGAAAGGTAATAAAATATTTTTATTTAAACATAAGAATTTAAAACATGTGGAAGATTTTTTTGTTACATTGGCAACTTTTATTTATTTCAGGTTAATAATAATCACATTAGCATCTGTTTTTTGTTTTTAATAGGTACCTTAAATTGACATTCTTAAGGGGTTATATAAGAGGAATATTTTTAAAGTAACTTAAGTGTAATTACACAGTTATAATCTATGTATGTTTTCTTTTATAATGGCCACCATAATTTAGTGGGTAGTTTAATAAACTGTTAACAATTGTTTTCCTTGATTTTTTTCTATCTAACCGTATAAAATTCAATATGGCGGACATAGTAAAAACAAAAGATCGTAGTCAAAATCTAGTTGGCCAAAAAAAATCACAAATTGGATGAAAATGTAGATAAATGTGTATTTTTACATGTGAAACTTACTATTTTCACAATCCCTCAGTAATAACAAAATTATAACGATTTTTGGTTTAACATGATATCAGCTTTTTTAAATTATTAAAGAACCGCTGTTTTTTGTAATTAACCAGATTTTCTCTAATTTAACTGACCTTTAAGCTCTTTAAATAAAAAATATAAATATACATAGTGCACTCTGTATACACATTAGGGTGATTAAAAAAAAAGTTTTTCTTATATTTAACGCGACGCCCCCTTATACCAAAGTTTACCCAAAAAAGGATTTTACCTAAAATTTGAACTAAATCGAAGTTTTAGAGGTCGCTACCAGTGATTTTCAATATTTTGGATTTCCGAACAAAACAAAACAAAAAACAAATTTACTGACTTATTTTATTCTTAAAATGTATTTTTGGACAACTTAATCTTAGTCTGTAATTTAGAGGCTTAACTATGTCATAAATCGCGGGCGCCTTTTTATTATGAACAAGTGTTTTTATTATAAACAAAAAAACACATTTTTCGATTTGATTTTCGTAAACTTCATAAATAGACGAAGATTCTCTGAAAATGTTCAATTCCTTAAGTTATGTAATTTTACACATTTAAAGAATTTTTAGAGTTTTAATCCAAAATATTGAAAGTCAGAGTAAATACACTGCGCGTCTAAATTAACGGATAATAAGTAAAAAAATTCTAACTCTAAAACGCCTTTACTAATCTTTATGATTTTTTTTTTAAATACTTCAACTTATATCTCAGTTTACGTGTTCGAGGGTTTTTCAAAAAAATATTTTTATTTAAAAATAAAAAAACGTTTGAAAAATAACTTTTTTTAAGTAAATAAAAAGTATGCTGTTAAAGACCGTATTTTTATTAGTATACCCTGAAAAAAACTTTAAAGCGCTGTATTTTCGCTATTGTTTATTTGATTTGTACAGCATTTTTAGGGTATACTTATAAAAGTAAGGTATTTCACAGCATATTTTTAATTTACTTAAAAGAAGTAGAAAGTATAAAAGTTTTCTTTGAGCGTTTTTTTATTGTTAAATATAAGGGCTTTAAGGATATTTTCTCGAAATACCCTTGAACACGTAAACAGAGATATAAGTTAAAGTATTTTTATCCAAAATTTTATAAATATTGGTAAAGGTGTTTTAGAGGTAGATTTTTTTTACTTATTATACGTTAATTTTGACGCGCAGTGTATAAGAAAAACATTTTTTAATCACCCCAATATACATAACCCCTTGAGACAGCAACATCAGGAGTAATAGCTATTTTCGCGGAGCTAATCCCGAACTAATTTCGGACATGCGCTTTTTAAAATTAGGGGTTCAAAATGTAAAGTGCGCATGACTAATATTAAAATGCGATGACAAATATTAAAATGCGCATGCGCATGGCAAATATTAAAATGCGCATGCCTTAAATCTTAAAAAAACTTGTACTTCTTAATGTTTAAATTTGAAATGATGATAGGATTTGTATCAAAACATTTTTTTTAGTTGTATGAAAATCTCCAAAATCTTTTCTTCCACAATCCAGGAGCCATGTCCAGACCAGCATGGTGGTCGGAAATAATAATCCCAAATGCTCCAGATTTTAAACAAGTAAAAAGCAAGCTGTAATTTTGTGCCTTTTTGGAAACACAACGGGTAAAGTAAATAATATAACCTATTGTTAAGGTAATTGTTAAATATTTTTAACAAGATTTATTTTCCATTTGCATATTAAAAATTTATTGTATATTGTTAATGTTCATGTTTAAATTTTATCCCCAATTTTTTAAAACAATGTAAAAAGAATTATAATAAAAACAAGTATTATTTTTGTAATTATATTAAAAAAAATGTTTACATTAAATAAATTAAATTACAATTTATACCAAATATTATATTGTCTTTTATTAACAAATAACAGTACTGAACTAAAAAGCTTTTTAACGAACTTTTGTTCAAAGATTTATTAATTTTTTTTGATCAAAATAAACCCTTAAACAAAAATCTTACATAACAAATACGTAATTTAACTGAAAATCTATAAAAATGGCCGCAACTTTTGATATCAATAAATAAAAAATTTGCCTACCACAAGTTTACATAGTTTATATACATATGTATTAGTGCAACCTTAATTTATTTACTAAAGTGCATATTTTACATAACACTAAATCAAAAAGACTAAAACGAGGAGGAGTTACTTGCTAGGTGGGGGCACACTCTTCTTTAATTTAGTCTTCTTGACTAGAAGTTTCCAGACTTTTCGCCGCCAAATGTCATTTTTAGAAAGAGTTAGGTTATACTGTCATTTTGACAACATCTGACTGCTTAAAATCATAGATAAATATCAAAGGAAGCGACATAAATAAAAATAATATTAATTCAACAAAAATAAATAATCTTTAAAGCTGATCCATTTGTCTTGTGTCTATCTTCATTTGTTGATAGAACATGTGGCGCACTTTTTTATCGGCTGGATATTCTTTTTCTTTTTCCGCGTTCGGGACATAATGGGTTTCGAAAAAGTGCGAAAAATGACGTCCCACCTCGTCGTTCAGATACAGAAAACCCGTGTTTTCCGTCGGCCTTAAATTTTCTGAAAAAAAGATAGTCAATATCACAATCGTGGTCACTATATTAAAATTTAATATAGTGCAAAGTGGCAAATAAGCATTTTTATGTTATGTAATTAATGTTATATATTAAAATGGGTTGTTCCTTAGGGTCCATAAAGAAGCACCTAAAACTTTTTTTTCTAAATTCCAAAGTCTAAAAATAATTTATAATAACCTTTATCCTACCAAAAAGTACGCCACTGATCGACTAGGAACTTTAGGTTAATCTGGTGGATTTATTATGTTATGGTTGGTAACAGTGTTTCCAAAATCTCTCAAAAAAGTTGACAAACATTGTTTAAATTTAGCTTAATTACAAAAATGACAAAATTAACAATGCAAATTGTCAATTTGGCGTTTTTATTAATTGTTGGTTATTTAATTTTTGTACTGAAGGTAAATTCAAACAAAATCTGCCAACTTTTATGACAGAATCTAGTGCATTTCTTTTAAATTTTAGGTTATGTTTTCAAATTGTAAATATCTTAACTAAGGGAAGCTTTTGGATTTATTTACACAAATTAAATGTTTAAAGTTTAACCTGTGAACTGGTCCCAATTTCATCTGAGTAAACAGAGAAAAAAACTGATGAAAAAATTAATTTTGTGGTTATGGATTTCAAATTTCAAAGGTACTAAATTTTCTAATCATTGCTTAAGCTAATAGCTGGATCAGTAAATAAATACAGAAGGGTATTAGAGCTTTAAGGGCATAAAACTTTTGTATTTATTGAGTTTTTATTTATTTTTTGCAAGAAAAATTTTTAGTAACAATTTTTTACATCTGGCAACGCATAGCTACTTTGTTGGTTGGTATCTATGTACTCACAAAATACAGGTGTGCAGAGATAAACAAGTGTGTAACCAGTGGCGTATCACAAAAAATATAAAAAACTTCTAATGCATATTTTTTCTTTATCTTTGGAAAAATGTTTTTTTAAATATTTTTCCTTTATTCCTTATGTCAAAAGGTATTCAGTATTTTAATATATAACATTAATTACATAACACCCTGTATATATTTAACACCTTTAACCTGTGAGCAAAATAGCATTTTGCCCATGGACTGAAGTTAGCTTCAAGTTAAAATTGGAAAGAAGTGAGGTTAAAAATGCTTGACAGTTGTCAATGTCAGATAAAATATCAAATTCCTTGAGGTAGTTGAATAAAATATTATGTGCGACTATTGGTCAAAAGATGAGATTCCACTCGCGTTTTACCGCACTTTCTCCCACTAGTCGCACAAGTGTTGAAAAGCGATGCTTTTTCTTCGACAAACACAAAGTAGGATTTAACCTCACTTTTTACAAATCTAACAATCTTTTTACATAGACCCGTTACTTTTTAAACAGAAACGTTATATTTCACACGAGTTTTGCCTTGCAGGATTCATGTTCTTAGCAACGACGCTATCTGAAATGTGACGTAGGAAAATACTATTTTTATAATACCGGATGTCCCAAAATTTGTTCCTTAAAGTGTAAAGTTGAGTTTCTCTTGAAATTCCAAGAAGAATTATTCTTTCCCTTTTTTAAAAATATGCAAAATTACAGTAGTTATTCAATTTATAAAGCCGCCAATGAGAGCGCAGTATTTTTGTTGATTACAAAAGACGCTGATATTTTATTATTGGTGTGATTTATCGGCTCGAGAAAAAAGTGCGTATTAACGACAAATTTGGCCATTTCGACGACAGAAAAATATGTTTAGCAACCAAGGAACGATAAATAAATGAATTTTAATGTAATAGTTATTTGTGTACCTAGGCCAAAAAGTGACTTATTTTCGTCCGAGTCTAAATTTAATGGCCGAGGCGTTAGCCGAGGCCAGAAAGAAGGCGAGGACAAAATAGCACTTTTTGGCAGTGGTGCACACAAAATTTTTTAGTCGACCTTCATTAGAAAACTTAAAAAATCGTATTTATTTTTATGATTTATTGATATAATAATTATTTCACTGTTATTTCACTATGTTTTCACTGTATTTGTTAATTTTCTTTTTGTTACACCACTGCATGAAGATATTATAATGTTTCTCGTAAAGTTCTGCCGATTTTTTAGGCAGCAATTTTAACCTAGCAGCGTTGGCTTCGTTTGTTATATCAGGAGGGGTGTTGAACATTTCTACATTACTCTCGTCACTGCTGGACATGTTTGTTGACAATAATTATTATAAAATTAGAATACTGACACGTTTTTATTACACTTTACAGTTTGTTTATTTGGTTTTATTCAAAATTCTATTTTGACATTGTGGGTAATGTCAATATCATTATGTAAAATAACCGATAGATGGCGCCACCAAAGGCGGACAATAATGAAGGCGGACGAAAAAGTGTTATTTTTCGGCCGCTTTTGAGTACTAAAAATCCCCTTTATAGTTAAGGTCGACTAAAAAATATATTATTGCATGCTAAAATAGAGTGTTGTACGGCAAAAGAAAATATCTCACGACAAAAGAGAATATTGCACGCCAAAATAGAGTATGGCACGTCAAAAAAAATTATATCGCACGTCAAAAGAGAGTATTGCGCGACAAAATAGTACTTCGCACGACCCATTGGGCAACTGACCTATAAAATAGAGCATTCCACGATTTAAAACTTTATTTAACAACCAAAATAGTATATTATGTATCAAGTTTGATAAACGCCATTTCAACCACGAATTTATACTATACTTTTTCTGCGACAAATACTTATTATTATCACCCATAATATAACAAGTGGTATGATTATCATCGATGATATTTTCGAATTGAAACCGAGCTGCAGATTTCACGAGTCCGCAGGACGATTGAAATGTGCTGCTTCGGTTTCAATGAGTTATAATTAATCATAGCACGAGTTATATTTAGTGAGAAAATATAATGAATTTTAGGATTTAACGAATTGTCAGTTTGACATTTGAAATTAAAATGTGCTTTAAAATATAAAAAGACTTTAATAAACCTTATTTATTCAAACTTACCTTATTATATTATCGTTTACACCAACCCATCGATCTTTTAGAGTTTATAATTCATTATTTTAATCATTTAACAAACACAGTATTTAAATGTCAACAAATGTCAAATCAAGAAAAGTGTCAAAATCCTTAGCAACGTGTAAACAACGTGATAAAAAATTTTGTCGCTGTGATAAAATGCGTAACTATGGAATACTGGCATTTTATTGGTTCTAATTATAATGAATTGTATTGTCTATAAATTATTTAAATTAAATATTTGTACAGAGTGACATCTATAAAACAATAGAGTAACCAACTTGAAAATCTGTATTACCGGCGCGCCGGTAAAAATGTCAAATTTTTCTCTGTAAATTGAAATGTATTTCCTGAAAATAAACCGTTTAATCCGAAATAAAAGCTGTTTTTCACAGTAAAAGTAAATGTTTTATGGGCACTCCACGGTGGAGTCTCCACCCGAAATTAAGTTAAATCTAGTTTGCCGGCGAAATTAAAAGGTCAGTACAATGTTCATATAAACTTTTCAAATATTGGCGTTGAGAAACTTTTTAATACTTTTGCATTTTTGTATTGAGATAATAAAATAAATTTTACATTTAGTATTATTTTACAAGAAAGGCACTTTATTTTAACAATTGAATGACATTTGAAAACTGTCAACTAACTTAAAACTAACTTCAGCCCATGACTAAAAACCTGTTGCTAACTTCAGCCAGTGACTAAAACGCCATAAAGCCACAACTTGTTAATGTGTATTTAAAAGATCACTTAGACTCATGGAAAACATGTACGCCCATTGTTTTAAAGGAGAGAGTAGAACAAAAATTTAAGATGAAAATTAAGTAATATCAGCAGCAACCAGTAATACATGTAGGATTTTTTTTGCATTTTTTGTTATCTATTTTGTCGTTTGTTTTTGTTTTTATATTTAAGTATCTCTGCTTTATTTCTGAATCGGAATCAGAGCTATCATATTAGGTCTTTTATTATCGGTGTTTAAAAATGCTGTTTTGTCGTGAAGCGATTATTAAAAAAAAATAAACGATAACAAATTACCGTGCTACGGTGCGTTGTGCAGAAACACTGCGCTTTCATTGGCGGCCTTAAAAGTTAAATAACTCCTACAATTTTTCGAATTCTTAAAAATGGAAAATAAAAATTTGTCTTAATTTTGGTTGTTTGTTTAGTCAAGGGAAAATAACAAAAATTTTACCAATACTCAACATTTAGTATTGCGTCAATAAAATTAACTCAGGAATATGCTGGAAAGAAAAATGTCTTACCTTGTGCAACATATCGACGAGACCCATCCTCCACCAAAACATTATAAAAAGGCTGTTTGTCCTTCAAATTCAATTTGTCCACATTATTTTGTATCTGCCATTCGCGATCAGCCAAACACACCAAATCCCAGTCGTAGATAACGCATTTGTAGTTTAACGCCAGGTGCGTCATAACCATCCCGACGGCGAATTTGAGGTTTTCAGTGCGGCGAGCCGCTTTTATTTGGGGGAAAATTTCGGCCCCATTCATGGAGTGGTGAGCTTCGTAGTCTCTGAGCATGTGCACGACTCTTTGGGCTTGCTCTGGCACGTGGAATTCTTGCGATAGGAGAAAGTGTTCTAGAGGTTTTGTATCCATGTTGTGAAGCATGTAAAGACGGGCCAAAGATACCAGAGCTGACAGGTCTTGAGGGTTGACCACTTTTAGTAGTTCCAAGCTGGAGCGCACGCGCGTTATGCGCCCGTTTGGATGTGTGTGTTGTCTGGACGACACTTCGAGATTGTTGGCCATTCTTTCCACAACTTGAACTGCCGTTGCCACTGGAAACATTTGGTTTGTTTCCGATAGACGGCTATGAGGGCACGCGCCTCTTCTGACAACTTTTCTACCGTTAAAAACATCGATGTAGTACCAATCGGACCCTTTCTCCAAACTCTCAGTAAACCTCAACAGAAAATGCGCTGGAAAACTAATAGGTTCGCACCTCAACCCTAAACGCCTAGCTACAGCCTCGAACACAATGGACAAAGTAATAGGTAAACCCTGCCTTTTATCCAGCACCTCGTTGATAAACGAATTCTGAGGCATGTAGTACGCCTGGTTGTTCCCGCTGAACCCCATCTTGACGAAGATCTCCTCGCGAAGCGTGGCGATCAGCTGCCGCGATTCGAAAACGTTAAACTGATTCTTCGACAGATTCTCCACCCTCCACAGATCCAGCACGGGCTTCGGCACTTTGAACAGCGAGTGGTTCGGGTTCGCTTCGCGCAAACGCTGCCTCACTTTGTCGGCTATTTCGTCGAGCTTGAGGGATATGTCGTCGAAGTCGACGTCCACGTTCGGCTGGCACCACTGCGCGACGATCACCGCGCCGATTTCCAGCACTTGGCGGCGCGGCGGGAGGGATATAAAGTCTTTCCAGACTTTGGCCAGGCGCAGTTGCCGGATGTAGCGCAGCACTTTGCTCCCGTAGTACTGCAGCGTCTTGTTGCCTGTAGTACTGAAATTAAAGTCAGTTTGTCAGAAGGAAGGAGTCAAATTATTAAAAAAAAATATTCTTAAGCAAGTTAAATCAAACTCCAATATTTTTCATAACCAAATTCCATATAAAAATTTTAATATAAGGCTGTCGTCATAAGGTATTTCAATGCCCCTTTTCAGGCTAATATTTGTATATTTTACCATATATATATATATATAGGTATGGAAATTGTTAGTATCAAGTTAATGGGACTTTTAAAAACCAATATAAAACTTACATGAACATTGAAATAAAATTAAACTAATAGTAACATGGTACTATTACTATAAGTTTAATTTCAACGTTTTTTTCATGGATAACTTGACAGAATACATTTTTGTAGTTATTATTGTGCATTTTTCTACTTAAAATTTTTCAATAAAATTAATTCGTTTTGAGGGGTGGTGAATCCAGTGCAGTGCTTAGATTTTGTTTAAAAAAATCGCTAATATGAATTCTTTACCAGTAATTTTCAAAAATGATTTCGCCATCTAGCCCTTAATCTACATTTGTTTGCGACTCACCCCTGTAAAATCTTTATTTATTGTGCGGTTTAAACCGGATTTGTTTTCTTGTCATCTTGATAAACTGTATTTTTGGAGCAAAAAACGCCATATTTTTTACAAAATACAAGGCCTACTGTCAGTTTTTAATAGTAAATGTTTAAAAATTCATATTAGCGATTTTTTTAAATAAAATAACAACAAAAAAGCACGGCAATGGATTCACCGCCCCTCAAAACGACCCTATACTAAATTTTATTAAAAAAATTTAGAAAAATGCACAATAATAACTACAAAAATATATTCTGTCAAGTTATTCATGAAAAAAACATTGAAATAAAATTAAAAATAGTAACATGGTACTATTACTATAAGTTTAATTTCAACGTTTTTTTCATGGATAACTTGACAGAATACATTTTTGTACTTATTATTGTGCATTTTTCTACTTAAAATTTTTCAATAAAATTAATTCGTTTTGAGGGGTGGTGAATCCAGTGCAGTGCTTAGATTTTGTTTAAAAAAATAATATGAATTCTTAAAAATTTACATAGTAGGCCTTGTATTTTGTACAAATATGGCTCCAAAAATACAGTTTATCAAGGTCTACACTTTAAAACAAATCCGGTTAAAATCGCACAATAAATAAAGATTTTACAGTGGTTAACCGCAAACAAATGGGTCACACTGTATAACGCGCTTGAATTTATTCATTTTCTTCACCTAGTTGCATTGTTTTTTGGCAGATGGCAATGATAGTGGGATTAGTAGAAATGGGTAACTCCCCGATTGCGATTTATACGTGTTTGGCCAATCAATGGAAGTACCAACTTTAAAAATTTTAAAGTTACATTTAATATAGATTCTGAGGAGGAAGAAGATATTTAAATTTTTAAATATACTTTATGTTCTTTACAAGTAAGTACTTACTTTATTACTTAGTGTTTAGCACTAAATCAGAACGATATATATATATTTTTTTTTTGAATGAATATTATTTGTTTAAACATTATATTTTTATGTAGGTTTACTTTTATAACAAACAATAATATGGGCGTTTCTCTGGAAACTGGGCAACTTGAAGTAAGAAATTGTCTAGGCAAGTTTTTTTGTTATATTTTTGTTGTATTTAATAAATGTTATTCGAGGAATAAATATCGGTCTATTTATTAGTATACGGCAGATGAACCAAAAATATTCCTAATACTTTAGAAAACATTGAGCATTTTCTGAAAAATCAATACAGGGGACTGTTTATAAAATCCGGAGACAAAGTTTAGATAACTTTTTTAGAATTACAAAATAATAATTATAAAAAATAAATAAGTCACAGTAACAAGCAAACAATATTGGTTGAATAATTAAACAATTAGGTTGATTCCAATAGTTACTGTACAGTCTTTAATTAATTTAGTCTGAAGTGACCATTTTGCTTTGGTGACACGTCAGGGGACTGGTTTTTAAGGAATATAAAAACGATTTTGATACATTAAAGTTTATTTTATTGGATTTTGAATGTCGAGCATAGGTAGATTAGGTTATTATCTTTTGAAGTTATCTACGAAATATTTATGATCTGTTATTTTTCTAAACAATATTAGCTTGAGACAATGAGTTGCCCAGTTTACAGAGAAACGCCCATATAATAAATGGTTTAAGTACGTAAAAAATACTAAAAATATATAATCCCAAAACGTATACATTATATTATTTCCATACAAATGGTATAATTATTTGTTTTATGAAATATTTCCAAAATTACTGGCAAATTACCACTGAGAAAAATCAAATGAAAATTACCGGTAAATTTCAATGATGAACCTTTGGTTAAATTAATGAGTGTAGAAAACTTATTATAATATTATTATAATAATAATTATTATCTAAAAATGATTTAAATTAAATATTTGCATAGAGCGACATCTATAAAACATTAGGGGAATCTGTGTTACCGTCAAATGTCAAATTTTTATGTGTTATAAATCGAAATGTATTCCTTGAAAATGGATTAACAACAGTTTTTCACAGTGAAAGTAAAGAAAATGTTTTATGAGCACTTCACGGTGGAGTCCGAGCCCAAATTTAAGTTAAATCTAGTTTACTGCCGGCGAAATTAAAAGGTCAGTACAATGTTCATATTAAGTTTTCAAATATTGCGTTGAGAAACTATTTAATGCTTTTGTATTTTGATAATAAAATAATTTTCACAGAAGGGCACTTTATTTTAACGATTGTATGACATTTGACAATTATCAATTAACTTAAAGCTAACTTCAGCCCGTGACTAAAAACCTGTTGCTAACTTCAGCCCGTGACTAAAGCGCCATAAAGCCACAACTTCTCAGTGTATATTTATAAGGTCACTTAGTGTGATGAAAACATGTACGATAATGGACGTTTTAAAGGTGGGAGTAGAAAATAGTATATTATGTATCAAGTTTGATAAACGCCATTTTATACACGAATTTAATTTATCTATGAAACAATAGGGCAATCTGTGTGTTACCGTCAAATGTAAATTTTTTTTATTTTATAAACACAATTATAAAGGTTATAAATCGAAATGTATTTCTTAAAAATTGACAGTTTTTCACAGTGAAAGTAAAGAAAATGTTTTATGAGCTCTTTACAATGGAGTCCGTGCCCGAATTTAAGTTATAGTTTACTGCCGGCGAAATTAAAAGTACAGTACAATGTTCATATAAACTTTTCAAAAATTGGCGTTGAGAAACTATTTAATACCTTTGTATTTTTGTATTAAGATAATAAAATAATTGTCACATTTAGTATTATTTTACAAGAAAGGCACTTTATTTTAACGATTGTATGACATTTGACAACTGTCAACTAACTTAAAACTAACTTTAGCCCGTGACTAAAAAACCGTTGCTAACTTCAGCCCGTGACTAAAGCGCCATAAAGCCACAACTTGTCAATGTGTATTTAAAAGGTCACTTAGTGTCATGGAAAGTTTCCATTGGAAACATGTACAATAAAGGGCGTTTTAAAGGTGGGAGTAGAAAAAAGAAATTAATAATGGCAAAGAAAACCTGGTTTTCTTTGTTATAGACAACAATCTATAAAAAAATCAAGTAAACTTATTTGTAAGTAGGTATATCTTAATTTTAATTTTTTTATTTAGTTTAAGGATTTTTTTATTTATTTATTAATAAACAGTTTTTAAAATAAAATGTTTATGCTTTACTTATACAGGTCTTTATTACAACACATTTCTTTGTATTTTTTCTTGTAAATTTATGAATGTTTAAGTATACATTTCACGATAATACATATCTTAATTAATGTTATGGATAAATAAAGTATTTTTTATGGTGGATTAAATGTGGTTTGTTTATATTTATTGGGTACGATAATCGGAAATTTATAATAATATTCAAGAATATTCAAAAATATGATTGGAACTTTCTTAGTTGTAACTAAGTGGTAACATTTTTTATATAAATTGTTTTAATATTTGTAATTTAAAATGTTAAAATTTGTTAATTTTAATAAAAAGTTTTTGGTGATAAACTTAACCAACGATTGAAAAACCGGCCCTTAAGTTATTAAATTTTTTTTGACACAATCTGTCAAAAAATACTTCTGTCAACCAGCTAGCTGCAGCTCCCTTGTTTATTTGTTTCCATAACAAACTTTTCAAATAAGAAAAGTAAAGCTACAACTTTACTTTTCTTATGTTAGGCTGTTATTTTAATCATATAATCATGACTAATATTCTAATAGTTTGTAAATACAGTTTGTTTACAAATTGTCAGAATATTAGTAAGATTAAATTTTTACAATACCAATTAATTACTGGAGTCGGTATGCAATATTGGTATAAGAACCTAACCAAATGTGTCAAAGTCCAAATAAAGAAATAAAAAACTTTATAAATATTAATATAAAACAAATAAATTTACTTACTTAAGTGGCACCATTTCAATGCTCATAATAGGAACATGAGTATTAACAATTTCCATTAAATCGAGCACCAAATAGTTATAATTCAAATCCCTTTTTGCCATCAATTCCCCCCATTCCTCCATATCCGAATCGGATAACTCCAACTTTTTATAAAACCTTGGGGGCATGGTATCCAACATCTCCCTGGTTATCTGTTTAAGGCTAAAAATGTACTGGATTTCATGGTAGTAACAAGTTGGGGGAAGTTTTGCAAATATATCCCACAGTGAGGGCCACGTGTTAAAAAACTGGTACTTCCATATTTTATTGCTAGAAACTACGCTGTTTCTTAGGAAATGGCATGTTGAAGAAAGGTTAATAACATCCTGGATCTTCAATTTGGGATTTATTAATATGTTCTCCAAAATTTCTAATGGAAGTTTATCCATAACGAAAACAATCGGCCTTTTAAAAGTACTTTTATCACTTTAACATTTTCACAACTTTATATTACATCAAGCAGCTGTTGTTTGATAACAAAGTGCAAATTAGGTTATGTTCTATTTTGACATTTATTTTGACATTAATCTTTCAATTCTTATGAAACAACAAAATCAAATCAATTTTCAGCAATCATTAGGATTTATTTGATCTATGGATTTGACTTTGGTAAAAACAAATTATTACGAATTTATTATTTTTATATAAAGGTCTATTTATATCGAGCATATTTTTTTGGTATGAAGATGGTATTAAGGACCATAGAAAAACCTATGACATAAGGACATACCCAGCGTTGGTAACACTGCTTACGGTGGCGCCATCTGTTATTGAGAGGAAAAATGAAGTTAGCTGACTTTTTACCCGTAGAACAGTTATCGTGTTAAATTTACGTATTTCGTGCGTGTGACAGAGCTTTGCCCATCGCACAACTTCATTTTCTACTTGGAAGTCGGTACGTGAGAACCTGTGCAGTGTTTTTTCTGGGTTTTAATGAAAAATTTAATGTTTCAGCAAGACATAACCAAGTAAAACTGGAGAATCTTCGAGTATCTAAGTTTTTCTAGGACGGATTTTCTGTTTTTACAGTACAGTAAGTAGATATTTTTTTAGTTAAGTATTTCCTTGGGTCAACATGCTGTAGCAGTGACACGTCAACTGGTTATTGCCTTCTACGCAAATACTTTTCTGTATTTTATATCAGCCACGTTCTTAAAGACTTTTTAAAGCAGATAAAACACCAATTAAGGTTTTATTATCGGTTTTTATGTACGGTTGCTACCTTCAGCGATATTTTATTCCATATGTTGACTTTGCTATTAATGCCTCTTATCTATTTTCTCTGCCACATGTGCAGTACATCTCTTCAGTAGTTTTTAAGTTTTAATTACCTGTTTATTGTCAAATTACTATGGAACTAGTTTAGTTAATGTACCCACTTTATTTTTAATTTGCGTGTTTATTTGGATATTTTTTACCGCATAAAAAGTTTGTAAATAAGAAGTCCTACAAAACCAAATTTGGTTCAATAAACTTTAAGGTTTATTGGGTAAATAGATTTACAGTTTCTCCGATAAACGAGTTTAATTTACAACAATTTACTATTAGTCTTCTATTATAAGCGCATTTGTTGGAACAAACCTATAAATGTCAAACTGACAGTTTGACCTTTATTTGTTCATAACCCCTTAGCTTTTGACATTTAAAAATTATAAAATATTATCAAGGTGGCTTGGCAACAGGGCACATTCCAACCAATAGAAAAACTAGAATTTTGATATTTGTGACGTCACAGCAAAAATCGTTTCCTCTAAATGTCTCGGGAAAAGTAAAATTTAATGCTATTGGAATTCTGATTCCACAGAAATGTTTCAAATTATACAATCCACACATTATATAAATAAAATAGTATATTGTGCGACTAGTGGAAGAAATACCCTATTTTAAATAAGTTATTTCTCGAGCGTGGAGTGAAATCTTTTTGACCAATAGTTGCACACAATGTTTTATTCAACTACCGCAATGAATTTAAAGCCAATTTTATTTGATATTATATTTAACATTTGACAACAACCTAACAGTTTTAACTTTATTTTTTTCCAATTTTAACTTTAGCTGTGGGCGAAATAAACAGACAGGGAATTCATTATTTCACCCACTCTAAGCAGGGCCAAAAAATTACATATTTCTTGCGGGTTTTAAACAAAAAATATAAACTAAATGTTTATAAAAATAAAGTGCTTAATTAACTACATAGTGATTTTGCAGAACTTTGGAGTATACTATAGAATAATAATTATTAGAGGTCAACTGATAAGAATGAATTGATTAATTAAAGCTGCCTAATGCATTTATAATTATTTGACATTTAAAAAGTTTCTTGAATTGAATTAAATCCATACGCACACCAAATACCTTAAAGGTTTTACCTATTTTTAATTTTGTTTTGAATCAAAAGTGTTGACTTTCTAACTAGATTACCGATAATCTTTATAATAAACCCGCACAATGTAATCAATTAAACAATTTAAAAATATTTAATTATTAATTAACGTTTATTCACTGTTTAACTAGTGTGTTAGATAATAAATATTAGACAACGTTGGGATTTTATCAAAAGATATACTTAATTGCGGATGTATTTTAGGGAACATCCTGTATAAAAGTATTAAGGCTATTTTGTTTTTGTGATTAGTACATGTAAAATTAATATTTACGTGGGAGATCGAAACAGTTTAATTTTTTTAATATAAATTCTTACATTGAACAACAAACTTTACATTTTTAATATGATTTTTCAATGTGTTTTTTGTGAGTTCAAAAGAACTTTTTGCTAAAAATTAAATTAAAGTAATAAATACATAAATAAATATAATAAGTTGTTTACTATTTTAATCATTCTTCGCCGATTTATAATGATTTTTAACAGTTTTTAGGAATGGTTTAAAAGCATTTTTTAACTTATTTTATCTACTCCTACATTGACAAGTTATATTTTTATGGCGTTTTAGTCACTGGCTGAAGTTAGCAATAGTGGCTTTTGGGCATTTTATTCCCGAGCTGAAGTTAGCTTTATTATAAATTGGGGAAAAGTGAGGTTAAATTCCTTAACATTTGACAGATGTCAAATGTTTAACAAATAAAATTGGCTTTAAATTCTTCTTTGTGTTCGTCGTAGATAAATTATAGTATGCAACTCGTTTTATAAACTTCTCTAGACACTCGCGCCTAAAATAGCATTTTACTCCTGCATTGGTGAGCTGTGACTTTTTGGCGTTTTAGTCACGTGCTGAAGTTAGCAGCAGTGTCTTTTGGGCTTTTTAGTCACGGGCTGAAGTTATCTTTATTATAAATTGGGAAAAAGACAAGGTAAATCGGGTTGACAGTTGACAGATGTCATATTTTAATAAATGTACATTTATTAAAATATGACATCTGTCAGTGACTAAAAAGCCTAAAAGACATGTAATTTTTTTACAAACAAAATTGGCTTTAAATTCTGTTTTGTGTTCTTCGCAGATAAATATAGTCTGCAACTCGTTTATAAACTTTTTGTTTTTATTAAACAGTCGCTCGCAAGGTTCGTTGTTAATTAAACTCGTAACTAAAACTTGTTACATAATATACTATTTTATGGACTGTCTTTTGGATTTAAAACATTTTTAAACCATAAAATGCTTTTAATAAATACAGGGTGTTTCTACTAAAAATTTATCTTTGTTGGTTGATATTTTCGTTCACAAAAATTTTAGATATTAAACTGATATTAAACATAATATTTTTAAAATACGATCATAAATAATGAAGGTAAAAGGTTTATGTAAAAACAAAATAATTTAAAAACGAAAGCTTAAATAAATAATATTTATCCGAAATCGGCAGTAAAGTAGTCAACAACCGGTAAAAGAAATCGGCAGTAAACTTTACCTAGATACATCTTAAAATATATAATGGGTTGCACACAATACTCTCTATTAAATCGGCAGTAAAGTTCTACTTTACTGAGTAAAGTAGAACTTTACTGCCGATTTAATAGAGAGTATTGTGTGCAACCCATTATATATTTTAAGATGTATCTAGGTACTGCTACTCAGCAGCAACCAAATAATATTTAAAAAATGCACCGTAGCGGAGGTCGATTGGACCCGTTCATAAAATGTTGTTTAATAAAAATAATAAGTTAATTTTATTAATTAGATTAAAAAATCGCCGCGGCGGGCAAATTTACCATAAACTTCGAAGAAACAGTATACGTAGACACTTCCTACATTCAAATGACATTTGATTTGATCATCAATATTAATTATTATTATTAGTATTATTAAATGTGATTTCGGATAAAATTTAATATGCACCTCGGCATTAAAGTCATTTTTTATCACTCACGTGGTTATTTGCCCAGGCTTTCGCCTATGCAAATAATTTCCACATTCGTGATAAAAAATACGACTTTACTGCCTTGATACATAAATAACTATTATTTGCAGTAAATAAGAAATACAACCTTTATAATAATTATGTTGTCCACTTAGTGGAAAAACCCTGTATAATAATTGAAAAACCCTGTATAATAATTATAATTATGATTATAATATTATATATAACAGTCACTATAGTTAGGGGTTTAAGCATTAGCAAATAATTAAGAAATTTTATATTTACAATCATTGATAAATGTTTCATTTAATTAGTCTTGTATACTGTTATTTATTTTAATTGAATCCTAATGCTCATACTTAAAAACTCATTAAAGCGCAATTTTCGCACGTGCCTGAATATTTTCAGGGGCTTTAAATTCATTTAATTTTTCCCCAGTGTTGCTGTAACGACTTGGCGCGACACAGGACAATCCCAAAATGCAGCAACCAGTGATGGAAGAGGGAGCAACTTTTGACACTCCGCAAACAACAACAACAACGGCGGTGACGGCGACGGCTGGTGGGGCAGCGTCGGCGCCTACCCCCTCGTACGACGACCTGTTTCCGGCTTTGCCGGAATCGTCGCAACCGAAACAGAGCAACAACACCGTAGGACAATGGGGCAGCAGCAACAACAACAAGATGAGAGTAGGATCCTCGGTTATTACACAAGTATTCAGGTAGGTAAATAAAAATAAATTCCATTTTTAAATCAAAAAAATCATTATTCGTATGAACCGAATAAAACATGTTGTTTCCTATAAAATGTTTTACTTATAACTTAAGTTAAAAAGCAAAAAACGTGGTTTGTTTAACTAGGGCACTGCTTAAAAATAAAACAGAAAAATACCATTAGGCAATTCAACATCCGTTATAATTAATCAAGCAAAGTCATCATAACGTTTATTTTATTATTATATGGTTAATTATCCACCAGATACATACACTTGTACAACTGGTATGAATAAATTCTATTTAATAAGCTAAGTGGATAATGAATCCAACAACTGTTGTGCTAATATTTTAATGCAATTGATCTTTGTAACAAATTATTATTTCCTCATATAAATTTATAATTAAAGGGCATTTAGAGTACTAATTATAAATTTCCCGAGTGAATATTAATACACACATATAATGCTTTTTAGTATCTGGAACAATTTTACACTTTAACAAATATTTAATTTTTTAAAGGGGCATTTAATTAATAGTTTAAGTGTTTAAATTAACAAAAACATTTTGAATGTGCAGCCGCTTTAAAAAAATATGAGTATTATGATTGTATTATTATTTTTACAATAAATTTTCGTCAGTTATTTTTCAAATCATAAAAATCTTGTTCAATAAAATTTTATACAATAGGTTATAAATTATATAATTTTAACACCCAAAAGTTTCTTTCCAGAACCTATTTTCGTATGTACCTTATTTAAGAATTTTCTCACCTAAAATAAGAAATAACTTTACCTATTTAGGTAACTATTTACATACATATTATTTTAAGTGTCTTAAAAGGTTTAAAACAAATTGTCGAGTTTTTTGTTGAATTTTTATTAGTCAACCCTGTGTTTCTGCTTAAAACAAACTCTTACTGTAAGAGTCTTACAAACCTGATTATTAAAGATATGGAGAACGTTCCACGTTACTGGGTAGTACTGAAACACTGATGCTGTATTTGCAAATGTAGCATATATGTATGTTTAGGTACTGTCCAGTAACCTCGGTGGACATGCGCATATTGTCAGGAAAAAGTTCACCCGCACTATTAATAAAACTATTAAAAAGCCTAATACATGCAATACACTTGCGCAAAAGAAGTTTGTCAGATCCTCTACAGCCAAAATATACATTCAATGCTACTATGTACATATTTTGGCCTTCTAAACTCAAAAACCACGATAATTTATTGTGGCACTTTTTTTAGATTTGAATTTTTTTTTGAATTCAGCTTTACAATTTGAGTCATATCTCGAGTTTAAAACTTCCAATCTGGTTGCAAAAGGTGTCAAATTAAACATAATCGAATCGCCTACAATTAGAATATTTAACTATAAGTCACCAGGAACATTCCCTGGAAAATATTCTTGGCAGTAAAAGTCACGGGCTTATACACCGTGGAAAAAGTCTATTTTTTTTATCAATTTTTCTTTGTAAATTATCATTTTAGGAATATTCATAAACAAATTTTTCGAAAAAAAAAATGGACTAGGACTGTTCCTAATCTCACCGATTCAGTTAGGCTAATTAGACTAAATAAAAAATGGAACAATTGAATATTAGTTGAATATTGTAAGAATATAGGTACCAAAAAACATATACCTACCAAAATAAATAAGATAAGCATCAAAATACACTGATCATCAAAATTAACGCATAATAAGTAAAAAAATTCCAATTCTAAAACGCCTTTACCAATCTTTATGAAATTATATCTCAGTTTACGTGTTTGAGGGTTTTCAAGAAAATATTTTTAAAGCCCTTTTATTTAATAATAAAAAAACGTTCTAAAAATAACTTTTAGGGATTTTTTTAAGTAAATAAAAAATATGCTGTTAAAGACCGTATTTTTGTTAGTATACCCTGAAAATTTTGTACAAATCAAACGAACAGTAACAAAGATACAGCGCTTCAAAGTCGGTAAAAATGACCCCTTTTTGATTATTTTGCTGAAAAGTGGTCATTTTTGACGACTGAAGCGCTATTTTTTCGTTACTGTTCGTTTGATTTGTACATTTTTAGGGTATATATATAGTATACTAACAAATATACGGTATTTTATTTACTTAAATAAATTTCCATATAAAAGTTTTTTTCGGGCTTTAAGGATATTTTCTCGAAAAACCTTTAAACACGTAAAACTGAGATATAAGTATTTTTATCCAAAATTTTATAAAGATTGGTAAAGGCGTTTTAGAGTTGGATTTTTTTACTTGTTATGCGTTAATTTTGACGCGCAGTGTATGACCATTATCAAAAACCATTTACAAAAACCTTGACACCTTCGAGTTTAGCAGGTCAAAATATATTAGAAACCACCGAACATACATTTCTTTTTATTAATTTATAAATCCGTGTTATTATATCTATTTTTTTCATTTAAAAATCATTAAATCAATTTTTCAAAGGGTCCCGCTAGAAGAACGCAAACTGGACGGTAGCCATAAATTCGGCGAGGGCGAGAGCATCCAGACGTGCGGAAACATAATGAAAGAGACCGGCGCGCACATCGAAATATCGCACGGCAAAGATCAATCTCTGACTTTCCTGATCACCGGCAAGCAAAACGAAGTGCTCGAGGCGAAGAGGAAAATCCTGCAGCACTTCCAAACGCAAGCCAGCCGGCAGATTCAGATCCCGAAAGAGCACCACCGATGGATTTTGGGGAAGAAGGGAGACAGGCTGAAGGAGCTGGAGAAGCAGACCTCCACGAAGATATCGGTGCCCTCCATAAACGATAATTCCGACACCATCACCATTCAAGGTTAGAGATGCGACTTGAAAAAAAACGGTCCGTTTTTTTTCAGGTTTTTTTTCATTGTTTTTTTCAAATGGTTTTTTTTCACATTTTAGGTTTTTTTTCAAGATTAGTCCCATTTGCCTAATTTTTGAGGTTTCATGGACTAAAATTAGCCACTAAATGACAATTAGTAAATGTAAATACAGTCTCGCGCTATGCACGCGCCCACCACCGAATTGACCAATAAGGGCCGCGCTTGTTTTGATTTGGTTCTAAAAAAAGTAACTACATATAATATTTTTGATTCAGCGCTTGATTTTTCGAAAAGCTACCAAAAGCACTGTTTTCATGATTTTTCAAATTCATGTAGAGTATGGAATTTTTTTTTTCAAAAAAACAATAGCAAATTCATGTAGAACATTTATTCATTGGTGGTAAAGTCAGAACATTCCGTGGACCAGAAAGCCAAAAAAATCGATTTTTTTTATTACGGTATTTGTTAGGATTGAGCGTTGCACATTTTTCATCTAAAAATCTCAAAACTAGAAACTTCAAGCTTCAAATTGCTTTTTTTACGGCTCCAATACGACCATTTTTAACAAAGATAGATAGATCCGAAGAATTGCAAAACAATTTTTTTATCCTTTAATTTCTTGTATTGGTGTAGAAGTTTTACATTGCTACTGGTTACTAATGTGGAAACTACCAAATAAGAAATCAGTTTTTTTAGTCTCGGTCAAAATTTTCAATAATGAAAAATTTAATATATTCTACATTTCACTTTATTATTAATAGGTAAGTATATAAACTGATCGAAAAAAGTTAAGGATATTGAGAATTCTCTGAGAAAAAAATAGTTTTCAAAAAAATTTGTATAACGTACATTTACTGTCATCTCTTTTAGAAATAAAACACATTTGTTTAACTGAAAAAATATTTTAATTAAAATTTACAGGCAACTTTTCTCTTACAATGTATCAAAACAGATAATTATCAAAAAGAAATAAATTATTAATAGCGTGTAATTTCACCTCTGCTGGCTATTACTGCTCTAACTCGGCGAGGCATGCTTAAAATTAAACGATCCAAGTCATTTTGATCCAAGGTATCCCATAAATATGGAAGAACTTGCCTCACGTCCTGAACAGGAGGTTGATGGGCAATTGGTGCCCTTCCGAGCATGTCCCAACCATGCTCGATGCAGTTTAAATCTGGAGAGAGCGGGGATAATGGCAAATGATTAATTTCATGGAATGCTGGCCGTTCTTGTACTACCCTGGCTCTGTGCAGGCGAGCGTTATCATTCAGAAATCTGAAATTGGGCTCCAAATTCCAACGATAATCATCCACAATGTTATCAATGATGTCGTGAGCATAAATTTCACCTGTCATGGTACCTTCACAAACATACAACTCCGTTCGACCTCCGTAGAAAATTCCACCCCAGACTATTACACCTCCACCTCCAAATGGATGCACTTCTTGAACATACCGGTCATTAACTCTTGAATTTCTTGGTCCCCAGACACAAACTGTAATTCTGTCAGCACGAAGACCAAAGCGGCTTTCATCGCTGAACATCACAGTACGCCATTCATCATTCCAGTTGGCTCTTTCATTACACCAAAGCAAACGTTGAGCTCTATGAACTGCGATCAATGGAGGGCGTCTTATAGGCCTTTAGCAATGTAAACCTGCTTCATTAAATCGATTTAAAACCGCCCTAGGGGTAATACGAACTCTATTTGCAGCGATTATCGGATTGGAGCCCAATTTCAGATTTCTGGATGATAACGCTCTCCCGCACAGAGCCAGGGTAGTACAAAAACGGCTAGCATTCCATGAAATTAATCATTTGCCATTACCAACGCTCTCTCCAGATTTAAACTGCAACGAGCATGGTTGGGACATGCTCGGAAGGGCACTAATTGCCCATCAACCTCCTGTTCAGGACGTAAGTTCACTGAGGCAAGTTCTTCCATATTTATGGGATACCTTGGATCAAAATGATTTGGATAGTTTAATTTTAAGCATGCCTCGCCGAGTTGAAGCAGTAATAGCCAACAGAGGTGGAATTACACGCTATTAATCATTTTTTTCTTTTTGATAATTATAGGTTTTGTTACATTGTAAGAGAAAAGTTGCCTGTAAATTCTAATTAAAATATTTTTTCAGAGAAAGAGATGAGAGTAAATGTACGTTATAGAAATTTTTTTGAAAACTATTTTTTTCTCAGAGAATTCACAATATCCTTAACTTTTTTCGATCAGTTTATTTTACCCAAAATTTCATTTTGAAAAAAAACAAAAAAACCGTTTTTTTTCTAGGTTTTTTTTCATGTTTTTTTCACATCTGAAACAAAACCGTTTTTTTACATCTCTATTCAAGGTACCAAGGAGAACATCGAGAAGGCGGAGCACGAGATCAAGGTGACGTCCGATCAGCAATCGAAGAAGGCCTCGGAGAGGGTCAACGTGCCGAAAATCTACCACCCGTTCATCGTGGGACCGTTCAGCGAGTACGTCAACAAGCTTATCGCGGAAACCGGCGCCAAAATCAACATCCCGCCGCCGTCCGTGATGAAGGACGAGATCTTCATCGCCGGCGAGAAGGAGGGCGTCATGGCCGCCAAGGCCAAGATCGAGGCGATCCACCGCGAGATGGAGAAAAAGTGCACCACCGTGTCGGTGGAGGTGGCCAAGTCGCAGCACAAGTACGTCATCGGGCCGAAAGGCTCCACCATCGCGGAAATTCTGCAGCAGACGGGCGTGAGCGTCGAGATGCCGTCCAGCGATTCCGCTACCGGGACCATAACCCTTCGCGGACCTCACGATAAACTCGGTTCCGCTTTGACCATCGTCTACGATAAGGCCAACTCCGTGCGCACCAGCGACGTGCAGGCCCCCGCTTGGCTGCACAAATTCATCATCGGCCGCAAAGGACAGAGCATCAAGGAAATCACGGCCAACTTGCCCAAGGTAAGAGATGTGTTTTTTTTTTATTGTTTTTTTCAAATGGTTTTTTTTTATTGTTTTTTTTTCAAGATAAGTTCCATTCGCCTAATTTTTTATGTTTTCAGTCCAGTTCATAGACTTTTTAGCCACTAAATGACATTAGTAAATGTAAATGGCAATTTTTCCATGGGTTCCCTGACTCAAAATTAAAATTCAATTTTAATTTTACCACGGTTTATCAGTTTTTTTTGGAAATATGATTTTTAAAATTTTCATGATTATATCCCAGGTAGCACTGCTGACGTTTATATGACATTGAAATGACGTTGCTAACGTCATTTAAACGTCATATAAATGTCAGCATTGATTTTTTTCTTTGAAAACTAAAAATCGATTTTCTACACTATGAATTTTTTTTTGTTTTTAATCTTTCAGAGAATTCAAGTTTTTTTATCTATTTTAGATCGTGGCCGTCGAAAAATTAATAATTTTTTCGGAATTTTAAATTTTAATAATTTTGATTTTTTCCACTTTCAGACATTTGGTTATACATGTATTAAAAATGACTTTTTTTATTTAATATTTTTATATTTAGGGTTTTCCCACGAAACCTTACCCCACCTTAACAAAAAATCAGATGTGTTATTTAACAAAATAACAACTATACTATTTAAGTTTTACACAAAAAATTATTACTATATGCTTTCATCCAAAATTTTACAGTATCAACTTTAGAAGCCAACTTGGTCGCATTTGCCGCGCCCGTTACGCTATTCATGACGTTATAAAAGGTTTTCTATACAAGTTTACAAGTCTTTATTGACATTTTGTTTGAGTTAAATACCTAATTTTTTATACTATTTTTTTATATTAACGTATCTTAATATATATGAACAAACACTTAATTATCATGAAAAAACGCAGTTTTAGTGTCGCACCCGTTACAATGGAAATACCCTAGACTAAAATTTAGCCACTAAATAAAATTTAGTAAATGTAAATACAAAGGCTGGGAATCAATTACAAATAATTCAAATATTCGAATATTCAAGTACTCGAATATTGAATATTTGAATACTCAAATATTAAAACACTTTAAATCAGTATACGTAAGGGTGGCGCAAAAAAAACTTTTTCAAATGTTAATTTGTCATTTTTATTAAAAAAAATTAAAGAGCTCTCATCAAAAATTAGATGATTTACGCATTTTTTTACACAAAAAATTAAGTTTTTTTAAGTTACAGCTTAAAAATTGGTTTTTAAAAGATCGATCAAAAATTTTAATAAAATTTCGAAAAAAATCGATATAGTCGCTTTGTTTTGGACACTAGCGAAAAGTAATTAGCAATTACTAATTAATAGATATTCGTAGGCAAAATTTGCGGCAGTCCGCTGCTTTCATGTGCAATTTTAATTTAGAATTTCTAGCCATAAAGCCCGAAATCCGAAGGTATAGGCAACTTGCCTATATCTACTAGATATTATATATTATCTAGGGTGTAAGTAGATACTTTAGCGAAAAAAAATTTATTGCCTAGAGATTTAAACTTTTTATAATTATTATTATTATTATTATCTGTTTGATAAGTAAAAAACATACAATAATTAATATTACAAGATGTTTTTATTAAATCTCTTGATTGGCTAAAAAATCTTTAACACTAGTGAAACTTCAAGTTTTACATTTTTATTGGTTTCTTATGTGGAAACTACCAAATAATAAGAAATCCAATTTTTTAGTCTCGGTTAAAATTTTCAATAATAAAAATTGTAATATATTCTAAATTTCACTTTATTACACTACGCGTCAAATAATAAGTAAAAAAAATTTAACTCTAAAACGCCTTTACTAATCTTTATAAAATTTTGTATAAAAATACTTCAACTTATATCTCAGTTTACGTGTTCGAGGGTTTTTCGAGAAAATATTTTTAAAGCCCTTTTATTTAATAATATGATTATTTTGCTAAAAAGTGGTCATTTTTGACGACTTTAAAGCGCTGTATTTTCGTTAATGTTCGTTTGATTTGTACAATATTTTCAGGGTATACTTACAAAAATACGGTAGGTATTTCACAGCATATTTTTTATTTACTTAAAAAAATTCCCTATAAAAGTTTTTTTTTGAGCGTTTTTTTATTATTAAATAAAAGGGCTTTAAGGATATTTTTTCGAAAAACCCTTGAACACGTAAACTGAGATATAAGTTAAAGTATTTTTATCCAAAATTTTATAAAGATTGGTAAAGTCGTTTTAAAGTTAGAAATTTTTTACTTATTATGCGTTAATTTTGACGGGCAGTGTATTAATATACATTTTGCTCAAAATTTCATAGTATTAAAGAAATACTCAATTTTTTAAGATTGATGTTATTTATTGACAAAACTCGTTTTTTTCGTGTTTCTTTTCACATTAAAAAAAGTTTTTTTTACTTCTCTACCCAAGGTCCACGTGGAATTCAAGGAGGACAAGATTAAAATCGAGGGACCGCCCGAGGAGGTCGAAAAAGCTCAGGAACAGATCGAAAAAATGTCGAAGGACTTGCAGAACCGCATGACCTTCAACGAGATGCACGTCGATCCCAAACTGTTCAAGCACATCATCGGTAAGAACGGCGCCAACGTGAATTCTCTGAAGGAAAAGTACAACGTGACGATCAGCATCGAGGAGAGCGGTTTGGTGCGAATTGAGGGCGAGAAGGACACCGTCAACAGCACCACGCGCGAGCTGGAAGAGCACATCCACAAGCTCGAGAACGAGAAGGAGAAAGACGTGATTATAGAGCAGCGCCACTACAGAAACATAATCGGCACTAAAGGCGAGAACATAAAGGACATCCGCGAGAAATTCAACCAGGTGCAGATTTTCTTCCCCGGCCCGAACGACAAGCACGACATAGTGAAGGTGCGCGGCCCGAAAGAGGACGTGGACAAGTGCGGCAGGTACCTGGAGAAGTTGGTGAAGGAGCTGAGCGAGTCCTCGCACCAAGTGGAGGTGCCGATCTACAAGCAGTTCCACAAGTTCATCATCGGAAAGGGCGGCGCGAACATCCGCAAGATCCGCGAGGAGACGCAGACGAAGATCGATTTGCCGGCCGAGGGCGACAAGAACGACAACATCGTGATCACCGGCAAGAAGAACAACGTCGAGGAGGCCAGCAAGATGATCAAGAAGATCCAGGACGAGCTGGAGAACATCGTGACCGAGGAGATCACCATTCCGCCCAAGTACTACAACAGCTTGATCGGGTCGAAGGGCAAGCTGATACACAGCATCATGGAGGAGTGCGGAGGCGTCGCCATCAAGTTCCCCAGCGCCGACAGCAAGAGCGACAAGGTCACCATCCGCGGTCCCAAAGACGACGTCGACCGCGCCAAACAGCAGCTGCTCGATCTTGCCAACGAGAGGCAACTTGCCAGTTTTACCGTTGAGGTAGGAAATGTTTTTATTTTCTTTACATATCTACTAGTCACGGTGTGCCTGAACGAAGTTTAAGTCACATAAAAATGCCGCCAAAAACTGATTGCAGTTTCTTGTTCGGGACCATTTGGTGACTTCTGCTCCTCTTTTCGAAATTTTTTGAAAATTCATGATTTTTTTTTTAATTTTTGTTTATCTTAAAGTCTACCTTTAACTGAGTACACATTTGTACACCGATTTTTATAATATTGGAGTATATTGTTAAGGAGATTTGGAGAATACTTTTTTATACTGGGCACACCATTTAATATATACAGGGTTAGCCAAAAATCGCTTCGTTTAATAAAGCAAAAGCGTAAATTCATGATTTTGGCATAACACACAAAAAAGATTTATCTCCATTTTTTTTTTAGATATTTCTACGTTTATCAGTATACAAAATGGCATTCTTATTAAGACTATAAGAAAAATTGATTTTTGAATAAAATTAAATAAAATAACAATTTTTGGAGATAAATCTTTTTTGTGCATTATGATTTTTACTAAAAAGTGATTTTTGGCTAACCCTGTATAAATCTAATGATGTGCTCAGTATTCTCCAAGTCTCTCCAATATTATAAAAAATCGGTGTACAAATGTGTACTTTGTCAAAGGTAAGATAAACAAAAATTAAAAAAAAAAAGAATTTTCAAAAAATTTCGAAAATAGGAGCAGCTAGGATTTTGGTAAATATCATTTTAAAGTTACCAAAGGGTCCCAAACAAAAAACTGCAATCAATAAAAATCACTGAACAAATGTGTACTCTAATTAATAATTTTTTAACAAATTTATTATTTATTATTTATTTATATAATTAAAAAAAACTATTTAGAATTTTGGTAAATATCGTTTTTAAATCTCCAAAGAGTGCCGATCAAAAAACTTTAACCAGTTTTTCGTTCAAAATTGAAACCTACTAAAAAGCCTAAATTAAACATTTTAAATATTCTCTAAGCGATATTTTATTTCATTTTATTAAAAAACTATTTTTTTTATAAAAGGTTAATAAGAATGCCATTTTGTAACCTGATAAACGTAGAAATATCTAAAAAAAAATGGGGATAAATCTTTTTTGCGTGTTATGCCAAAATCATGAATTTACTCTTTTGCTTTATTAAAAATAAGCGATTTTTGGCTCACCCTGTATATATCAAATGATGTGAACAGTATTAAAAACTATTCTTTAAGTCTCCTTAATAATATACTCTAATTTTATAAAAATCGGTGTACAAATGTGGACTCTGTCAAAGGTAGACTTTGAAATAAACAAAAATTTAAAAAAAAATCTTGAATTTTCAAAAAATTTTGAAAAGAGGAGCAGCTAGGATTTTGGTAAATATCATTTTTAAGTCATGAAAGGGTCCCAAACAAGAAACTGCAATCAGTTTTTGGCGTCATTTTTATGTGACTTAAACTTCGTTCAGTACTGTAGTATGTCGCGTTTTTTAAAGCAACAATTTGTTGTGCTTTTAAAACATTCTTTTATCCTAATTCCTAGTTTTTATTCTTTTATTATTTAACAGCTTTTTGGATTTAAAATATTCTTTTAAAAATACTTGAAACAGCTTTTCAATCGATTTAATTTTTAATGGGGTTGGGACATGCAATTTTTTATTGCATATTTGCCATTTACGCATACGATTTTGTTACTAAAAGTTTTTCAAACAATTTTTGAGAACGCTACAGCGCACACTAGGAGGAATTTCAAAAATCGCGGACAAAACCTTATTTTGTGAAAATCAACATAGCAAACTTTAAATTGCGAGTTATAAAAAAAGAAAGCCCAGAGATTATGATTAAAAAAAAATATTTTTTTGTTATAATAAAATGCCCGCTTAAACTTGCTTAAAAAGTCACATTGTTCATGCCGGTTTTTTAGAGCAAATTGGATATAAGTTTTTCAATCCCATTTTTGTTTTTCGTAATTAATGAAAGGAAATTATGGTATATTTTACCACATTCCTTAAGCCGGTATTACAGTCTGCAATTACTTGCAGCAACTTTCTTGCATGCAAGTTTTATTGCTGACTGTAAAACACTTTGCAATTCTAACCAAACTGGCAGAACCGATAATTTGAAACGGCAATAAACTTGCACGAAACGTCGCCGTGCGCATGCCTTTGTGCAAGAAAGTTGCGGCAAGTAATTGCAGACTGTAATACTGGCTTTATCCTTGTTTATTCATATGAAAGTCTAAAATTACAAATTTTACCAAAAATAAGGTTTTTCTAAATCTTTTACCATTGCATTTCAAAAAAGATAAATCTTTTACAAATCAGAAGAAATTTCTTTGGGTGTGTGTTGATGTGAGGCAAAGTATTTGGTACCTGAACGTTTATCAAATTTTCTTTTTTTAAAAGGGATAAGAATTGAGCTGCCTTTTTTTCCTATTTGGTCAGCAGGATATGGAATATGTCCTTTTGCTAGTTCTAAAACGTCAGTTTCGAGTGACAGTCAGTCTTAACATAAAATCGCATAGTATTTTTTTTGTTTATTAACGCTTTATAAAACTTTAAAATAACACATATTCTTAGTCCAAAAATAAAATAAAACAAAAAAAGTTACATTAATGAGCAGAAGATATTTTACAAGGTAAAAACGTATTTATCAGTAAATCCTCCGACTAGATTAGGTGAAAAACCTGGATTTAACCGGTTTTGCTTTAAAATCAACTTTTAAATGTAATTTTAACATCGATATAGGGTTTTTTGGGCCCATTAACTTTAGTAGTCGATAGAAATACACCTAAAGATCATTCTACAAAATTCTTGTTTTATTAATTAGGAAATTAGTTTTTTTATCACAATATTCCAAATATTCGTTTATTTTAATTTTTAACTTAACTTTACTGTTTTTAAATTAGTTTATCTACTTCCCCATTGATAAGTTCTTACTTTATGGCGTTTTAGACGGGCTGAAGTTAGCAAACGCGGCTTTTGGCCATTTTAGTCACGGGCTGAAGTTAGCTTTATTATAAATTGAGAAAAAGCGAGGTTAAATCCGTTGACGGTTGACAGAGGTCAAATTTTTTAATAATAATAAAATTGGCTTTAAATTCTTCTTTGTGTTCGTCGTAGATAAAGTAGACACTCGCAAGCTTCGCTCGTGCCTAATAAAACTCCTAACTAAAATGGCGTTTATATTATAAACTTTATAAAACTTGATACATAATATACTATTATCTATGGTTTTTTATATTATTACAGAGAGGTTTTTAAAACAGTTTTTTTAATTTTAAAATGATTTGAAACACTTTCATGCTTTTGGATCGATTTCAAACTATTTTTCTTGGATTCAAATCATTCTACAAAATACTTGCTTGTATTTTCTTTAATTATTTAACAAATTTTTATGGTTTATTTTTAAAAAAGGTTCTTTTAAAATGCATCGATTTAAAACAATTTTTCCTTTTTAAATATTTGTTTAGATCGATTTAAAATTGTTTTATAATACTTATTATGTTTACATACTATGTTTAAACCCTCTGAACTGATTTAAAACTGTTTTTATAGCTTATTTTTTGATAGAGTTACTAAAACGGTTTTTAAGCATTTAAAACATTTTTTCAAACCAATTTAAAAGAATTTTTACTTAATCAGTAAAAAGTTTTGGGTTTTAATCACTCTTTAGATATGAATCAAAACAGTTTAAAATTTAAAACAGTTTTTTTGGGTTTAAATCATTTTACTAAATACTGTTTTCTTTAAAATAGTTTTTATGTTTAAAACACTCGTTTGGGTATAAAGCATTCAAGCATATTTAAAAACAGATGGTCTTTACGTTTAAATAATATGGCTTATACCTTAATATTTTTAGGTTCGTGCCAAAGCACAACATCACAAGTTCCTTATCGGCAAACACGGTGCCAACATAAAAAAAATCCGCGACTCTACGGGCGCTCGCATAGTATTCCCATCCAGCATAGACGACGACAGCGAAATCATCACGATCATGGGCAAAAAAGAGGCCGTAGAAGAGGCGAAAAAGCAACTCGAAGCCACCATCAGAGACATCGACAACATAACCGAGGACGAGATGCAGGTCGAGTCCCGCCACCACAAGCACTTCGTGGCCAGGCGCGGCGAAGTTCTGCACAGAATTTCCGACGAGTGCGGCGGAGTGATGATCTCCTTCCCGCGATCGGGAGTCGACAGCGACAGGGTCACCTTGAAGGGCGCCAAAGAGTGCATCGAAGTCGCCAAGCAACGCATCGCCGAGATCATCTCGGACTTGGAGAGCATGATCACGGTGGAGTGCAACATTCCGCAGCGTCACCACAGAACCGTCATGGGCTTGAAAGGTTACAAGGTTCAGAGTATCACCTCGGACTTCGACGTCCAAATCAAGTTCCCCGATAAAAAGAAGATGAAGACTGAAGACGAGCAAACGCAAGTGAACGGCGACGTGAACGACGAAGGTGATTACCGCGACGTCATCAAAATCACCGGCAAAGAAGCGAACGTCAAGAAGGCCGCGCAAGCCCTGCTGGAACTGGTTCCCATAACCATAAACGTCGAGGTGCCGTTCGAGCTGCACCGGTCCATCATCGGGCAGAAGGGTTACAACGTGAAGGAATTGATGGACAGATTCGACGTGCACATCGTGCTGTCGCCTGCCGACGTCAAAGAGGACATCATCAAGATCACCGGGACCCTGATAAACGTCGAAAACGCCAAGGAAGCTCTGCTCGAAAGGGTCAAGGAGCTGGAAGCCGACAAGAAAGACAGGGAGCTCAAATCGTTCGCTCTCAGAATCGAAGTCAATCCCGATTATCACCCGAAGATTATCGGCAAACGTGGTGCTGTCATCACCAAGATACGCAAGGATCACGATGTGCAGATCAACTTCCCCAAACAAGGTGAGTTTTTATTAATTTTGAAACATGTTTTAATTTAGTTTCAAACGGGTTTTTTGAGCTTTGGAACATTCATTTAAACAGCTTTTCTTGATTCTGAAACTTTTTTGATATATTTACATTTTAAACACGAGTTTTACCCGAAAATAAAACCGTAAACAAATATTCGGCTACTCTTCTAGTTTTTCTTTGTCTTCTGCTCTTCTCTTTAGACTTTTGCTGCATTCAACATACTGCATGTTGTCTGTTGCTTTATTTTTTGTTCCCATACCTTTTTCTTAATATTTTTTCTTTGCATTGTACTTCATTCGTTTTCACAGCTTATTTTTAGATTTTAAATAACTCTGCATTAGACTGGGCCAAAAAAATCGACAATTTTTTTTTGTAAAGTATATCGAAAATATTGTTTGGGGTGACAAAAAAAATTATAGTGAAAGTTTGAGTACATAATATTAATATTAAGAAGTCTATCATCGCAATTTTAGATTTTTTCCTGAGCGAGTTTTTGTCTCAGAACTCCCAAACCATTGAGTTTAACAATATTTTCTTACTACCTCGACTCAAAATACGTTGTTTCGTCCCCGATTCCACGGCAGAAAGTTTACGTTTTATGCATTGGTCAAGCTATACGCGCACACTCTAATAGCGGGAGTAAAAATTTTTTAGTCGTGTGCTTAACATTCAAATTTCGTACAGCCAACATGAGAAACACAAAAATATGACAGTTTTAAACCATAATTTTGCAATTATAACAACAAATAAACAATTTATGTTTTTACTTTTTTACTTTTTATGTTGTTTTAAGTGTTTAATGGTACTTTTATTTGTTATAAAGTAGTAATTTGTTAATTAAAATACAACCTTTTATTTTTACTGTATTGGTACCGCTGAATTCACGGCCTACTGTTATTTATTTATCATGCGGAGATAGGTACATAAATACACATTTAATTTTTCCCGTATTTTCGGCCGGGTTGTATTTTCGGCCGAGGTAGTAAGAAAAATAGTATACACTACACGGGCATATTTCCCGTCATATTAACCGTTTTCTTACAATCATGCCTAGTTTTACAATTTTTCTTTTAACTTTGGAATTTTGTAATTCATGTAAAAATCAGTGCCCGAAAAAAAACCGATATTATTCTTATCGGAAATCAAATGCTCTACAAAAAAGTTTCCTAACATTTTTGGCTAAATTCACTCCATCAAAAGTTTAGCTTTACCAAGATCACACATTGCGATGTTAAGTAATTCTTTGTTTTTATTACTTTTTTTACTACCTGTAGGATAAAAAATAATTATAAAATCAGTTGGAAAATTGTGTTTTTTAAATGTAGTAAAATGGCATAATAAATATTGTTTTTTGCAAATTGGTACCTATAGTAAATTTAAAAGGAAACGACGTACAGTAGAAACCACGAATATATGAACGTGACTCATCAGGCACAATCGTACGAAGTAATCTATCGAAGGTCACGGTCCAGTGCAGTGCTGTTCTAACGGGGGCATAAGTATTTGTAAAAAATCTTGAGTGTAATGTTGGTTGCTATACTTCTGATATATTTGCTTTTAAAGTTAAATTTTAATAATTAACATCTACGATAATAATAATAAAATGTAATTTTCTTAAAAACTAATTAGTAAATAAACTTTTCTTTTAACTTTAATGAAATATTCTATCTGATGACAGAATGTACACTCGTGGCGACATCTCTGTTTTTAATATCTAACAAATTTTTAGACCGATCCAACCTCACTTTCTTCCAATTAAATTCTTTCTCATGGTATTTTTTGGAAATGTAGAAAAAGTATAGTCTGAAACACGTTTAGAATTGCATATTCCCCTCTCGTGAAACCTTCAAACTCGCCTTCGGCTCGTGTGACAAACTTTTCACTCGAGCGGAATATGCCGTATTCCAAACTTGTTACAGAATATACTATTCAGCAGAAACACGATATGCAAAAACAAAGATCATATGACATATAAAAACAAATGGCCGACGGTAGAGTTGGTTACCTTACTATGTAATAAATAAAATAAAATAAATTGCCTAAAACACGAACTCTACTCAATTCCAACAAAAATAAGTAACAAGCTAGGACACGCGTCATATGTCCATCTTTGTCGAACACCTAGGCAGTTTTACATCACAGATGGCGCATTTTAGACCGGATGCTTAAAAACCTACGTGGGAGTACATTTACCGCTGCATCGAATGTACAAGACAAGTAAAACATTACTGCCAGCTTGTCTGAGATATGTTCGGCACCCGATGAGTCACGTTCATATATTGGTGGTTTCTACTGTACACGTCTTCGATGATGTAATAATTTTGCGTACTGGTACCACAGACCACCAAAACAAATGGACGGAGCATTGTCATTCAATAACCATGCTTTGTTTGCGGTCAACGAACGGTCACACTCTAAGCGTTAAATTGGCTATAGAATTTTATGTTTTCTTCCCGTGACGTATTGCGTACTCCAAAACAGCTGACATATAACAAATATGACAGCTGACTGCAACCAGTGCCGTGGTGTTAAATAGGGATAATTAAAAAATAGTTTAATTTAATTGTGATTACTTACCTATGAAAGGATAGATTTGGATTTCTTTGGTTTGTTTTTTTACAAACAGTACACTGTCGCACCATTTTTAGTAAAAAATAATGTATTTAAACTCAATAATTAACTTAAACACGATAGAAATACACAAACGAAAACACAAAACAACAAGCTGTCAACCTTTTTCTATGCTGTCAACCACAATCCACTGAACGCAAATATGACGAATTTACCAACGTTGTTAATATTTAATTTTAATAATTATTAAATGATTTACTTTCTTTAAATAGAAAATAATATCTAAAGAAAATAATGAACAAATCCTTTTTACAATTTTTTTTTTAATCAAACGAATTACTGGTAATTTTTAATGTTCATTATGTTATGATGAACGTCCAAAAAGGCGTGTAATGTTTACTTCTGACAACGTTGGAAACCGTGTTTCTTTCGACGGTGTTTAGAATGTGAAACTATGCTTTACTCGCTTTTTAAACGTAAACAAATCCGTCCATTTGTTTTGGTGGTCTGTGACTGGTACCAACACTAAATGTATAAAACGAAGTCTGTAATTGAATACTTTAATGCATTTTAAACAACTTTAGTTGGCAGCAATTGCAATGCTGTCATGTTTAGATTAAAATTTTGCTTAATAAAATGACGCATAGAAAAAGAAATTGACGTTTTAGAATTTTGAAGCTGTCTGTTGTGTTTTTGAATATTCGTGTATAATTTCGTTTATTTTGTTTGTTTGTGTTATTTTATATCGTTTAAGTTTTCATTGCCGTTTTTGTGTTTGTTATATCGTTTTTCCTATATTTAAAATGCCGAAGCATTTAAATAGTCGGAGTCAAGAGTTGGTATCATCCTTAATACGCTATTTTGAGGCAGAACGCGATAATTATTATAATGGGCCTTTGTTACCTTTAACAGCTGTTAGAGAGGTAAATAGTATTATTAATTATATATTAAAATATTTAACAAAGTATATGTTGGATACATAAAATAATAATATATATGTTACGGCTAATGTGCAAACTTGGATAGTTTATAAACTAGCTGGATAGTTTACAAACTAGCCAAACTGTCAGCTATTTTAATTGAAAATGTATTTTCAACTAAATTTATTAAAAAAGTGAGGTTACGGCATTGTTTTTCGTTTTGCCGGCTTAACCGGATTTGTTTTGTGCATTTTAACGTTTTTAAAATGAATCATAGGCAAAATTTTAACGCTTCCTTGTTAGAAAACTTAACAACACAACCCTACTAAAATGGGCAATAGTTGGTCCCTATCTATCGCCCTGTAGTTGCACTACCACTTTCACTTGATGCAATGATTTTAGCATCACATTAGCTGGCCATACACAGGCGTTATTTCGCGCGGTTTATCGTGGCGTGTTGGGATGTAGCGGTTAGTATGCACGAAAGAACGGCATGGCAAAAAAAGCGTCATGTTCCATACACTTGATAAAGTATTCAAATGATTTAGCAAGTGATTGCCCGTGGTATATCAGTTTCAAAGGAAAAATCGTTTGTGAGTGGGCAAAAAGTGTCATTTATCGAGTCGTCTGAAACTGCATGTGATCATGTACAAATTTTCAACGTGAAATTTTGCCAAGCAAAGGTAAACCGTGACGCGGAATGTGGCGTGTGGACACTCCACACTCCAGAGGAAAGCACGTCTGAAATACCTTCCCGTTCTATCATTGCGCGGGGCGATACTCACTCACGTACATGATTTTCCATATATTTTTGCAGATAACACGATAAACCGCGCGCAATAACGTCTGTGTATGGCCAGCTATTAGCTGGCCATACACAGGCGTTATTTCGCGCGGTTTATCGTGGCGTGTTGGGATGTAGCGGTTAGTATGCACGAAAGAACGGCATGGCAAAAAAAGCGTCATGTTCCATACACTTGATAAAGTATTCAAATGATTTAGCAAGTGATTGCCCGTGGTATATCAGTTTCAAAGGAAAAATCGCATGTGAGTGGGCAAAAAGTGTCATTTATCGAGTCGTTTGAAACTGCATGTGATCATGTACAAATTTTCAACGTGAAATTTTGCCAAGCAAAGGTAAACCGTGACGCGGAATGTGGCGTGTGGACACTCCACACTCCAGAGGAAAGCACGTCTGAAATCCCTTCCCGTTCTATCATTGCGCGCAGCGATACTCACTCACGTACATGATTTTCCATATGTTTTTGCAGATAACACGATAAACCGCGCGCAATAACGTCTGTGTATGGCCAGCTATTGACAACCATTGATGACGTGTACGTCGTTTCCTTTTAAATTTACTATATTGCTATAGTAAATTTAAAAGTAAACTACGTACACGTCATCAATAAAACAAAAATTTTACGCATTGGTACCAACACTAAATGACTAAATCGAAGTCTGTAATTGAATATTTGAATGCATTTTAAACATCTTCAGTTGGCAACAATTAAGATGTTGTCATATTTACATTCAAATATTTCATATTTAAATGACACATAAAAAAGAATTTGACGTTTTAGAATTTTGAAGCTGTCAGTTGTGTTTTTGAATATTTCGTTTAATTCGTGTATTATTTCGTTTATTTTGTTTGTTGTTTGTGTTATTTTATATCGTTTAAGTTTTCATTGCCGTTTTTGTGTTTGTTATATATCGTTTTTTGTGTTTCCTATATTTAAAATGCCGAAGCATTTAAATAGTCGGAGTCAAGAGTTGGTGTCATCCTTAATACGTTAATATGCTATTTTGAGGCAGAACGGGATAATAATGGACCTTTGTTACCTTTAAAAGCTGTTAGAGAGGTAAATAGGGTTATTATTAATTATATATTAGAATATTTAACAAAATATATGTTGGATATATAAAATAATAATATATATACCAGAGACTGACTTTAGATGGCAAAATTTTTGGGTTTTATATCAGAAAATGTCTTTAAAAATGGCTAAAAACATACTTTTGGCGGTGCATCATTTAGGTTATAAAAACTCAGACTTTTGACATTTTGGTATTATTCATGTAAACGCCATCTATCGCCCTGTAGTTGCACTACCACTTTCCCTTGATGCAAGGATTTTAGCATCACATTGACAACCGTGCCCGATCAGCTGATTGATGACGTGTACGTAGTTTACTTTTAAATTTACTATATTTATTAAGTTAAAGTGACCAGATTCTGTCAAAAAATAGCGGGACATTTTGTGTAAATTAACCTTAATTACAAAAATTAAACAATCAACAATAATTAACTAACGTCAAATTTATAATTTGCATTGTATCTTTGTGTCAATTTTGTAATTAAGGTAAATGCATACAAAATGTCCCTATATTTTTTGTCAGAATCTGGTCACTTTACATTAAGTATAAAAAAACTCTTCTTACCCATTTCCCCGCAACATACTGCCCGAACCTCCTTAAAACAGTTTTCTTGTTCGTCATCTTAACAATCGTTCGTTCGTTATATAAAACAGTTTTTTTTAAATAACTGTTGTTTTTCTTGGGTTTTAACAAATGAGACATATCTTAGACACGTTATCGGATGATTTTTGGTTTAAAATATTCTTTATCCACACTTCTGTAGCTGTAAGATTATTTTTTCTCCAGGTGACCCAGAAGGAAACATAATCACCATCACCGGCTACGAAGACGCCACCGCCCGGGCCGCCGAAGACATCCAGAAGATCGTGAACGAACTCGACGACCTCGTGCGCGACGAGATCAGTATCGACTCGCGCGTGCACTCGCGCCTCATCGGCTCGCGCGGCAGGAGCATCAGGAAGATCATGGAGGACTACAACGTGGAAATTAAGTTCCCGCGCAGCAACGAGGACTCCGATCCGAACTTGGTCGTCATCTCCGGACAGGAGGAGAACGTGTCCGAGGCCCGGGAACATTTGCTCAACTTGGCTGAAGAATATGTAAGTGTTTGATTTTTTCGACCTTTACTTGATGAAACTTCGTAATAATATTATTATGTAGATATAAAAACAACAATCGTTTCTTCACACAGTGCAGGGCTCCCACACCTCCTAAAACTCATAAAATTCCTAAAATATTGCTTAAATCTTGAAAACTCCTAAAATTCTCCTTAAATTGCATTCAATCTCTTAAAACTCCTAAAATCCTAAAAATTATATTTAAATAGGCCAACCTGACTAAAGGTAGTGCTAAAAAAATTATTTTTTAAAAAGTAATTTAAAATATATACTTATAGGTTCTATTTTATTAAATTCTTTTTAAAAGGATATAATATCACAACCAAAATTTTTCTTAAAAAACAACAAAAAAACTTCTACAAAATTCTCATTTTTAGCGATATTTCTCTTTTTTAGTCAAAAATATACCGTGTATATATCAAACAAAAGGATTTCTTTTAAATGACAGCTAAAATAGTAAACAATCTAAAGAATGTTTTGCTGTATTTTGCAAACTTTATATTTTGTTATGAGATTTTTAAGTATTAAGATCCACATTACAATTAAATCGGTGAGAATAAGAACAGTGCAAGTCCAAAAATTTAATTTTGACAATTTATTCTAAAAACAATTTTAAAGTTTAAAATACATTTTTGCTCGCATTTTTGTGAGAAGATATAAATTATTTTACAGAATATGAATATTATATTTCATAAAATAGTTAAAATATTGCATTTAGAACTAAAACTGATTTTTTGAAATATTTTATCAAAAATTTTACTTTTGGACTCGTACTTTTCTTACTCTTATCGATTCAATTACTGTTAGCCATTAACTAAACGGTTAACATATTTTTTCTTAAAATATAAATATAACATCATTTGATTTTGGCTTCTATCAACGCATTTTTTTAAATAAAATTAAAAGTGTGGTGAAATTTATACTTGTATATATATGTACCTCAGATATATACAAGTTTTAATTTTACCTCACTTTTAATTTTATTTAAAAAAAAAACTCGTCGAGCGATTTTTCAAAAATCTAGTCAATATAACTTATTTTTCCAAAAGAAGTATTAATTTTTTTCTTATTTTTTAAGTAGCAAAGAGTTGTTTTTATTTAATTAAAGAAATTCATTTCCATACTTTATTTATCCTAAAATTTTACAAAAAACCTCCTAAATTCCTAAATAAAATTTGTAATTTAGCCGTGGGAGCCCTGACAGTGACTTCTTCAGAATTTATTTAAACTTATAATTAATTGACTGAACACAATGTTTTATGGTACAAAATTTTGGTTCTACCTGAACAATAATTGCTTAATACATTGAAAGAGAATAATGATGGAGAAACCTTATTTATTGTAGTATAATAATATTATATTCCTATTGTGTGAATAATAAAAATAAATTCAATAAAGGTGAATTATTAGTCTCAATTTGATCATATAATACAATATTAGTTCTTTTTAATTTGTTGATTTCCAGTCATTCTAATAAATTTAATTTTATGCCTTAACTTTCTACACATAGAATTTTAAAATTAACATTAAAAGTATGGTTTTCTAGAATTTGTTGAGTCTAGTTTTAAAATTCCGACCTGTTGTCAAAAGTAAATAATTCACGTGAAACTTTCAAAAAACATAGTTGTTTTTATATTTACATAATAATATGTAAGTATATATAAGAAAATTATATTCTGGAGCATCAACTCCATATAAATTGGAGAAGTGGGGGATCCATAAAAACGTCGCACGTTTTCGATGACCGATAACGCAAAATTGAGTTCTGCCCATCTCTATTATTTAGTGTATCTTATTCGCTAAAGAAGTATCGCTAGTAGCGCCACCACTCGGCTGTTATCATCGTAACAAAAGTAGAACTTTTATTAATCAGCTGTTAAACGCTTATGTTACAAACGAGTGTTTTTGAGAATAAAGCCGGAAAAGTTAAAAAATATCGAAAAAAAAGCGTGGATCGATTTGTTGTGTTGTTGGGTGGATTTCGAGAGGAAATCCTGGGTTGAGTTTTTACCGGTTTTCCAATAAACAGTGTTAATCTGAATGAAGAAATAAATTGCATACAGTCTCTGTAAATATAAATTGTACCTATTGGATACAATAAATACACATTTTAGTAGTGATTAACGTGAAAAGTGTAAACATTTCAATTCAGTAAAAATCGTCAAACAAATAAGTCGTCTAAATTTAAACAGCATTTAGCATTATTAAAAGCGTTGATTAAGAATTCTTTTAAGTCTCCACTCAACGGTAAAATACCATTATATTATGTATTATATATAATATTATGTTGCCTTGAATTCGTAGGTATATTTTGTTGTTTAAAATGCAGTTGTCGGCGTTTTTAGAGAACTCAAATATAAAAATGGTTGATTTGTGCAAAAATTATTTTTTACTAATTTCTTAAAAATGTCCAAACTCAAATATAAATTATATTAGGTAAAGTTATCATTAGTTAATTCTGCACCAACAAATGTACGTACCGAATTGGATCCTTTGGCAAAACATGAAAATGCAACGATTTAGTTCTTGAATTTTATTTACAATTAAAAACACAATAATTTACCATGTTCCCTTTGATAAAATACACACACTAACGTAACTATATATAAGCATTTAAGCGTTGAGTTTTTTAATCAATGATTTAAGGAATAATCAATCGAAATCGAGTACTAAAAAAGTTTTTTAATAGGTATTTTCCTTGCAACGTAAAACACAAATAACGTGCGCGATTTAGCTGTGCAATTAAACAAAATTTGTCGAGTAAGACTTTTGCCTTCCTCTCTTTTGTAAAAAAAACTACCTATTTATTTAAAAATGATGTATAATCGGTGCTTTAAATTTAAATTTAAGTTTAAGTTTTTCTTTTTAAACTTGGCTTATCGACATTTGTTTCTTTCAGCTGCAAGATTACGAGGAACAAGACACCCGCGAGCACACGCTCACCCTGAACAGCCACTTCACGGAACAGCAGAGCGCCGCCGTCGTGAACCAGCCGGAAAACGCCGCTCCCGCTCAGAGAGGCGGCGGCGGTCGCAACCGCGACGGCAACGGCTTCGTCGTGCAGGGCGGCCCGTGGGAGCAGCGCGCTCCAAACACCGCCAGCAACACCGAGTTCCCCTCGTTCAGGGGCGGAAGAAGTCAACAACAACAACCACAACAACAAATGGAAGAGCCGCCTCAGACCGCCGCCCCCATCGGCGCCTGGGGCCGCCGCTAAGCTCCACCACCTCGAAAACACACGTCGGATTTTTCGATACCTTCTGCGCAGGTTGCTGTATAGTTTTAAGAAGATTGCGAACGTGGTTAAGAACGGCTTTAAAAATATCGACAGCTTCAACGCAGTACCTCGTAAGTGAATTTTTTTTATAGAAATTTAGTTTTTTTACATTCTCCATCTGCTGATAAAAGTCTAAACTCCGGCAAAGAAGTGAAACAGAACATATGTTCTTTTCACTTCCTGTAAAATTTATCTTTGGCGGTTACGTTGAAGGCGCCGATATTTTTTGTTTTTAAAACATTCTTTTGGAAATATTGATGATTTACTTAACGTTTGTGCGTGCAAAAAACATTCAGCGTTCTGAACCATGTTTTTTTACTTTGATCGCCCCCTCCCCCATATATTTAATTTTCGCGTCCAGAGTGCGTGTTCGGCGCGTTCTTATTGGGTAGGAACGTTCGTGTTTTTTTTTATTTTCATTCATATTTATATGTACAGTGCAGATAATATAGTTTTTGATGGAGATTATATTTATAATGAACCAATAAAACTGGCCGAACACGCGCTTTATAATAGCTATTTTATATATAAGATTAACTGGACAAACTGTTTGCTGTTGATTGATTGATTGAATTGAATGTGTGTACCATATTTATTATATTGCTTTTTCGAGTAAATCTGAATTTCACTGCCAAAAGCGCGAAGGTACTCAAAACAATCCGATAAAAATTACAATTAGATTGTAATGAGTGAAAAATAAAAAACTAGTTGCAACGAAATTTGCAACCTCTCCCCTTACTGTTTGCTGCATTAAAAATTGATATGCCTGGCTATCGTACACGGACTCGATATGGAATTTTGATGAAATAACACACAAGATGCAATGTTTTCTTTTTGTGACGATATTATTAAGTCTTCCCTTATTGGCCGGCCGCAACACAGGCCTGCCAAACCGACGGCTCTAATTAAAGAATTGTAGAGATGTTATGATGATAATTATTACTACCAAGTTCCCTGCTATATCTGCGGCACAACGGAAACCCTTTTTGAAGTTTACGAGGAATGAACTTTGACAAAAAAGTTTTAGGTTGTGCGGCGGATTTTTAACTACTACCACCCCAAACAAAGACGTCGTCTGTACTAGTTAAGTGAAAACATGCCTATACTTGTTATCATGCATATTTTCTCTCATACGTAATTATTATTTTTGTTTTAATTGATTTATTATTATTATTATTATATAGATATTTTTAAACTTTTATATTATATTTTTGTGTCATAACTTCTCTGCTACTTATACAATGAGGTGTGGTGCGCAACGGTGCCTTCCTCTTTTTATATGACCGTACTGAACTCAATTAATTTTTTGCATTATTATATTGTTATTAAAGGCTTTTCCTTTTTGTTTTTGTAAGGAGGTGAAGGATTTTATAATAATGTATTCTTTAATTTAATTAATAAAAATATTTCTTGTAATATTATTGAATGAAACAATGAATCAGACTGAAAATGCCGGTTGTGTTTTAAATGTTCGGCATTACTTAATAATATTCATTTATATGTTTGTGAATTATAAAAAAATATGCTGTTGATATATAATCTTCTGTATATAATGATTATTTATATATGAGTCCTTGCGGTCGATTTTGTTAGCCCAGGACAAAACCTGAGGGAGAGAATTATATTAAAATAAAAAAATTAAATTTAAAACTATTATACATTTATTTTACATATCCTCTTAACATCCTGATTCTCCTAGGTGTTCCACAAGGCGTCGTTTTAAGCCCAGTGCTTTTCCCAAACGTACTAATAACATACAATTATTATTATAATAAACAAGTGCATATGGGTTATTTCCCCTAGTTTTTTTATTGATGTAAACACCTATATGTAGGTGGGATAACTTATATATTAATATATTTGCAGGTATGTAGATATGTTTATATTAAATTAGAATTAATAACTTTATTTGAGCTGAGGTCACGACATTTTTTAAAGGTCAATAATGTGTTTTTTAATTTAGTGTTAATTTATCTAAATTAAAAGTTGGACTGTTTATAAATCTTAAAGAAATGATGATGCTATGGTAATAAGCTGGTAAGTTTTTCCCCCGAAATTTGTGACATCCTGTGCGTCAATTTGAACTACAGTCAAACCATTTTGATTTTTTGTTCACGTTATCTCTGTTTATAACATAAAATGTTCGAAAGATTTCCTTCTGAACCGCTCAATTTTGGGGACCCTTCTTGAAAGAAATATTGAGATATTGAAATCTGAAAATGTTAAATTTTCATTAAAATGTCATTTTTAAACATCGGAATTTTTTTATTGTTTTTTGCCGAGTGGTTAATAATGCGCCGATTGTATTCGCAATTGTTAATAATTAATGACATTTATGCACGATGACATTATAATATGACAATTATAACAAAAATTCTTTGACGTAAACGTCTTTTTATAGCCCGCGGGCGTTATTATGGCCCAGCGGGCTATAATGAAACGTCAAAAATTAAAAACAACAATGTTACACCATTTGATATATTCGAAGTAAGTTTTTTCGTATAAAGATTTTGATTTTACCGGCAGCAGGCCGCAATTTTTCGCCTTTTCAGCTGCTTCCTCAATTTCATTCATCTTTAAACTTGACTGATGTCAGTTGACATTATAATATGACAATTATAACAAAAATTCTTTGACGTAGACGTCTTTAAAAACAATAATATATTAAAAATAATAATATATTAATCGTGCATAAAGTTTTGTATGTATTGCTGGCATAACTGGTTTTTATGGTCCTACGACGCTTTTCTAGCCCTCGCGCTAACGCGCTCGGGCTCGAAATAGCGCCTCGGACCATAAAAACCTTATTATGCCCTTAATACATAAATAACTATTATTTCTCCCGCTGTAAACAATATTATTCCTTCCCCTGTATATATTTTCATTCCCTCCCGCTAATCAGGTAAGAAATGTTCCATTCCCTCCCGCTACCATGACGACGCTACCGTGTGATTGACTTTGAATGTAAACGTCAGAATTAAATTAAACGTTAGATTTATATAATTTTGACACAAATTGTGTATTTTTAAGCGAAAGTGAGCATTTATTGAGTTTAGCTTAAATAAGTATACTTATTTAAGCTAAACTCAATAAATGCTCACTTTCGCTTAGGTATAGGTAAGCTTACTAACATAATTGGAACGACTTTAGGACTGTAAACGTCAGTTTTAAATTAAACGTTACTTTTTTAATTTTGCAAAGAAAAAAATAAAAAACTCGTTTAATACTTGATTTCGATTGATTATTCTTTATATCATTGATTAAAAAACTCAACGCTTAAATGCTTATATATAGTTATCATGGTGAATTATTGTGTTTTTAATTGTAAATAAAATTCAAGAACTAAATCGTTGCATTTTCATGTTTTGCCAAAGGATCCACTTCGGTAATTACATTTGTTGGTGCAGAATTAACGAATCATAACTTTACCTAATATAATTTATATTTAAGTTTGGTCATTTTTAAGAAATTAGTAAAAAATAATTTTTGCTCAAACATAACCTTAAAATCAACCAATTTTATATTTAAGTTCTCTAAAAAACACCGACAACTGCATTTTAAACAACAAAATATACCTAAGAATTCATGGCAACATATTATATATAATACATAATATAATGGTATTTTATAGAGATGGGAATCGGAAAGTTTCCATTTTAAGGAAACTTTCCGTTTTGGAAAGTTTCCAATTGGGAATTTATTTTCATTTTGAAAGTTTCTTTTAAGCTACCGGAAACATTCCTTGGAAACATTCCTTGTTTTTTTCATTTAAATGTCAATTTTTTAACCGCTGATTTTTGTTAAGGCCATGATACAAGGCCAAGAAACTTTGAATAAGAATTTAATTTGTGTTAATTTAAAGCAGAAGAAGAAGTATAAATAATGTAAGTTATGTTACATAACCTCAATGAAGCCGGATTATTCAGCATCAACACAAAAAACTTTTTTAAAAAAAGGTAAACAAAATAAAAACAATAAACAAAGTTAAAATCATTCTTACATTTTTGTTGTTTATTTATAGGCATAGCACAATGTCAAGAGAAAAATCTAGTGTTTGGAATTATTACAAAATAGTGCAAAAAAACAAAAAAGACCATGCTCAAAGCAAGTTCTGTAAGAAAATCTATGTCGTTAATGCAACCAAAAATTTGACAAAAAGTTAATGTGTTATATATTTTTGCATAAAAAAAATATTTTCGCAATAAAAATTTTTTTTTTGAAACTTTCGGAAAATTTCGGGAATTTTCGATGGAAAGTTTCCGGGAATTTTCGTCAAATGGGAATTTTCCCATCTCTAGTATTTTACCGTTGAGTAGAGACTTTAAAGAATTCTTAATCAACAGTGGCGTGCAGGACGGGCCCCGCAGGGCCCGCGGTGCGGGGGGGCCCCGATCTTAAGGGGGCCCCGTAGAGAACCACATTGGGTGGTATAAGTGACAAAGGGGCCCCAGCTCAAAATTTGCGGGGGGGCCCCCGATCACCTTTGCACGCTACTGTTACCTAATCAACGCTTTTAATAATGCTAAATGCTGTTTAAATTTAGACGACTTATTTGTTTGACGATTTTTACTGAATTAAAATGTTTACACTTTTCACGTTAATCACTACTAAAATGTGTATTTATTGTATCTAATAGGTACAATTTATATTTACAGAGACTGTATGCAATTTATTTCTTCATTCAGATTAACACTGTTTATTGGAAAACCGGTAAAAACTCAACCCAGGATTTCCTCTCGAAATCCACCCAACAACACAACAAATCGATTCACGGTTTTTTTTCGATATTTTTTAACATTTTCCGGCTTTATTCTCAAAAACACTCGTTTGTAACATACGCGTTTGACAGCTGATTATCAAAAGTACAATTGTTACGATGATAACAGCCGAGTGGTGGCGCTACTAGCGATACTTCTTTAGCAAGATCATAGAAATAATACTATTATTTCTATGAGCAAGATACATACACCTTAAGATAGGATGGTGCGCATGTTGGGCGGGGCTTAATGACGTCACTTGATGAGTGTTTTTAAATCTTTAACGTGCTTTTTAATTATCTGCTGCTAAAATTCTTGTTTTTGCGATGCTTGCTCTACTTTTTGTTTAACTTGTCGTTTTTGTGTTCGGTAAGGTTCGAATTACTTTTCAGCGTTCAAATTATTGTTATTGCGTTAGGTTAACCTGTTAGGTTTGTTTATTATTGTTTTTGTGTTGTTTGTGTTTTGTTTGTGTTTTAGATTGTATAGTGCCATTTCCATTTATTAAAATGCGGTGTGGCATATTTGGATGCAATTCGGACAACCAGTCCAAGAAAAACCCTTTAAATAAAAACATTAAATTTAATCGATTCCCGAAAAAGTTTGATTTGTGGGAACAGTGTTTAAATGCCACAAAAATAATAGACAATATTTAGGTTGAGACCGCTTCTGTTTCCTATAAACATTTTCTGGATAGTGACTATAAGTTTAATTTAAAACACCAACGCTTAAACTACAGCCCTAAATGTTATCAAGGACTGAAAGCATTTATTATCCATATTATAACACTTTCTTCAATATTAAGTTTAATAAAAACGCACTATGTCCAGAAATTTCTTTATTTTCTTTGATAATATTACTATTATTCGTGTATTCGCACGGCAACTACTCATCAAGTGACGTCATGCGCGGGACGAACCAAAACTCGTACACGGGAGCATCCAGCCCTGCTTCTTTAGCGTATATCCTATTTTAAACTGTAAATATTATCTGTAAAAGGAATGAAAAAACGAAATAAAAAAATAACTATTATTAAACAATCTTTATTAAAGAAGCGATTATCACAATATGACAATTAAGGAATCATCGTTAGAATGTCAAATTACAGTAGAAAAAAATAATTAACATATAAATAATGAGGATAGTTAATATGTATATACCTAATTAGAGCATCAAAGGAAAACAAATTTAAACATTCAAAGGCATTTATTATGGAAAAATTATTAAGCCAATTAAAATATACAATTTAGTACAACAAACATTTTTTCGAATTTAATACTTTTTGGTTATGAATAGTTTTGCCTCGTTGAGACTTACATTAAATACGAGTAGGTACTATTAATTAATTAATTAATTGATTGACTAAACATCGTTTTGACTGTTTCGAGTAAGTAAAATCAGTCAGCACCAAAAAATTTTCGGAGTTTTGAAAAAGGGACTCCGCATTCAATCTCATTCACACACTTTATACAAGTCATAAAATATTTATAGTCTTATCTAAAATAATAAATCCAAGTCTTCCAGTGGCTGATCGAAGAATACATTCTATTACGAATTTATTTACAATAGACAAAAGTATCATAATATAACACAATAACAGATTCAAGGGGCAGTATTCAAAAAATATAATATAAAAACAATTCAGTTTTCTGTTAAGCGCGTTATAAGAAGACCTCCACCATTATTAAAATTTTCCCTTGTCTGTGTATAGGAATTGCATACAACATAGAATACAGCCAGTGGAAAAGATAGCTGGAAATACATACGCCATACTTAACTACGCTTATGGCTGTACTTATTTCGTCATCATAATTAACTAAAATCGGTCTGCAACGCATCGCCGCTCCCT